GACAACTGGGTCGTGTGAAATGTTGTTAACTGTATCAAAAATAGTTTCCCTCCCTTGAGTTTATTTTCTTTAAGTATGAGTCATGTGCCAGATTTAATCTTTATTTCCTTCAATCTGCAAGCCTTTAGGAAACGGCAGCCGGAGGTAGAACAGGGCTCCAGGATTTCCAAGGGAAACAGCGTTGAGAGAAACTTAATCCAGCAGCGGGGGTGGTCAGGTTGGGGGTGGGCTGTTTGTGAGGAAAGCCGTGGTGGTCTTGCAGAAAACAAACCCCCTCAGCCTCCTCACTGCTCACATACCTGACATACTTAAAAGTTTCGGTGAGCTGACCTACACAATCTGATACCAAGCTCTGAGAGATCTTAACTGTGACCTATATCAAGTCATATATGTTACCGGAATGGAAAGCCTTTTTCATACAATGTGATTTTTTTATTTTTGTGGCCTGTCATCGTGTTATGTTCAATCCTTGTACATAGATTAAATGAAAATCAGTATTAGACAAAGTGTTTTTTTGTTTTTACGAAAGGAGTATTACTACAGTGTAAAGATACATTACAATTAATCGTGAATACATTTTATTTGGAAAAAGGCGAAAGGGAACAGGAAGGCATGGACAATCAGGATCTGATTTTATAACAAAAAACTGGTTTCAGATATGAAGCCCTCAGAGATGTAGAAGGACCACAGTAAACATTTTAACAAAAAAAAAGACATCTTATGAGACACTAGATTCAAACACTTAAGTTAGGTGAGCACATACTTTAAAAACAATATTTATTATGATTTAGCTTGTATATTTATTATGAAGGTTTGCTTCTCTCCTCTCAGTAGTATTGTGGTAGTATAAAAAGTAATTGTATTTTCCTATTCAGGTTACAGGCTTGCTTCTTATGTATAATAATGACTTGCTCTTCCCCAATGGTATATGCATTCAAATGTGAAAATAGGACTTTAAATTAATGTATTGTGTCAACAGGTTTCCATGTCATTATACAAACTTTCAGTTTGATCCACCTTGTATGTGAAATGCTTTGTTTGAAATAAAAACGCTTTAAATAAAATATATAATTGTTGTTACTTAAAGCTGCACTAAATATTATTTTGTGTTTATATTAAAGGGATCAAATGACAGTAATGTTAAAGGTGTCTCTTAAAGTGACAAACCTAAAGAATTAATTTCCGTAGTTTTTAGTGTCTAAGCATTTTTCAGCCTATTGTTTTTTATATACCCTTACGGAGCCTACACACGGCGGCGTGCGTTGCCGCTTCAACGCTTCTGCCCATTCACTTTGAATGGGGTGACGTCACGATTCGCCGAACTGCATTGTGGGAGCAAAGCGTAGCTTCTCTCGCGGTGCTCGCTGCAAAAGTAGAGCAATGTTCTACTTTTGCCGCCTCGACGGAGGCGTCAGCCAATCAAATCCCGCGTATGCAAATCTGACATTACAGATTACGGCCCCTACACACGGCGGCGTGCGTTACCGCTTGGCGGTGGGCGTGTCTGAAGCTTGGGGATTTTTTACGAACAACGCGACCAACAACCAATCACATGAATGTCCCGCCCCGGACATACAAAGCAAAGCATTCATGCTACATCCATGCTGGCTAAATATACTGTCTATGCTTGCTAGCTGTCCATTCAAACGAAGTACACTGGATATAAACTCCCCAAACAGGCGAAAACCTACCAGTTTCACCCACTGTCTCTGCCACCTCCCCCCATGCCTGGCTCCTCCGGTTTGTATCCCTGTATGTAAAGAGGGACTGGTCATATAGTACCGCCACGGTCATTTTCTCCTCCATTTTTTGACATGGGAAATAACTGCGGTCTGGCTCTCCCAACATACACGCGGTTTGATTGGCTAGCGCTTGTAATGTCAGATTTGCATACGCGGGATTTGATTGGCTGACGCCTCCGTCGAGGCGGCAAAAGTAGAACATTGCTCTACTTTTGCAGCGAGCACCGCGAGAGAAGCTACGCTTTGCTCCCACAATGCAGTTCGGCGAATCGTGACGTCACCCCATTCAAAGTGAATGGGCAGAAGCGTTGAAGCGGCAACGCACGCCGCCGTGTGTAGGCTCCGTTACGGCCCGTCCACACAGCGGCGTGCGTTGACGCTTGCCGGCGGGCGTGTCTGACACTCGATCAACAACCAATCACATTAATCTCCCGCCCCTGACACACAAGCAGCGGTTTGATTGGCTAGAGCTTGGACTGGCATATGATTCGATTGGCTGACGCCTCTACCGAGGCGTCAAAAGTTGAACATTGCTCAACTTTTGCAGCGAGTCACGCCAGCGACGCTCCGCGTCACTTCCCACGATGCAGTTCGGCTAAAAGTGACGTCACCCCATTCAAAGTGAATGGGCAGAAGCGTTGGAAGCTTCAACGCACGCCGCTGTGTGGACGGGCCGTTAATCTGTGAAATTGCGATCCCTTAAAGCAGGCACTTCTCAGAAAAGAAAGGAATAGAAAATAGCTTCTGTTAACCCAAATTAGAATTGTTCATTGTTTGCTAGTTGATTCACTTTTTCACAATCTGTTCATTCATGTTAATTGATGTCACTGTAAACACTATACATCATCAGCTGGGTATCTTTCAATGGACTGATACACCTGTACAGTTGTATTATATCCACAGTATGATGTCACCCTATGAGTAGATGACATCTATTCTGTCCTTCTTACATACAGAGTAAAGTATGAACCAACAGGCACGCCTCATGATAACAAAACCCTCTGTGGAATGGAATCTATTATGATAGAGATAAAACCATTATCATAACACTAATCCTGTATCCTTGCAGCTATTAAAACGAATGTCTTTGTTCATTCTGCCCTTTATTCACTCAGCTACCGTGCAGGGCTTGCTTTTATTGTGGTTGCTTTTATTTCTTTGCATAAATATGAGTTTGTATGAAGCGTAAATGCGAGGCAGAAGCTCCCATTGGGATAAAGTGACATTGTGGGCCTCTGGTGAGATAACATGCCCCACCACACACCTGGTATCTCATGCCAGGCCGAGCAGCTGCCATGTTTCCACTGCACGTTACCATGGACGTAGCTTGCAAACATTGAAGTCTGTGGGGACTCTCAATCCATCTCTTTCATATACTAAACACACACACAAGCGACACACCTCCTCATGCATCAGCGAATGGGTCAAATAGTTAAGAAATATCCAGGGTATGAGACAGAATCACTGCACACACAAAGAAAGACGACATCAAAGAGGGTTTACTCTGGCTTATGAGCATAAAGGAGCCGTTTCACAGAGAACATCTGATTTACTATGGCTCTAATGCTCTTTACAGATGGCTTCTGATTACATTATACCCAAAATACACAAACACATCAGTTTCCTTCGGAGTTGAAATAAGTATTCAGTTCCTTTTATAAAAGTGGCCTTATTATTTCCCTTTCCTGTAGTGTGTTATATGTGTTTGTGCAAAGGCTCAAATCCCTGTGTTCCCTCCAGAGGAAACATCGCTGAAACGCCTCCATTGGACTCCTTTGTTTACTTCCCTGACAAAGTGACATCACTACGTAACACTCACGCTTCTATTGGCTAGCGCTCCAACACACCGTACGTGATAGGCTAAGGGACGGGACATCTCTAAGCGGTTGACCAATCACAACACTGTTTGCCTCTACTTGAAGTGGGACCAAGTCATTGTTTGTAAATCAAAAGAAAGTCTTGTTTCTAAATTCCTGAGCATTGACCGCATCATTTTGATTGTCCTCGGAGTAACAGTTATGAGATATTTTAACAAATAATAAATGCTTTTTGAAAAGTGTACTGCAGAGTAATTTGTAATTCCTAGCTGAATGTTTTGCATGCTACCGTCTGCTTTTTGTTGACTACAGCAGAGTCTTTACATTCACATGTGATAATCCGAGGTGTCACCTGTTGTCTGTCTGCTGTCTGCCACATCTTCACCTCCTGCTTGTGATTGTATGTTGCAGGTAAATTACAACTGAATTAGCTGTCACGTTTTTTTACGACATTATTATTGTATTATTTAGGAACTGAGATGATGTTAAGTAAATATAATTAAACAAACTAAATAGTAGATGACTTGTTGTTGTGTTAGAGTCAAATCTAAGTTGCGAATCTAAATTAATCAGATTCATGACTTGGCAAAACATTGCAAATGAGAAGTGACATTACATCTCTTCTCTTTGTTAGTAATTGAATAAAAGAACAGATCATTGTGACGAGGCAATACAATACATAGGCCCTTTGACACAGAACAAAAACATCTTTAAAAGTCAATGTTAACACATAACAGATAGGCCGACATCATGTCGTAGATCTGAGCAGGGTTTCTCTGTCACAGCAACTGATGACATCTCTCAGCTGCAAAAGGTTTTGTTCAGTGCAATTAAAGTGTGCTTGCATGGCAACAATATACATGAACCTAAGTTAGAGAGACTTCAAACCACAAACAAAACCTCACTTACAGATAATGTTATTATGTAATAAGGCAAGGCAAGGCAAGGCAAGTTTATTTATATAGCACTTTTCAACACAAGGCAATTCAAAGTGCTTTACAAAAAATGAAAGAGATTAAGAAAATGGCATTTAAAATCAGTCATTAAAAAGAAAAGCTAATAAAATAAACATTAAAAGAAAAAAGTACATGGATAAAAGTTACAGTGCAGTCTAAGATATAATAAGCATAAATATATACATACATGTGTTTTTATGGTCTTTTAATTTGTGTGGGGTTTCTCTCTTCCCTATTATTTACGGTTTATGGGCTTTTTTGTAAGATTACCACTTCTCTTTTGGATCTTTACATGGGACATACCGATGAAACAATGACACCTGCTGGACAGAGATTGGAAATGCAGATAGTCTTCTGGGAACCGCCCAGAAACTACTTCTCGTTTTCCATTGGTTTAAATCTTGAGAAGCGTGCTATCTGATTGGTCATATTATTTTCAGTTGGCCAATCAACGATTTTGTTTACAACCACACACATAGGTCATGGTTCATCCCAATTTGAAGTGACGCAACTAGCTTGCCAGGCAGCTAATGCTATGGATAACACACTCAGGAGGGAGCAAATATCAATATACCACAAATACCACAGCTCAGAGAAAATGAAGTATACCCACATGTAACCAAGCGTCGTATTTTCTGCGACAATGCTGTGTTTGCGTGTAAATGCCGCGAGGTCATTGGAGTCTTTGAGAAAGGTTGGTAGCTAAGCTAATGTTAAAGAAGCTAACGTTAACGGTATTTCTATTTCTAGCAGATATGACAGGCTGACTTTAACCTAACCTTTCCTTTTTTACACCACTTTGTATTTATATGCATAAAATACACCATATTATTTCTACCGTTTAATAATGGATAGTGCCTTTAATTACGTTTAAATGTGTCCCAAGCTCTGCAGTTATTCACTACAACAATGTGTACACCTTGTGCTTTGATTGATTGATTGATTGATTGATTGATTGAAAAGTTTATTAACAGCTTGTATATTGGGTACAGTACAGTACAGCTCAAAACATACAATTGTTAAGGGGATGCAGACCAGAGAAAGACTTTCGTCTTGTTTACATCAGGGTCCCCCATTTCCAATTCATCATATCATTTAAGACATATAAGACATATTTGACATACAGATGGCTTATTTACAATTTACATACAGGTGGTTTTTTACATACAGATTGCTTATTTACAATTTTCATTTTAGATTTCGTTCTAATACATCCTAACCGGACATTTAAGACATACCAAGTCTACAGATATACAGTTAGTAACAGAGTCTAAAATGCGAGTATATACATAGATGGGGGGGGGGGGAAGCTGTCCATTGAACGACAGGTTGAGATTTGTACCATTACCGGGGCCAGTTTTGCAATGCTCTCCCCCGAAGGTGCTCTTTAAGAGAGGTTTTGAAGGTAAGTATAGTTTTACTTTCCTTTACAGTTGTGGGAAGAGCGTTCCACCTTGATGTGGCATAATTGCGAAACGTGTATTCCCCCTTTTTTGTGCCAAATCTGGGTTTCACATGATTTGTGGAGCTCCCTCTGGTGTTATGATCATGGTATTCCTTGACCTTTGGGAATAATTTTGACATGTACATGGGTACCATAGAGGTGTAGTGGATCTTAGTAGACCAGGCCCATTGCAAGTAGCTGTACTCTGTCGTCTACTCTAAGCCATCCTAGGTTGTCAAAGTGGGCAGAGGTGAGGTGGGTTCTAGATGAAAGGTCAAGCAGTAGTCTGACCAGTTTATTTTGCGATGTTTGAAGTTTTATTTTTAGCGCCTTGGAGGTGCTATGGTACCATGACGTGCAAGCATAGTCATAGTACCCTTGAATGAGTGCTCCTGCCAGAGTCTTCAGGGTGTTTTTGTTTACCAGAGAGGAGATCCGGTATAGGAATCTAGTTCTTTGATTGACTTGTTTTATTACATTGGATGCCATTTTGTCACAGGAGAGGTTTGCCTCAAGAATAGATCCTAGGTATGTAATTTCCTTCTTACTTGTGACAATAATGTCGCCCACTGCAACTGAGAAGTCGTCGGATTTGCTGAGATTATGTTTCGAACCGAAGAGAATGGACTCTGTTTTACCCAGGTGTAATGATAATTTATTATCGGCGAGCCAGGTGCAGATTCTGCCGAGCTCGGAGCTGAGGGTTTTTTCAACCTGCAACCTGTTCCTGTCAGAGACCAGCAGGGCTGAGTCGTCCGCGAACAGGAACAAGTTGCAGTCACATGCTGATGACATGTCATTTACATAAATTAGGAACAGTAACGGACCTAATATGCTTCCTTGTGGAACACCACAGCTCACTGGGAGGGGGGGGGACAGAGTACCGTTTACCTCCACCATCTGTTCTCTCCCCTCCAGGTAGGATTGCATCCAGCTCACCGATAGTTTATCAAAACCAATTGCTTTTAGCTTGTCAATCAGAATGGGGTGATTGACAGTGTCGAAAGCCTTTTGTAGGTCCAGCATCACCATGCCGCAGTACTTGCCCTCGTCCACCTCTTGTTAGATGTGGTCGCTCAAATAAAGAAGGCATGTGTCAGTGGAGTGGGATGTTCTAAAGCCAGATTGAAATTCATAGATTAGTTTCTTTTCCGCGAGGTACTTTTCGACCTGTTCATATACTATTTTTTCCATGACTTTCGGGATGGAGGTAAGTATAGAAACAGGGCGGTAGTTGCCTGGGTCCAATTTGCTGCCCTTTTTGTGCAGGGGGGTTACTCTTGCAATTTTGAAGTCTTTGGGTACTTTTCCCTGTTTTATGGAGAGGTTAATTATGTGAGCTATGACTGGTGAGATGGCGGTTGCTGTGTCTCTGAGGAATTTGGAGGGGATATTGTCGTGACCAGTGGCCTTGTTAGGTTGGAGGGCGCTCAGTTTAATGAGTACCTCTGCTGTTGTTACCCTTGCTAGACTGAAATCATCTTTGCGTACCCCTAGGTTTTTGTAGTAGGTCATGATGTGATCGACTCCAAAAAGCCCTGAGTGGGAGGGTAATTTATTTACAAGAGTTGTGGCTATGTTTGTGAAAAAAATGTTCAAGTACTTGGCCACATCCAGTTTGTCTGTGATGAGCCTGTTATCTGTCTTTATGTTTAAGTTAGAAAATCTCGTTTTGAGTTTTTTACTGCAGCCAAGCTGGTTATTGAGTAATTTCCAAAGTTCACGGGGTTTATTTTTGTTTTCCTCAGTTTTGACATTGATGAAATTCTTTTTGGCAGTTTTGATCATGGAGCTTACGTCATTTCTTAGTCTGTTTCTTTCAATTTTGAGTTTTGAGTTCAGTCACGTGGGCCTGGAGTTCACTGCTCGTGCTTTTGGAAAGCATTGACTGACTTTTATGAAACTCAGAGCATTTTTTGTCTCTGGTTTTCATGGCGGTCAGTATGCCGGAGTGCATCCACGGCTCAGCGCGATTTTTTACCCTGGTTGTTCTTAGGGGGGCCAAATCATTGAGTATTACAGAGAATTTGTTTTTGAAAGCAAGCCATGTTTCTTCAACTTGTGTACCACTGAGCTCATCTGACCAGTCCAGGCTCTCCAGTTCTAGGTTAAAGGCCTCGCTAGAGTAGTTTTTGAGGTCTCTAGATATGACTGTTTTGTGACAGCCGGCCCTTTGTTTTAGCTTTTTGCGGGTACAGAATATCATATAATGATCACTTAAACCGCATGCTATAACCCCTTTACTGGAGATCCTGGACTTGTCAGAGGTCAGAATGAGATCAATGGTAGTTTGTGTTGTTTCACATACCCGGGTGGGTTGGGTGATTAGCTGGCTGAAGCCGTGCAGATCACAAATCCTACTGAAGGACTTGAAGACGGACGTGTCTTTACGGTGCATATCCGTGTTCCAGTCTCCAATAATAATTGTCTCTATATCCCCCACATCAGCCAAACACCCATCTAATGTATCATAAAAGTCACTCTGTTCCGGTGGTCTATAGATTGTCCCGACTATTACAGATTTAGCATTGTCAAAAAGAATTTCAACCCACACAGATTCAATATTTTCATGATGCAGGTCAGTACGGTTTTTGAAATTGGTGTCTTTATGTATGTACATGCAGACACCACCTCCATTCACGTTCCTGTCCCTTCTCACTACAAGATAATCTTCAATTTCAATCTCTGAATCTGTAATGGAATTGTCCAATTTGGTCTCAGAAAAGCATAATATGCTTGCCTTACCGTTCATGAATAGCTGCCTGAGTTCAGCCAGTTTGTGTCTCAGGCTGTTAGTGTTCAGATGAAAAATATGTAGTCCATTTTTGTTGCTTAAATGCACAATGTCTTTCATTATTACATTACTCAAATGAAATCATCAGTGCATGATATTAAGGACAGAGAGAACACACAGTAAAGGGGAACATATTAGATGAATATATTCACATTGCTAAGTTTCATATATTTAACATAGATGTTGTTGCTATTGGTAGCAGTATGCATTACTTTTAAGTGTACCTGGGCCAGAGACATTCTCTAAACAGCTGTGATTTTTCCAGTTTTGACATGGAAACCTAAACTGAACTATAAGAGACACTTTCACAATGCCACTGTTACTTGAGAGTCTTCCTCTGGGGGGTTTCTCTTAAACATAAAGTAAGAAATCCAACCGAAGATATCACAGCTGTGCCTTTTATCAAACTGCCTCTTTCCTTCTTATCTCAGTGTCATTCCATTTGCACATAGATATTTACACATCATAGACAAAGAGTTCCTTTATTATTTTCCCTATTTCATGTCTTCTTAAAAATAGAATACATTAACTTTAGATTTGAGGTTTTTGACAATAAAATGTTAAGAAAAAATTGTGAAAATGGTCCATTCCAGTTCTTGAAAATCCAAGAAGATGTCTCTAATTGTCTTGTTTTCTCACTCCAAAACCCAAAGACATTCACTTTAATATGATACAAAAAAAAAGTCTACATTTGATAATGTATGCATGTTCTGCTCTTTTAAAAAAAATATAAAAACAACTTTAATGTTTAATTAAGGTTTATCAAAATCTATGGCAATTTCTTTTCTGCCAGTCATCTAATTGATAACTCTCTAACCTCTGCAGCTTTTCAGAAGATGTTGCAAAAATAATAAGATTGCCTTCCTTTCTTATGTCATCATTAAAAGAAAATAGTTTGGAATCGAAAAATACTGACAGAGAGAAGAAATAATTGCATGGAATATCTTTTCAAAATGTGACTATAACTAATCACATGTTACTCTACTGTGTTTCAGCTGTGCTTCCTCTCCCTGATGCACATGAGACATCCGCCCTGTCAGTGCCCTGTGCAGCGGTGGAGGATACAACACAGTGGTGCCGCTCGCTGCCTCTCTACCGGACCACCTGCTCCCCCCACACTGACTGACCCCTCCTCTGAGTGCACTGAAGCAAAGCCCAGCAACAGCACACCTGCCTGGACCCCTGACCAGGGCCCCCCGCCGGCCCCCGCCCACTGCTGCATGAGCGGCTGCCATAACTGTGTGTGGATCGAACACGCCGAGCAGCTGCTGGCGTATTACCACGACGGAGGAGACCTGGCACTCGCAGCCATTGAGGAAAACGTCCTCGATGAAAACCTTAAAACCTACCTGAAGATGGAGATAAGGCTCTTGAAAAAGACGTGAAGGATATATTTGATCACAGTGTCGACATGAATGTGAGACTCATACAAAGAATCTTGTAAACTTTACGCACACTCATCAAATCTACCGGGTTCAAATGTGACAAGAAGCTGTGGGCTTCAGGAATCCACCTGTCCTTCCCGACAACAATCTGTGTGTCTCCTCCAAACACGCTTGCCTATCTTTGGGGAGTTGTTTCCGAACCTGTTCGTTATTTGATCTTTTTTCTTTTCAGTGAGAACAAAGCAATTATTACTACTAGGAATGCCACTATTTAAATCACAATTGTTGCTTAATGTTGTTTTAACAACGTAACTAACGAGCCAGGAAGGATTGTGCTTGAAGTGGTGAGTTTTTGAAACTGTGTTAAAAGATCATCGTAATGTTTCTGGCCTCATTCAAAAATGTATTTGGTTTAATATTAACTTTTTTAATTTGTAGTGAATTGATTCATTGTTCCTTTCATCATAAAGCACATATGCACATTATGTATTATTAGTTTGAAGTTTGAACTGGAGTGTTTAAATGATAATTGTATGTGTATAATGATCATTTGCTTCATTATATATAAGAGTTTATTTTGATTTTGAAATGTATTTTTAAGAATTGTTTGTTAAATAAATGTTTGTCTTTGTGAGCTGACATGAAGATTGTTTCGTTTTCTTTTGACTGCTTTAGTCACTGACTGACCGTAGTACACACACTGTTATTGTAATTCATTGATCAGGTTTTATAGTTTTTTCTTTAAAAGTTACTCAAACCAATTACTTGATTTTCAAAATAGCGATTGAAACAATTAATCAATTATTATTTGTGGCTCTATGTACAAAATAATGATGTTTTCATACATACATGACTTAGAATGAGCTGAATAAAGGAGGCTTCTTGAAGAGCAGAATCAATACCCTGAGGACCACATGAGAAAAGAAACGCTCAGATGGAGTGACGTGTTTCTGTGAGCCGCGGTGGAAACACCCGCTGTCTGCAGCTGTCAGTCTCTCCGTGTGTGAGGGGATGCTGACCCTGATCTGCATGACCTAGTCAGCAGAAGTCTGGTAACGGCCCTCTGTAAGTCCTTATTACACAGGAGGAGAAACACAGCACACACATCATGTACAGAGCACTGCCCAATGGCTGGGGGACTGAGCTGTCTTCAGTGACTTCTCTTGGTTGGAAATCCATCTTCAGCATTTCTTTCTTGGAGCTGAATTATCCACAGAGGTGCCCTGCTCTCTTAGAGAAATGGACCTGGTATTTAAAATGAGTTAAAGCGTATCACTGCAAGTTGGACCCAGGTACTTCTCAACAAAAACACACCTGTTTGCAATCTTGGCTCCTAATCGGTAGCACGAGGTCTCCATTGATATCAGGACAGCAGAAAGGCCAGACACCTTCCGTCGCAAACTGAAACCCACCTGTTTGGCTTGTGCCGAGGCCATTCAATACAATTACAATTAAAATAGCACCTAAAGAGTTTAACCCATTTGAAGGTAATTCACTATGGTTTGGCTTATTTGTAAAGAATATATCTTTACGGTTTGTTGCACTTATTTTAAGTCACTTTGGATCAAACAGCTAAATAAAATGTAATCAGACTTTTAATGACAAAAATCTCTTTCTGAAAAACATATACTGACCTCAGATGTTGATCCCATGGCCATTGCAGAATGAAATGAACTGTTAAGGAAATATAGAGCTCTGGCTCTTAATACTATTTTCCATCAGATTGAACCATTTTGATGCAATGCAAAATGAATGATGTTTTCTTCTAAATAACACTTTTGTGCATACAAAAGAATGAGTTTTGACATAATGTACATCCTCACCATCACCTGCTTTCACCCAAAGCCCAAACATGCGAAGTGTTGACATCGAGCAGGGATTCAGGGCATTCATAATCTTCTGTGGGCTCAGCATATAAGAGGGGCCCTAAGCTCCCACTGGCCCTCACAGCAAGCCCAGCATAGAGCTCCTCAACACAGTGCTGTGCTCAGATCACCTCTCCCATCAGCCGGTGAGTAAACACACTATTTCATCCCCATCAAAACCACAAATATATTGGAATATGTAGAGATTGTAGAAGCTGGGGGAGTTAAAGAGGAATGATTGATGTTGTTATTCTTGAAATGAATTGAGGTCAATGGTTATTGTTGATATTGCAATCTTTGTTTTGACCTGAAATGATCTCACTGTAACTGAAAAGATGGAAATGTGACATCATCATAATCTATTGAGGAAACAGATTCTTGTTTACTTTGTTTATCAAGCGTTTTGTGCAGAAGATGTATCAGTCAGGGGCGCTGTAGGGAGGGTGTAGCTTGCCAAATGATTAGAGCCAAGTCATGTTTGAAACCTTTTGATACTGACGTACATATGAGGATACATTTTCTTTCTTACTTTGAGAAAGAAACTTTTAACAATCACACCTTTTTTCCCTTCAACGGAAGACAATATTCTGTAATATCAAATAGTGTCTAAACAAGCAGCTGTACCAACACACGGGATGGATATCAGTTTCTCAGAAAAGTCATACAAATTTGAGACGAAATCCAATGCCTGCGATCGTGCTTGACAGTTGCTTTGATACTGCTGCAGTCATAGTACTGAGGGTTCCTGTCAAAGTATTTTCAACATACATTACAATATGCCTGAAAGATGTTGCACGTTTTTCCAATTGGTCACAGCATTGGTTACAGTCTTCAAACTAATGCAAAGCATTGATTCAAAGATTCAAGATTCAAAAGGTTTAATGTCATATACACAACTACGGTGTAGTTATGTAATGAATACAAAACTTGGGTCACAGGTTACTCAACAATGCAATTAAGGATTGTTAAGCATTGGACATCAAAATAATGTTTTATCTTCCAAACTAACCACATCAAGTCTATAGACTACACATTCACTATGTTTTGATCTAAAACTACTGCACACTAAGATCCAGCCAGGTTGGAGAGGGTCAGTGTCATTGAGCAGATCACTGAGACCCTCAGAGCGTGCTCAGCATGTCTGCTGTGTTGTCCTTGCTCTAACGAGATTACATTTGGAAACAGAGAAGGGGGAGTACTTATTAACTTGAGCCAGGGATTATGGGACATTGGATCATCCTCAGAGAACATGCTGCAAGGTGTATTCCATCTCACACATTCAATCAGTGGGAAATATGAGTATACATCCTGCTTGCTGATCAGTAAGACGATGAATGTTGTCAGACTGAGGTGAGAGGCTACATGCTTATTCTAACAAGATTTTAATGATGAACTAATTGTATATATTGTAATATCAATGTAATATATTGTAGTACAATAAAGTAGTTTTACTTGACCTTATGATTCTATCAATATTTGTATACTTTATTATTTTAATGGTGTCTTCTAAAGAACTTCTTATTTTAAAATATATCATACATTTATTTTATTGTATTGTATCTTTTGTTGCATATTCTTACTTTCACTTTTTTATATTTATACAATCATTTGTATTGCACCCGGGTGTTTGTAGTCAACAATGATCTACATAATAAATAGCCTATTTGTGTTTCCTTCTCAAATAAAGGAACTGTCATTAAACCCAATGTACCCCGAGATAATTCAAGTATTCAGATTCTGATATCATATTTCGTTGTTTGAACCTTTTTCTTTCTCCTTTCCAAAACAAAAAGATATCATTGTGACTACTATACTTCAGAAAGGTGTCTCTAAAGCCTGCACAGAGGCATCCTAACTTCTCAAAATGAATCTTGAGGTGCCCAAAGCTGAGATAAAGTCTGCCACTCGCGTCACCGGCGGCCCCTCCACTCCACGGAAAGGACCCCCCAAGTTCAAACAGAGGCAGACCCGTCAGTTCAAGAGCAAGCCTCCGAAGAAGGGAATCCAAGGGTAAGGATTCGTCAGAGGCTTAGATATAATGGCCAGTTTTGGTGTGTAACTTGTTTTTTCTTTGTAGATTTGGTGATGATATCCCTGGAATGGAGGGCTTAGGAACCGGTGAGATCACTTTGAAATGCATTTTGTATGAGTTATTATATGAAGAGGCTTACCGGTAAATAACCATATCTTTTTTCTATTTCTGCAGATATTACCGTCATTTGTCCCTGGGAGGCCTTCAATCACCTGGAGCTCAATGAGCTGGCCAAGTACGGCATCATCTGAGCCCCCACTGAGGATTACAGGCTGCATCGATACACTTCGTACTGCCGCCTCAGTCTTCATCTTCTAACTTCAAATGGAACTATTCCAAACAAACAACTACAAAAACGGAACTGTCCTCTGTCCTCACGAGCATGCATTGCTCAAGTTTAGCATCCATTACATGACATGTTACTTGTTAGAGGCTTTTATCCAAAGCGACTTACTCAATACTGAGGGCAATCCCCACAGGAGCAATTTGGGGTGAAGTGTCTCAGGGACACAACGACATGCTGACTGCAGTGGGGTTTGAACCTGTGCTCCCCTGATCCCTACACCAACGCACTACCCACTGCGCCACACGCATCCCTTTCTCTTCGCTTGCTTCTTGTCTCTTTTCTCCTCTCTTTCTCCTCTTATCTTTTGCTCACAGATAAAACAGGACATTTAGGAAAGAAAGGCAACCTGAAATGTCGTGACAAAGAAGAGGTTGGATTCCCACTTCATATGATTTCTACGCCTCCTTCGCCATCTCAGAGGCTTGTCCGTCAATGTAGAGAATGTAAGATTCAAAACCTGAATTATGTAAAGACTGGGAACCAGCTTGACATTTCTGATCGTAACTTTTTAAGTTGGATCATTTGAATCAATCCTATCCTTTTGTCTCTTTGGTTTGACCATCACAAAAACTTAAAATACCATTTTGTTTTCTTCCATCATAATATGTGTAAGTCTGACTCTGGTGCATTTAGAGAAGCTTTCTCATAAAAGAAAAACACACAGCAGCTTTTATGATTGTGTTTCTGTTTACTTATATTGTAAATCCCCTCTTATTTGAATGTCATTCTTGTATAATATGAATGTATATGAACATTTGTGTTTTATGTTCTTGTCATACTTCCACACAACACTGTTGTGTCCTGTGTGTTATATTTTTGTTTTTAATAGCAATTTCTTCTTTCATCCATCATTTACCTATTTTTCTTTTCATTCTCATTTCATCTCCATCACTGATCCTTCATGCTGTTCATGTTTAGACTCTGGAATATTACCAATCTGTTGTACATAAGATCAATGCATGCACACCTTGACTTTCATTTGGCTTTTTTCTCTTTCACATTTTTTTCAAATAAAGACAAGATAAGATATAAGGTAAGAAATACTTTCATGATCCCAAATTGGGAATTATTTTCCATTACAGCAGCATGTCAAAACAAAGGCATTGCACATCATTTGAAATGTAAAGAGTATACAATAAACAAACGTAAAATAAAGAAGATATTAACAAATAGGTTGCTAGCTGGTAAAGGAAGATTTTATGTTTTTTTTCTGAAATAACTTGTGTTCAATGATTGTTCTGTAGTGGTAATGGATGGCATAGGGATTCAAAGGATGGATGTTTCAGTAAATGTTCAGATCTGAAGAGATGTATATAAAGCTTTGTAATTTCTACAGCATGAAGAAAAATTAAAGAGTAAACAAGTAAAATAAAAATGGAGATGTATCTTTTCTCACAAAATTATTTATCAGATGATATTGTTTTTATCAGCCTTACCGTAACATACAATTAAAGTAGTGTTGTAACAAATACAACAATGTGCACAACTCATTTAAAAAATGCAAAATATATTAAAGGAAAGGGGTATTTAGACTTTGATAATATACATATCATGCAATTGATGAAACTGTGTTTATTAAAGTTAATACAGCAGTGTAATACGTTGAGCATTTCATACAGTGCACACTACACTATCAGTTGCAGCTTTATCCAAATCCCAGGGACAATAGAGTACTGTGCCAGAAGACTGCTGTTTGTGGTTTGTGGTAATGATTCAACCTGATTCTATTGACACATATACACTATAGAAGCTAAACTAAATAGGGACTTCGAATCAGGTCCATCAACAAGCCACACATTTGCAATGATGTGCAACTAATTGAAATGCAGGTGGGTCTTTGTTGGTATGGTCCCCTGCAGTTGGTAACCAAACCGTTACCTGGGCATGCCTTGCATATATTTATAATATTTGACATGCTTTTGAAGTTCTAATCTGCTTTGTTGCACAGCATCCTCTAAATTGTAGTTGAAGAACAATAAACAACTGCAATTTGAAATAAAAAAAAGTGGAACGTGCCTTCTCAGTTTGAAAAAAACGTGTTTCCTCCGTGGTCTCTTCGGTGTAGGACCGGTGCGAAACTGTCGGTCGCTAATGTCTGCAACACCCGGTGTTTGAGTTGTGGGATGGAGTTTCGTTGACAGACAGTAACAATACGTGACGTTTGTATTTAGTGTCTCTGTCTTCATACGCAGCGACATCGGGAGGACTCCCCAGTGCAACATGGCGGATACTATTGTAAGCATAACGGCATGTTTTATTAACGGCATTGAAGGGTAGACTCGGCTAACGTTAGCTAGCTTGTTAGCCGAAGTCCGGAGTGATGAGGCAGCAGAATTAGCTTGGTAGCTAACGTTCGCTGGCTATCATTAGCAATGGGTGACTGGGGCCTGTTTAGCTAACCGGCTAATATTAGCTCATAGGCTCTCTGACGACATTTGAATAATAAAAGGCGTCAAAGGATAAAAGAAAAGCTACATTTAGGAATACAACTGTATGGCATCCCATTAGCCAAACATTGGCCAGCATATAATTGGTGGATATAATGGAAGCCAAGATGTTGTTGATTCATTAAAAGTTGACTGCGAAAGACCCCTCCACACCGTGACAGCTTTATCAACGTTGTCATATTCGACATGTTTTTGTCGTTATAGCAAAGCTATTTTGTGAAAACTAGAGACTCCTAGGCTAACGTTAACATTACTTTTTTGCACTGTCATCGCTGTCATAGTATCCTGACACTGTCACCACTGTAAAGAGGGGTAGAGGAGGGGGGTTATGGCCATTGTTTTTCTGATATTGAAAATGTAACTAACAATGGAGTGTCCTATCCCAATTGCATGAAATGGTATATCTTATGTCTTTGTCTCTTTTTAGATCGTCAGGGTACAATCCCCAGATGGCATGAAGAAAATTGCTTCTACCAAGAGGGACACTGCTACTGCTTTTTTAAAGAAGGTACTGTATGAAAAACACAACCGTTTTCAAGTAATAATGGGTTGAACTGTCAAATCACACAATCCACTTTTGCTTTCTGTTTGAAGCCACCAGTGTGTGCCAGGGTACAACAACACACCATACCGTCCACCTGTTATCATCCTTTTTCTTCAGTAATGCAGTCACCAACATGGGAATTGATATCACAAAGTAAACGTGTGTTTCCCTGGGTTGTGCTTCTGCCGGCTCATTGTTCCTTTATGTAAGGAGCTGTACACAAAGTGCCAGAGTAGGTCAGCCCTGCCTCTTTGTGCTAAGCTGGCTCCTAGAGCTGCATGATATGACGGAAATATCCGATTACTTACATTTTGCAAGAACATTATTTATTGCATCTCTGCCTTTCTACCTCTTTCATTGCACTGCTTCAAAACAACGTATTAGTTATATACAATTATAAATTACTTTCAAAATGTTTTCACTCACCATACATTTAATTAAAAACAAAAGGTACCAATGAAACAATGAATGATAGTTACATTTTAAAGTGTATTTTTCGAATGGAACTCTCTTTAAACAAATAAAGAAAATCCCTGTGTGCTATATCACTGCTATTCACGATGTGTTCATTGTGAAAGCATCCCTATATAGCTATATTGTGCAACTCTACTGCTTTCCGCTATCAACACATGCGTTGCCAAGGAGATTTGTGTACAATTCAGCCGACTATCATGTTGTGATTACAACCCAGACACTTCAGAGAATAAACAAACGTATTCAAAAGATAATTTGGCCCTGTAATGTGATATATGTGTAACAACTATCCCCTTCTGTTAAAGCGCCTACACATAATTACTGCTTTACATTTATTTGAGTTAATGGACTTAAAAAACCTAAAATAGAACCATTTTCCAACAGCAGACCAGTCACAGTGGAGCATTGCAGCAGCACCTCATTAAAAATGTATGTCTCCGTGTTGAGGCAGGATGGTGTAGCCTGCAGATCAATGTGGGGAGATGGGCTCATTCCCTGCGGAGGTGCAGCCTTTGATAGTTTGAATAGAAAGCCATGGATCAGAGGTAGACAGTGCAGAGACCTGCAGGTTAGGATCTGGAGAGGAGATCAAAGTGATGTTGTTTCTCATAGATTCTGACAGAACACAGTAATAGCTGTTCTTTTTTGTGGCTTGAGAGAAATCATGACTGCTGCTGTGGCATGGACATGGGTAACCCATTTATAATGGAGTTGTTGTTCAAACCCTTCCCTGTTTCCATTAGCCAATATCCCATTTTCTGAAACACAAATAGGCAAGCTTACAGAGGACGTCTTATGCTCACTCAGTGGGAGAGGGAGAGAAACTCCCTCTGGAGAGAACGTTGGGATTTTAGCCTTCGCAGACCATTTACATGCACACAATCTATATAACACACTACAGGAAAGGGAACTCCTAAAAAGGACAATAGTTTCTCTCCAAGTAATCAAGATACTCTCATGGAAGCCCCGTAGCCCAGTTATCGACCACCGTTTACTTTGCGCACCAGCTCAGGTGTGTGTGTGTGTGTGTGTGTGTGTGTGTGTGTGTGTGTGTGTGTGTGTGTGTGTGTGTGTGTGTGTGTGTGTGTGTGTGTGTGTGTGTGTGTGTTGTGTGTGTGTGTGTGTGTGTGTGTGTGTGTGTGTGGTGTGTGTGTGTGTGTGTGTGTGTGTGTGTGTGTGTGTGTGTGTGTGTGTGTGTGTGTGTGTGTGTGTGTGTGTGTGTGTGTGTGTGTGTAGCGTTTAATATTTCATGGCGCTGTCTGGCTTGTTTGTGTCAACAATAGAGCGCCTGTACAAGTAGAATGCAGTTATCAGTAACCTAGTTACTAAACTGTATTTCTTTGAGGAATGAATAACCTAATTTATTTATGCACATATAAACATTATTATTGTTAATATAGGATCATAACCAGAATCTTTGCTCATGTCCAATGCAGTCCATGGCTTTATCCTCAAGGGTTTGGACTGTGTCTGCTTAGTTGTAGCATACCGACTTTGAAGATTAAGACAAAAGCTCTGTTAGATGGTTTGTGATGGTCTATTGGTTTAATTGCAAGAGGTCAATGCAGCCGTCTGAAATATTCTTCTATAAGTGTCATCCTGATTTAGTTTTATGCCGAGATAACCGTTCTGCTCTTAAAAAGGTTCATTAATTGTTCAACCGAAGTGATGAAACGGAGGCTTATGGAGACTGCTTGTCCTCCTGATACGTGATGTGGTGATTGAAGTACCACGGGATACTATGCTGGCCGCCCAGCTCGGTGTGATCAGCTTAGTTTGGCTACATGCTGAGTTTCTCTCGTTCCAAGAGGCTCTATGCTAATCTGCTTCTGTAAGGTGATCGGTATTGTTCGAAGAGAGACACCTTCCTTTGCACATATTCTTTGAACTCTTTCTAAGAGTGGATTTTAAGGATACTTCTGAGGCTGATTGAGAACATTGTGTGTTTTGATCCTCTTAAATGGATTTCATTTGATTCGATGAAATACAAGTGATCCATTCTAATCAGCAAACGTACCTCTCTCTCAGGTGGCCAAAGAGTTTGGGTTAAATTCCGAGTTTTCTGTTTACCTGAACCGCAACAAGACCGAAGAGCTCCTTTCCCAGAACAAAACGCTGAGCCTGCTTAAGATCAAGTAAGTAAACGTGTACAGTGTTAGGCATCAGTAAAGTCTAGATCCTTCCTTAATCAAATTGAGTTTTTGAAAAGACACAATGTAACTTTTAAAAGTATCATCCATGTGCCTGTATCTGCTAAAAGAAATGAGAAAACAATCGTACAGTATAATGTAGTAGTATTAGATTAAGAAAATACATATTTGAATAATTATCCAAAAGTTACATGGGTCACACGCTTCGTCTTCTCTTCTCTGTAGGCATGGCGACATGCTGTATCTGGTCCCTTCAGGGTCCCCTTCCACCTCGGGGGAGGTGATGGACACGGCCACCCCGCACACATCTTCATCCCTACCACCTGTCTCAACTGCCTCATCCTCCTCTTCGTCCTCCATGATCCCCCGGTCCTTCTCAGCGCCCCAAGTCCAGGAGGACGAGATCGATCAGTATCTGTCCAAACAAGACGGCAAGATCTACAGGAACAAAGATCCACAGCTGTAAGCAAAACAACTCACTGCTGCAAACTAAATCCACATTCAAAACAAATATCAGGGACCTCATGACTCTTTCCTTGTTACAGATGTCACCACGGTTCCCTTGGAAAATGTGTGCACTGTGTACCGTTAGAGGTAAGAGACTTTCACGTCAACTATCCAGACTATAATGCAAAGATTTGTTTGACTTATTTGACCTTTTTTTGTTGTCAGCCTTTCGATGAAGACTACCTGAATCACCTCGACCCGCCAGTGAAGCACATGTCATTCCACGCATATCTCCGGAAATTGACCGGTGGAGCTGATAAGTAAGTAGTTGTGTTAAAAATGTATTAAATATGACCGTTTCTTTAATTTGTTGTTCATTTTTGACACTTTTTCCCCATTCCTTCCAGAGGGAAGTTTGCAGCTCTGGAGAACCTCAGCTGTAAGATCAAGTCGGGCTGTGAGGGCCACCCTCCCTGGCCCGAGGGGATCTGCACCAAGTGCCAGCCCAGCGCCCTCACCCTCAACAGACAGGTACGGGAACGAGCCTTAGTGTCTGAAGCTTTCAGTGAGTGCAACAACAGAGGGGGAAAGAAAGAAGCTTTTGTTTTGTTCCCGTTTTGTCATTTCTTACTTTGTAAATGCTCTTCTCTTCCTTGTCTTCACCTGTAATCACTTAATCATTCATTAAACACTAAGAAGCATCAGAATCAGTTTTGACATTTGGATATTATTATTATTATAATTATAATCGAGTTTGTGATTCAGTCAAAATCTTTAGGACATAGTATTTGAAGAGTCCCATTACAGGGTTTATGTAAAGCCTATTATTAATGGGGTAGCTCTATACATTCATTTGACTATTGACTTATTATTATTATATTTGTATTGTTTCACTGTAATATCCGACCGGGCCGAATGTCGTTTGTCTTTTTGTTCCCTGCCTTTTCTTCTTTGCCAAAAGTGACAAAAGTATATATTTAAATAAATGTAAGAGAGAAGATTACGCAGACGCTGGCCCTGCTCTGGAATGATCTCCACTCAGCAGCGAGGCAACAATAACCCACATTCTATCCAGCATTGAACTGCAAAACAATTGTGTTGCATGTTTTTGCATCACAGCTGATGCTGGTCGACTTATATGTCCTGTCAAATACCTTTCCTTGATATCCACGTACATTTTTTAAGATATTTAATTACTGGTAGTAATGGATAGAGTATAAAATCATAATCATTTAATTCAAAGCGTTGACCACGAGCAGCATCTACTATGCAACTGGACAGGTGGAGCTGGTGTTGGCGTGGCATTGAAACAAACAATAACCTGCTCTTGTGTTTGGGCCCTGCGGCCAAAATGAACCCCAAATACTGTAGCATGAATGTGTCTTTCTCTGTTCTTCTCCCAGAAATACAGACACGTGGACAACATCATGTTTGAGAACCACACCATCGCTGACCACTTCCTGGACTTCTGGAGGAAGACAGGCAGTCAGAGGATGGGATACTTGTACGGCAGGTTCACTGAGAAAAAAGACATCCCTCTGGGCATCAGAGCCGAGGTGGCCGCCATCTACGAGCCGCCACAGGTGAGCAAATAACTCGAATGTATCACAGTTCATTTCAGTGTCCTTTTGTTTCGTGTACTTCAGTCTGGCCTGCCATCAACAAAGAAACTCCTCATTCATTATTTGAGTTGTCATGTGTTGGTAACACCTGTCCCTGCTGTGTTTCAGAACGCCAGTCAGAACAGCCTGGAGCTGGTGGACGATCCTAAAGCTGCGGCTGTGGACGAAATTGCCGCCAAACTGGGCCTGACCAAGGTTGGCCTTCTTTCGCTTGCTCTGTTTAGCACTGCTTTGTGATTACATTTTAGACAAAGGTTTTCTTTTGTACCTTACCTTTCATTTGAATCATGAAGGTTCTGCAGCATTGAGACCAACTTCAAATTCAAGACGGATTAGTTCTTCTCTGTCAAAGTGTTCCAGCTCTATGCCTTTGGCACAGAAATGGATTTACAATTAACATTGTTACAGCAAAGGGAACTGAGTTGACTAACATATTGCACTAGGAGTCACGTGTTAATACAGTTAAGTGTATATCAGATTAGCAGGTTTAAAATAAAAAAGGGGACATGCAGGAGTGTGAACGCCATTAACTCTTCCTGTTCTTGTTTCATTCTTTTTGGACGTCCTTTCGTGGACGTATGAATTAAGATCATTTTACCCTTATTTTTTCGGCTTCACCCAAAAGTGAATTCCAATATTGATTCATCTACTGATTTTTGTACAATTTATTATTTTGACAATAAAATGTCAGTAAATATTCAAATATACATGTCCATAAAAAGGTTTACTATTCATTTAATTTCAAACCTTTATTTAGCCAGGTGTATCCCATTGATCTCTTTTTCAAGGGAGACCTGCTCAAGTAGTTCCACATGAAACATAAAAACATAAATAGAACAACAAAAGGACATCATACAGCATCATTTACATAATTATCCACATAAACAGGTACCAATAGCTTCCGATTGAGTAGCATCCAACCGAGCTTTAAAAACATTTAGTGGCACCAGATTGCTCAGTTTCCATTTAATTTGCAGACTATTCCAAGACAGAGGAGCTGCGCATCAAAGCTGTCTTCCCTAAGACAGTCCTAGCAGTTGGCACATTTAATAAAACCACAGCATTCGATCTCAGGCAGTAGCCACTTACAATTCGCCGTGAGATCAGGGAGCAGATATAAGATGGAAGTTTCCCTAACATGGCTTTGTATATAAAAATGTACCAGTGACTGAGCCTCCGTACAGTTAGTGAAAGCAAACCAGCCCTTGCATACAGGGTACAGTGATGGGTTAATGCTTTACAGTTTGTCACACATCTCAGTGCACTGTGATACGCAGCATCTAACTTGACCAGGCAATTGGCAGGTGCATTCATATACATCAAATCACCATATTCCAGCACAGGTAAAAAGGTCACAGTGACTAGCCTTTTCCTGGCCTCAAGCGAGAAACAGGACTTGTTCCTGTAGAAGAAACCTAGCCTAACCCTCAGCTTTTTAAGCAGGTTATTGACATGAAGTTTAAAAGTGAGACAGTCATCAAGCCAGATACCAAGGTATTTGTAACTATCTTTATAAGACTAAAAAAAACAATTAATATCCACATTTCCGAAGCAAAAATTATGAATAGGTTTTTTTGCTTTAAAAAATATTAAAATAATAAAATTAATTAATATTAATAATTTTTACAGATTGTTAACTAATTATTTTGATCCATTTCTTCCTGTTCCAGGTGGGCTGGATCTTCTCTGACCTGCTCTCTGAGGACACGAGGATAGGAACCGTCCGCTACACGAGAAACAATGTGAGGATGCAGCTCACTAAGAGAAAACCACTTCATGACTCAAATGTGCTGCTCTCCCCTGTTGGTGTTTAACATGCTGCTTTCTGCTGTCAGGACTCACACTACCTGAGCGCAGAGGAGTGCATCACCGCCGGATACTTCCAGAATCTACATTCAAACCCCTGCAGACTCTCTAGAGACGGACATTTTGGCTCCAAATTTGTGACCGTGGTGGCAACAGGTAGGTTTATATTCACTGAGGCTGAAGTGATGCTGTCATTCTTGCCTAAACCATTGTGTTTGGTATGATGCGTTTATATAAGCTAATATCATCTGGTCCTGACTTTCCAGTCCAGTTTCTTCTTTACTAGTATTAACTGTCACATGTAGCAGGAGAGGTTCGACAATTACAATGTCATATTTAGCTTTATAGGATTTCTGACGGAGCGAAACACAAAATCTCAACATTTGAAAAGCTGAACAAAAATCAGTTTTTGCAATAAGAATGACTTTACTTTATAAATCAATGATCAAAATAGCCAGATGATTGTTTGTGGATTGACTGCAAAGGTCTTATAATTACAAATCAATACAACCAATCATTACAACATGTGAATTGTCTTAACTGGTACACCATGGGTGGATTTGAAGAGATGAGCCTCTGCATGTGCTAAAGGAGTCCTTACTCTGGCACTCGGGTTCTAGTACTGCCTGCAGCAGTATTTGTGTCCCGGTTTCCTTTCTATTGAGACAAAACAAAACTTTATACATAGTCATATGAAATTGCAAACAATGCGGCTGACAATCTTAAAATGAACATTCCTGTTAATGTGTCTTAGCCAGCCGACTCACAAGTATTAACTGACAGTAAAAACAGCATCAACATAAGCGCTGTGAGGGCCGATTGTTAAAGAGTCTTACTTCCTCTCAGGTATCTGCATACATAGTAATGTTGAGTCCAATGGAGCAGCTTAACTCAGGCCAGATGCTCTCAGGTCCGTAGGATCAAGGACACATGTTTACACTTTCCCTCCTTTACAACCGTGCCAATTATTGGTTCCAGAAAAGTACACATGTAACAGTGAGCTCATCACTTTCATTTGCATTAATGAGACGCTGACGTCATGGCTTCACATCTGGAGCAGAAATGTCTGTTTTTATTTTCCTTTGTGTAAAGACGTAGTGTGTTTGCTAATCAGTTTCATGTGTTAAGAGCTATTAGATGAGATACAAAGCACACTGACAGAAAAACCCTTAAACAACGTTAGCCGTGTGCCAAACTTCTTAGTTGGTATTTTAATTGGTTCTACACATCAGGCGGGACGTGTTTGTATTTTTGTTTATAGCTGTTGTTTCCCGTTTTGTGAAAAAGTCGATGCTGAGACAAACAAATTCATGTATTAGTTGATGAATGACCTTTTTGATAACTATTTAAACATTGTGGTTGTTTATTAAATGCAAGTAATCTTCATTAACTGCTTATAGCTACTCAACAGAGAAAAGGCTGCTAATACAGTGCTACATATAATTATAATAATCTTAAGGTGTTACCTCTCTGTCATGGGCATTTGAAATGTTTAACATTTTAAAGAGAACATTTGTGCTAGGTAAATGACAGTTGTTCGTATTTCTTCATGACAACTTGTCACAAGAGCTTTAGAAGTTGGACAAATGGCAATGTTATCAAAGTTATGAAATGATATTAAAACGACACAGATGAGGTTCAATTGTAAGAGAAAGAAGCAAAGGAGAAATAAAGTGATTCATAAAAATGAAGCAAGATAATAAGATTCATAAATAACACATACAGTGGGGCAAAAAAGTATTTAGTCAGCCACCAATTGTGCAAGTTCTCCCACTTAAAAAGATGAGAGAGGCCTGTAATTGTCATCCTAGGTACACTTCAACTATGAGAGACAGAATGAGAAAACAAAATCATCCAGAAAATCACATTGTCTGATTTTTAAAGAATTTATTTGCAAATTATGGTGGAAAATAAGTATTTGGTCAATAACAAAAGTTCATCTCAATACTTTGTTATATACAGGGCTGCACATAACTGGTGCGCAGGTGCGCATGCGCACCTCCGCCAAAAAAAGAGCACCGTGTCATTTGAAAAAAGGCGCATTTGCGTACCAACATTGAGAGAGAGGAAGAGAGAGAAGAGAGAGAAATATATTTGCGAGTTGCATATGAACCTATGATATGAACTCAGGGCCGGCCCGTAGCACTGGCGTAATAGATGTTCGCCTAGGGCGCCAGATCTGGGGAGGCGCTGCGCTGGCAGCTCTGGGAGGGAAAAAAACATTTTTGACCGTTGGGGCTCATCCTAATATTCGGCCTTGATGTAACAATATTCATAATTAAGTAAATGTAACACCCTTTTCACCCCGGTTACACGTTTCATTTGCCCTGTACGATGGGCGCTGTAAGTCATGAAAATGGGGGATGTTGGCTTATCTGGCGCCCGCAGCTCACAGACAAAATGCGAGTGAGCGAGAGAGAGAGGGAGGGTGTACCGGTACCGGCGCTGTTGTTATTAGAATCTGGTGCTAGCTGCTTTAACGGATATAAGAAGAAGATGTTTCTACAATAATGTGGAGAGAGAGTCCTCTCCAGTCAGACTGAGAGGCTGATAACTACAGCTCAGTGAGGTTTAGATAGTTCACTTTAGTCTAAGTTCAAACGGTTTGGTCACAATCTATGTAAACACATATTTCCAAGGCACTCCTTTTATAATTATTGGGATAAACAGGTTTTAAATCATTCCAATGTATACTATAGGACAGTAACCAATAATATCCTTTAAAACTGGAGATAAAAAAAAAATGCATAAATAAATAAATGTTAAGGTAAAATAAGATATGAATGAACAACAAAAATAAAATAAGTTACATTCATTTGTTATTGGCTATGGTAGGTTATTGGTTATGTTCACATACTTATTTGATTACATCCACTTGTCTAAGATGACAACAGAGACTTTCGACCCAAACCCAGCTGTTGACTTGTGGATGCAAGCAGCTAATCGCAGACTCAACCAGAGAGAAAGAAGTAGGCCTACATCATCAGCTACCATGTCTGACAGAGAGGAAGACAGTGAGGAGAACAGTCAGGAGGGGAGTGATGACAGCTTGTAGGATTACTGGTCACGCTAATGTTGTCTTGTGTTCACCTCTGCATGTGTGTTCTGTGTTCACCTCTGCATGTGTGTTCAGTGTTCACCTCTGCATGTGTGTTCAGTGCCGTGTGTCTGGCAAATAAAGTCAAGACCCCCTCAAAAGTTACGGTTTATTTCATTTTAAGGATGAGCACCAAGCAACATCTCCAGGTGCTCCTTTGAGAACCAGGGCAAAAAAGTTATGTGCACCCCTGGTTATATACCCTTTGTTGGCAATGACAGAGGTCAAACGTTTTCTGTAAGTCTTCACAAGGTGTTCACACACTGTTGCTGGTATTTTGGCCCATTCCTCCATGCAGATCTCCTCTAGAGCAGTGATGTGTTGGGGCTGTCGCTGGGCAACACAGACTTTCAACTCCCTCCAAAGATTTTCTATGGGGTTGAGATCTGGAGACTGGCTAGGCCACTCCAGGACCTTGAAATGCTTCTTACGAAGCCACTCCTTCGTTGCCCGGGCGGTGTGTTTGGGATCATTGTCATGCTGAAAGACCCAGCCACGTTTCATCTTCAATGCCCTTGCTGATGGAAGGAGGTTGTCACTCAAAATCTCCCGATACATGGCCCCATTCATTCTTTCCTTTACACGGATCAGTCGTCCTGGTCCCTTTGCAGAAAAACAGCCCCAAAGCATGATGTTTCCACCCCCATGTTTCACAGTAGGTATGGTGTTCTTTGGATGCAACTCAGCATTCTTTCTCCTCCAAACACGTCTAGTTGAGTTTTTACCAAAAAGTTATATTTTGGTTTCATCTGACCCTATGACATTCTCCCAATCCTCTTCTGGATCATCTAAATGCTCTCTAGCAAACTTCAGACGGGCCTGGACATGTACTGGCTTAAGCAGGGGGACGCGTCTGTAGGGTTGGGTATCGTTTGAATTTCCACGATTCTGATTCCGATTCCGATTCTACTTTTCGATTCCGGTTCTTAACGGTTCTCAATTCCGATTCTTGAGGGGCAGGGTAAAAAAATGATACATGCTTCTTCCACCAAAAAAATTACATTTATTCGAGAAACTTTTACACAGGTTAGTTTACAGTAATATTCACATTAATCAGTCTGTTTATATTCACTGCTATGTGACTGTAACCTGAGAACCACTGAAGCTACAACAGTCCAACATTTAAAGGAAAACCCCCCCCCCCCCCCCCCCCCCCCCCCCCCCCCCCCCCCCCCATTTAAAAACAGTTCTTGTTGAGAAAAACAAGCATATCTGCCTTCTCAGGCATACCGGGAAGAAATGTTTGAATATTTAGTAAAATGCTTCAATCTGGTGCACTTTAAGCAGAATTACTAGAGACTAGATCTAGAGGGTACAACTCTAAACACCCATATGAAAAAGATCGGTTTACATTTTAATAATCAAATAAGTATGTGAACATAACCAATAACCTACCATAGCCAATAACAAATACATGTAACGTATTTTATTTTTGTTGTTCATTCAAATCTTATTTTACTAATGCATATTTTTTGATCTCCAGTTTAAAACGATATGTCTGGTTTACTGTCCTATAGTATACATTGGAATGATTTCAAACCTGTTTTATCCCAATAATTATAAAGGAGTGTCTTGGAAATATGTGTTTACATAAATTGTGATCAAACCGTTTGAGACCCACTGAGATAACTTAGACTAAAGTGAACTATCTAAACACTCAGAGTCCTTTACCTCACTGAGCTGTAGTTATCAGCCTCTCAGTCTGACTGGAGAGGACTCTCCCTCCACATCATTGTAGAAACATCTTCTTCTAATATCCGTTAGAGCAGCTAGCACCAGATGCTAATAACAACAGCGTGTACCGGTCCCTCTCTCCCTCGCTCGCTCACTCGCACTTTGGCTGTGAGCTGCGGGGGCCAGATAAGCCAACATCCCCCATTTTCATCACTTACAGCGCCCATCGTACAGGGCAAATGAAAAGTGTAACCGGGATGAAAAGGGTGTTACATTTACTTAATTATGAATGTTGTTACATCAAGGCCAAAAATTAGGATGAGCACCAACGGTCAAAACATTTTTTTTTTTCTCCCAGAGCTGTCAGCGCAGCGCCTCCACAGATCTGGCGCCCTAGGCGAACATCTATAACGCCAGTGCGACGGGCCGGCCCTGGTCTCAGGTTACGCTGTAGGAAGTGTAGGTACAACCATAGGGTACAACCATAGATATATATATAAACCATAGACTGTATATATAAATATAAACCTATGATATAAACACGTGTTTATATCATGGTTTATATATATCTATGGGTACAACGCTATATTTCCCGCCCCTTCGCAGTCATACAGTAGGCTACGGAGAGCGGCGAGAAACATTTCCTCAGGCATCGAAAAGCGGAACCGAAATTCACATTTCTAAATGATGCCGTTGGAATCGAAATGTTGGAACCGGTTCCGAACCGGAACCGGTTCTCGGTACCCAACCCTACACGTCTGGCACTGCAGGATTTGAGTCCCTGGCGGCGTAGTGTGTTACTGATGGTAGCCTTTGTTACTTTGGTCCCAGCTCTCTGCAGGTCATTGACTAGGTCCCCCCGTGTGGTTCTGGGATTCTTGTGATCATTTTGACCCCACGGGGTGAGATCTTGCGTGGAGCCCCAGATCGAGGGAGATTATCAGTGGTCTTGTATGTCTTCCATTTTCTAATAATTGCTCCCACAGTTGATTTCTTCACACCAAGCTGCTTACCTATTGCAGATTCAGTCTTCCCAGCCTGGTGCAGGTCTACAATTTTGTTTCTGGTGTCCTTTGACAGCTCTTTGGTCTTGGTCATAGTGGAGTTTGGAGTGTGACTGTTTGAGGTTGTGGACAGGTGTCTTTTATACTGATAACGAGTTCAAACAGGTGCCATTAATACAGTTAACGAGTGGAGGACAGAGGAGGCTCTTAAAGAAGAAGTTACAGGTCTGTGAGAGCCAGAAATCTTGTTTGTTTGTAGGTGACCAAATACTTATGTTACCGAGGAATTTACCAATTAATTCATTAAAAATCCTACAATGTGATTTCCTGGATTCTTTCCCCCCATTCTGTCTCTCATAGTTGAAGTGTACCTAGGATGAAAATTACAGGCCTCTCATCTTTTTAAGTGGGAGAACTTGCACAATTGGTGGCTGACTAAATACTTTTTTGCCCCACTGTACATATATTCAATTTTCACTTATTGATCATGATAATTGCACCTATAATGGTCGAATTGTACGCTTGAAGAAAATAATATACGTATTTAATGGATACAGAACATTGTACTACATAGATGACACTTATAGTATAGCATTGGACTAGAACAAAATAACAAAGTATATAATGAGACAGGATCACAGACGATGATGTCATTTTGTTAATCTAACCAATAACAATTTTAGCAAAAACTTTAACTTTGAAATGAGGGAACCTGAAGTGGTGTAATTCTAACTCACTCCCGGGTCTTTGGACTCATTCCTGCACCACTCTATTCAGTCAACAATACAAAAACTGTGATAGTGATTATTCTTCAACCAACTAATGAATAAACGTGTGTTTCTGTGTGCAGGGGGTCCAGATAACCAGGTGCACTTTGAAGGATATCAGGTGTCCAATCAGTGCATGGCTCTGGTCAGAGACGAGTGCCTGCTGCCCTGCAAAGACGCTCCGGAGCTGGGCTACGCTAAAGAGTCCAGCTCCGAGCAGTACGTACCAGACGTCTTCTTCAAGGTGAGGCTTCCTGCGTGTACAAACAACATATATTCACTATCCATATTCCAGGGTTCTTACGGTCATTAAAAAAACTGGAAAAGTCATGGAAATTCAAAATGCTAATTCAAGGCCCTGGAAAAGTTATAGAAAACAATATTTTTCCAAAAGTCATGGAAATGTAACTAAATCAAATATAATTTATATTTTTATCTAATCGCCGAAATAGTAATACTATAATAATAATAAATACTGTATCGTATAGTAATGAAACATAAAATGGCATTTAACCTGTTAAGCCCCAAAGACCCCTTCGGCGGGTCTTTTTTATTTTTTCATGACACTGTGTCTCAGGGCTTCTTAATATTAAAAAAAACTATGAATGTGTCGTACCCTCCTAACGGGAAGAAACTCAGCTAACTGATGATAAGAACCATTTTTACCGCAACAAAACACAAGTCTCACAAGAAGGGTCTAAATGAGCCCTGAGCGAAAACATGCTAACGCACTTAGCACAGAACTCTAGCTATACCGATCGATATATTTATTGGATCTGCACAAACAAGTTTAGCTAACATCCTGAGATTCCACAGATTATAGAAATATAAGTATCATCACTGAGCGATCAGAACTTGTGACAGGGGAAGCAAATAGACAACACACGACGTAGCTTTAGGTAGCAAAACACGGAGATATGCTCACCTTCGCTGTTCTTCTGATCAAAAGTTGTGTTCAATGGCATTAAAAGGAGAAAAACGCTGCTGAAGGTTAATCCATAGGTTAATCCAATGTCTGTCACTTTGAAAAAATAATTGATAATCCATAATTCCATTTTTATGCAAAAATCTGAGAATAAATATTAGCTGCTAATGGTAGCCACTAGAGGTTAGCGCAGCTTCCGGTTTTTGCTACGCGTCACTCTCACTCCTTATTTGGTAGTGTATGTGGAACTTTCCCTCGATTCCATTGGCTCTAGCGGTTAGAAAGAGATGTCAATCATCAAAATCGACCAAGGGGGGCCAGAGATATGGAAAATCCACCCAAATGACCCCAGAAGTGTTTTTTTTTTTTTTTTTAAACCTCTCTAAAAAGATCAAATTTCACTTGTTTTGCATCAGTCTTGATACAGGGTACTTATTATATGTTATAGTTTGGATTCCTAAAGCTTTTAGTCTACCATCCCATCATTCAAGGGTGGTTTTCACTATAAGTAATGTGTTTTTTTTTGGACGGACACAATAATTTACATTTTTTTACTATGTTCAATCTGAATTTACTTTGAAATAAAATAAATCTATATTGATTCTGACTCTTCTACATCCAACTCACAGGTTTATCATTGCTTTGAGAAAAAAGATTATTAATGTTCCCCTTTTTAGAAGTGTAGTTATGGTCATTTGTTCTGGGAATGTCATTTTCGAGCCTGAGACCTGGAAAACAGGCCTGGGGCTTAACTGACGAGGTATTTTGCTGGTGAGATTTTAGTTGCTTTAGCCTGTAGGACAGTGGTCACCAACCTTTTTAAGCCCAAGATCACCGACCTCTGCCTAGGTGAAAGGCGAGATCTACCTATTGCAGAATTGAGTGAAAAAGACGGCCCAGACTGTGCTTCCAATTTGAGGCCTTGTATATAGGCTAATTGCATCTGAATTACTGTTACAATGAAGGCTCCATAATCAGCTCACGGCATATAGGCAGGGGTAAAGTGCTATTTTTTATGAGTGGGGGGGCGGACCTCACCTCCTCTAGGGGGGTCCTCACCTCCTCTAGGTCCTCACCTCCTCTAGGGCGGTCCGGGGGGATGCTCCCCCGGGAAGATTTATTTTTAAATATTGAAGTTGAAAGCATCAATCTGGTGCACTTTGAGAGCAACATGAAGAGATCTATGGATACCTCTCTCAGCACCCTTTTTCTTTATGGATATTTTACAAATCACTCCCCTTTCAAACTGTATTCTTGTTCTACTGCCATAGTATTTCTTACCTGTTTTTCATTTATTCTCTTATTGTTTGTATAACTATAATGATCATATGAAGGTGTGTCGCAGAAATAATCTATTGAATAATTTGTGACAAAACCGTTCTAAACACTCAGAGTCCTTTAGCTCACCTGAGCTCACCTGAGCTCACCTGAGAGTCCTCCCCTGTCAGACTGAGGTCTGACAGGGGAGGACTCTCCTCCAGCTTGTTGTGGAAACAGCTCCTTATGTCCGTTAGTGCAGCTAGCTAACCAGATGCTAACATCACGGTCCCCGCTAGCACCGGTCCCTCTCTCTCCCTCCCTCTCTCTCTCCCTCTCTCTCTCTCTCTCTCTCTCCCTCTCGATCACACTAAATGCGCTACTGCCACACACACACACAGAGCCGAGCTTGAATGACACAAGCACACGTGTATTTCCATGCAACTCTCTGATTGGTCTGGTGACTTGCCTCTTCACTGAACACGGGAAATTGCAGTCCTGCCATCCTCTCTTGTGTCATGATGAGGTTCACGTAAAGAGCGGTTAATGCATTATATTATTGAGGTGTCTCAAATATACGTCAATCAAGTGGCACCTGCTAACGGGGTGGTGGGTGATAGGTTTACATCTAAAAACGTATTTTTCAAACATTATTATTTTCTTTTTCTTTCTTTTGTTACTTTTTTTTTTAACGGTCCGCGATCTACCCGCACCACACTCTATTTGATTTGTTTCAGATAAGCACAACATGTTTCATATGCAGACCTTATTTTCCTGTTCCATGTTAAAATAAACCATTGGTGAAAAAGTGTATGAACCCTGATATTATATAACTCTGTTTTTGAACTTAATTAACTAGCACTTTGCTATTACGGCCAGGTGTTATGAGTTTGATCATCCAGATGTTTGTATCCAGGTGTTGAGACTATTTGTTTGTGATCATTTATTTTCCCTCCTACCATTCTACAGGACAAAGACAAGTTTGGAAATGATGTCACGTTTCTAGCTCGGCCTCTGCCTGTGGAGTATCTCATCATAGATGTGAGTATGACTGTTTCTACGCTCAGCAGCTATACATGCAGCTTTTTTCTTTTATTACAATTTAATTTACTGACACTATTTATTTATTTTTTCAGATTACTACCACTTTTCCAAAGGACCCCCAGTACACCTTCTCTTCTACACAACGCTTCCCCATTGAGAACCGGGACATCATGGGAGAGACACAAGTGAGTCATTTCTGCATCAACTAAACCCAATACAGGTGGCTGGCAAAACTAGTTTCTACATTTTCTTGTTAAATACATTTTATTTTGTAATTTATTTAAAGTCTTACATTTGGGAAATATACCTTAAGGCTGAAAAAAAACGTGTTATACAAATATCAAACGGATCCAAAATGTGTGAATAAACCCTAGAATTGTTTCTGTAATGATGAATCCCACATCGCTTGGGTTGCTATTATTCCAAGTGTTTAAGTCTTGTCGTTTTTATTTGTTTTAAAGGGCCATAATGCTTTGTAAAATACTGAAAACAATTGTAAAAGCATATTCAAAATAATAAGAATATTATTGCAAATTAGTGTTGTCACGATACCAACATGTTGGTTCCGATACCAAGTCAAGAATTGCGATTCCGATTCTTTTTCGATACTTTTCTTAAAAAAAGGGAAACAGTCTTAAATGTAATTATTGTGCTTTATTTCACACCAGAACCATAACACACACTTTTAAACAATGAGAACAATAAATAAAATAATTGACAAGAATTTGTATTAAATACAATTGAGCATCATCTATAAACAACTTTTTTGTTTTTCGCTTCTGGCGTCTTTTTTGTCAACAAGCCGAGGCGCAGCGGCAGTTTCCACTCCCACTTGCAGCCATGCTTCTCGTCTTCTCACATGCTCTGGCAGCTAGCGCGTGCACGAGAGAGGGGAGGGACTTAGAGCGTGCTTGAGAGGGGCGGGACTGCAGGCACGGCTGCAGTGCAGGGAGTGGAAGCAGAGCACTGAACCCACACGGCTCTTATTAAAAGTACTTTCCCCCGTCATTCTTAAAGTACCGATACTAATGAAATGGAGGAATCGTAACGTTTTTAACGGCAGGGTATCGCGGTACCTTTCAAGTATCGGTACACCGTGCAACACTACTGCAAATGAAATCCTATATTTTTGTTCAACTATAGAATTGAAATAAATGTATTAACCAATTCTTCCTGAACATGTATGCAGTAAATGTGAGATATTGGGTATGCGTATATTCTGTCCATCCCAAGCAACGGAAATGTTTGTTCAAAACACTGCTTTACATATGAATCCTCCTCTCCTCATAATAGAGCTTGCACACGGCTACAGTTTGGTGTTTGAGAAAATGAGGGTAACTGAGCGTTTGAATTCCATACCCTCCAGAGGTCAGAGGAAGTTATACATCTTGTTTTTTGTTTTTGTGTGTCTGCAGAACTTCCACAGTTTAGCAACATACCTGTCCCAGAGCACCTCCACGTCGTTCCTGGAGATCGTGTCGGACTTCCATCTGCTGCTCTTCCTCGTCACCAATGAGGTCATGCCTCTGAGAGTAAGTCCATACTCCCTTTGTTTTCCTTTTGTTTAGCAGCAAACGGGTTATCATGAGCCCACATTCTTCTCCAGTCTGGAAACGGTTACTGTTGTGAGGATGTTTTCACTCATGCTGACAGATTGAAACTGGCCCCAGGCCCATCATGACGATCAAAGGGTGATAACAAATTGTTGGATGCTTGATCAATTTGGACGTTTTCTATAAAAACCAGACTTGTCCCAGCTGGTGTATTTTATCCCTGAATTGTCTTGCGGATAGATGAGAGTTTGTGTTTGTTTGTGCAGGACAGCATTGGGTTGCTACTCGATGCAGTGAGGACTTCTGATGAGGATCTGGCCCAGACCTGGAAGAAGTCGGAGCAGTGGGCCACCATCGAGCAGCTGTGCAGTAAGTCTCTGCCATCACACTCAGTCATACCCGTACAGATCTCAGTTTGGTTTGTGCACTAGTGTGGAATATTTAACTGATACATCTGCTTACAGAAATCTTTAATACCTTTTGCAGTTCGAAAATAGTCAAAACTGTGACACATTTTGAAACATGACAATGTGTTGTGGTTTCCTTTTTAATGTGTCGCCTTTCTGTACAATAACATCTCATTTACTTTGATGACGAGCATATACTAGTATTCTATCTTTGCCCTATTTATAGGTGTATTTAGGTGTGGGAAAAGCTTCAAAGGTACTTTTGAATGTTTGAAAAGGGCTTGACTTTGTAAAAGAGAAACCTTATTGTCAGACTAAGACATGCAGTAGACTCGCCTTAAGTAGAAAGATAACGTTAGGCTATAAACTAAATTACAGTAACACTAAGCTAAAGGGCGGCTAATGTGTGTCTTGATTACATTTAGTAGTCTCATTTAGTTACTTGTTTGCAACCGCAGTCACTTTTGTGACACAAAGAAACTTTCCCCAGTGGGGTATTTAGTGACGCATTTGATGTGGAACAAAGCATGGAAATCTATTTAGCTTGTGTTAACCAAAAAGTAGCTAATGCTGTGTCCTCCCTCTCCTCAGGTACAGTGGGCGGGCAGCCCTCCAGCTCTCAGGGTTACGGGGCCATGGGCGGCCCCTCGGCCCCCGCCTCCTCCTCGGCCATGTGGTCCTGCCTCCACTGCACCTTTATGAACCAGCCCGGCACAGAGCACTGTGAAATGTGCAGCCTGCCCCACAGTTAAAAAAACCCACCCTGCCCCCCTCCCCCTATGTCCCGCCCTAATCTCACCCCCCCCAGCCAATCTCATCGCTGCACCAGGACGAGCTGCGAGATTTGGATTCCCTTTTTTAGTTTTTCTTTCGCCTCGCTCTGAAGCCTTCCCATCTCACAGGCTGCTGATGAAGGGGATGCACTCGTTTACAACTAATTCAATGAGTAAATCAAATAAAACCAGACTGTGTTTATTCTGTATCCCTCCTCACAGCGGCTCTCGTGAGTCTCGTTAAGGTAAAGCACTTTTCTTTTGGCTGAGGCCCCTTTCCCTCAATCCCCCCCACTCTGAATAATCAGCCCATCAAATGAGACTGGAGTGTTTGGATGTTCTCTCACATCAGTGCCCCTCTCACTCTCACAACGTCTTCTGGAATAACGTGCTGTGTATGAAACACATTTGAGGAATGATACTGTTATTTAATTCTTTATTTTTTGTATCTGATTGTAGCGATACCTTCATGTTTTGAATCTGTGGGCTCTACTCACGCAGGTCTCTTTGACAAGCCCCTTAAAGTACAATCATCAGTCACAGCTCAGACCTGAAAACTCTTAAGTAGCTCCGCAATAAATCCACGTAAGTAGAGAGTTTATATTTTCAGTATTCATTTACTTTAAGAATAAGTCCCAGAGTTGAAAAGGCATCAACAAAGAGCGTTTCACCCCTTACTCAACCGTAACAGTGGTTTGAACCTGAGCAAAAATAATATGTAGCTTATTTGATCAGCTGTATGTGCGTCTCTGATGAAACCCAACTAAATGGCCAACATTATTACTGACTTGCACTATATTAGCCGCGAGGTGCTTCTAGAAACCACTGGTGCTCGCCAATATCCTCTCTGTCGCTCCCTACCTGGGATTCTCGCTGGCGCTGCGGATGGGGCCCTGCTGGGTAACCATGACTCATCCTTGAAGAGTCCAAGTGTGAGGGGTCACTGGTCACTACGAGGAGAGAAAAGATGCATATTGATTTCACTTGTCTCAAGCAGGATGATGAAGGTCCGTGTTGGAACTAAACCTTGAAGTTGGCATGGTCTGATTTATGTTCTACAAATAATTGTAATCTTACCCAGAGCCTCTTCCAGCAGGAGACGTCAGATTGGTGTTTTGGAAGGGGCTAAGGCTTAAACCAATGTGAAAGCACTTAGCTCGCCTCAATGGCACTAAAAAGGGTCAGTTGATCAAAACTGCAAAAAAGATTTCCATAGCTATACGATATTCGATAGCCATACACACAGTTTCTACGTCTCTGAGTCTGCCTTCACCCCTGTTGATGCAGATGATTGTGCTAAGAGCATTGCAATGTGGCAGGAAGTTATCCATATAAGGAGGCAGAGATCGCAGAGACAACAAAACAATCTCCATGTTACACTGCTGTGAGTGGGGACATTTTTTGTTTTCCATTTCAACGAAGTAACCTTTAACATATCACAGTCAGCAGTATGCATATGAGGATAGTTGGTTAAAACTGGTTCTTTTTTATAACAGTTTTTTCCCCTTTTCTTCTTTCGTGAGGCACATTTGTCGACCAAAACTTGTGATATCATTTGAAACTTCCACATCTGGAAACAAAATGTTGAATTAAACTACCCCGCCTAGATTCTCGTAGCATTTCTAGCATCGGTTCAGCGAAATGGACCACATTGATATTGTCCATGCAAAGTTAAGTGGGCGTCTTGGTAAGCTAATGTGTTGCCATAATGACCTTTTTAGTACTATCAACAATATTCTAAAGGAACATATGTCTACATATATGAAATGAAAAGCCAGTGTAGTTTTTAAAATCATATTTAATGTCTGTCACCAAACTCATCTGGTTTGACTTGAATGCCTTTGCTCATACAACAGATTTGTAGATCCACATCCTCCATGTTTGCTGCTGACAGAAAACATTCACATCGCTACTTTCTTCTTCCTCAAACCTTTGTGCACTTCGCCATGAAATAGTTCCATGTCATTACTTTGCTAAAAGGATCTGGCAGGAGTGAATCACTAAATACTGTGGCGTTTCATCGGGGTGTTGCTGGGGAAACGGGCTTCTTAGTTGGGACGAGAGACGCTGGTTTGCTATTTATGAATTAATGAGATGTGTGCTTTGTAAGAGCTTGACAGTGATTCCATGACATGTATTTTTAGTTGTAGGTTAATTTGAAAGAAGCTTGTGTGTTTTTTTGGTTTCTTTCTTTGCCCAGTTGATATCATTATTGCCCCCCCCCTCCCGTGTGAGTTCTTAAGAGCGATTTCTCTGATGTCATGCTAACGGACGGCGGTGACCTTTTCCTTTTGTATTGATCCGGGCCGTTTGCTGAGCGAGCATGCTCTGGTCTTACAGCCGGTCCTGACCGAGGACACAGAACGTTGTATGCTGTTGACCTGGATTTGAAACAAAATGATAATAAAAAAAACAACAACAACAAATTCGTATTGCTGGTAATGTCTTTGATTTGTTAATGTCAATCGGAAAAGTCAAAAAATAAGGCATCATTTGAATGAAGACTTTTAAAATCCTAATGAGTTTCATTCAAAGAACAGGAAACGCTTAATTCTTTATAGATTTAGTTTCCATTACTTGTTTTAGGACTTTTATTTAATGATTTATGGACACACAACTTCGTTCTATTAAAGGGAAGTCTTAATGCTGCAGCATACAGGCATGCCGCTTAGAACATGTACGTTTGATTAAATGACAACGAGAAGCACATTTAATTAGTAGAAAGTAACCAATCAGTGAACGACAATCAAATCAAAAGACATGAAATAAATGCATGAAAACGGATGAGAAAAAAAATCTATAGAAAAATAAGAATTGTGACCAAAATAAACATTTTTACAAATCAGTGATCTCAGATGTACAACTGTTTTTAAATTACCTTAAAACGAGTTGGTATTTTTGTAACACAATTTTAAATGAGTGTCATGTTGTGCTTCTACGATCTACAAACAGTTGTTAAATTGTTTTTCTCAATTCTTATTTTGGCCTATAACATGTCAATCTTCAGTCAGTCTTTTAAAACTACTCCAGCCTGACATACACATATGAATTATGAATGATACTTTGGGGATTGTAACCCTTTAAATGCCAGTTTGTTGAAAAAACTCCACAGTTTTTTTATTGAAAAAAAAAAGAATAATAATTTTCAAAAAATACATTTCAAGGAATATTTGATTATTGTTGTTATTAGGTCCCTACATTAGTCAATGATTGGCATCAACATTGATTTGAATGCATTGTTTGTTTTTTTGCAGTGTCAGATTTAAACAAAAACTCACACTCGTGTTCCAAAGGCCAAAAATGGCCACCTTCACAAAAACTGCTATAAAAATATGATATATTCATATTTGTTCCCACTTTCAAAGAGTCAGTCTTTTAAAACTACTCCAGCCTGACATACACATATGAAATATATTTTTAACCCTTTAAATGCCAGTTTGTTGAAACAACTCCAGTTTTTTTATTGAAAAAAACTAGAATAATTTTCAAAAGACACATTTCAAGGAATATTTGATTATTGTTATTATTAGGTCCCTACATTTGTCAATGATTGGCACCTTGCAACGAGTTGGTATTTTTGAACCACAATTTTAAATGAGTTTTATGTTGTGCGTCTACGATCTACAAACATCTAAAGGTTGTTAAATTATTTTTCTCAATTCTTATTTTGGCCTATAACATGTCAATGGCAATCAGAGTTACCCAAAGTCCAAGTTAACGGCTTCAAATGTCTTGTTTTGTTCACAAGTAATCACATTTATGAAGACGGAATCAGACAATTGAACTTGTATTTTTCTTTATTTAAGTGGACATATTATTTAATGGTTCACAATAATCTCTATCAGTTTAGTTGAATAATTGTGAATCCGTAAAAAGAATGAACAAAGCGTCCTTTTATCAGCCAAACAAGGGGAAATCACTTTGAACACATTACAGGCTACTGCAGCCCCTGAAGTGCACATATGGCCGTTTTATCACAACCGCAAGACTCTGTACATGTTTGATCGTTTCCAGGGTACATGAAGAGTTCCCTGTAAGTGAATCTGCCATAACAGATGTTTAACTAGTGAGCAGGTGGAGTCCAGTGGAGGTGATCCTGGACATCACACACAGGGCTGCAGATGGACAACAGATGAAGGACAGGAATGTGTAAGTTAGACGTGACCGTAAAACTTTCAGCACATCTGCAGATCATATTGCAGCTTTTTACACTGCAGATACATTTTCCTGTCTTTTATCTGGACATGTTCTGCATTGTCTCACTCGACTAGAGGCACATTGATCACAAAGATACATCAAATACCCTCAGAGTCTTATAAAGTGTTGACGAATGATGAATGATGCTGAGAGTTCTGATAGGGAACAGGTTTGAGGCAGACTTTGAAGTGGAGACTGAAGAAGACCCTCCCCCTCTGCAGAGAATATACCCTCCATCCTCTTGTACTTCACTGGATTACTTCGCTTTGGACTGCCACTACAGGTAGGGTTTTCACATTGTTTTTACTTTTAGCCCTGGAGTTGTGGATGTCTTATGTGATTAAGCATTTTAGTTTTTTTTAATACCCTTAAACGTGTGTGTGTGTTTATGTGTGTTTAAGGATGAAGACTGCTGGAGTTCTGCTCGTCTTATCGGTGGCTCTGTGTGCCGCTCAGATAAAGAAAATAAGTGGGAGACCGGAGTGGGATTTCAGAAATGAAGGTGAGGAATAAAGTACATTTACTATCACATATCGTTTTAGAGATTTCAGTTTTTTATCATTTTAATTTAACATAATTCCTTAATCTCTCTTAAACTTGACGCAAAGTGCTTTAAACACATGTTTATGTTACTATGTTTTAACAGTACTGCATTGACTATTTTAATTTGTGGCCGGTCCTAAATAGACATTTTAAAGATATTTAAGGTAACGCTGTCCGGTTAGATTCAAAGATTTTATTGTCATGACATACTACGGTGTAGTTATGTCATGTATTAAAAACTGAGATCGCAAGTTCCTCAACAGTGCAATTACAAAACATACAAAAATAAATATAAAAATAGTGCAAGCTCAGGTGTTTGATTGTCTTATGGCCTGTGGGAAGAAACTGAGTCTGGTGGTTTTTGTTATTAGGATATGTGTAATTATGGGACTCTAATTCTGACGCAACCTAAGACATATTTATAACAATGCTTTCTTCTAAAAATAAATGTTTCCTAGATATTCATATTATTTTCTTTTTATATTGAAATGCATCCTATTTTATGGTATTTACCCGTGATGAATTGTTTCTAATTATTGCCTTTTATATAAAACAGTTTTTATTGCATTCTATGCGGGAATGTTGACCACTATTTTATTTTCGTTAATATTATTATTTTAATGTTGTTTTTTAAAATATAATACAGATGTCTTTTTAACATCCCAACTGAAAAGCACACTTTCAACCCACTAAAGCCAGATGTCTTTTACCTGCAAATCACTGAATCTGATATCCAGAGTTACAGATGCAGATGATTCATTAGATTTTACACTAAGTATAACAATTTCTACTTCTATCTTATGTTATGTTTTTTCACTTCTATGATATATTTTCTTTTAATGTTCCTTATTTCTTTTCTTTATGTGTTTTTCTTTCTATTGTTCTACTTTCAATAACTGGATACAGAGCTTTTACCCATACTGCATTGGGTAGCTTTTTATAATTAGATATTTGATTCAGGTGCTTTTTCCACTACGGAGGATTATTTGAATAATTACTTTTTAATAATTTCACAAGCAAACATATCCAAAAAGCACGTTATTTAATGATCTTGATTTGTGTTGGTTTGTGTTTCTCTGTGGTTCTTTGTGTGTGCAGCGGAGAAAGTGAACACCAAAGCATGTTCCAACCTCACGCTGGTGTTAGACAACTGGAAATACGCCATCATGACGCAGGTCAAAGATCTGCTGCTGCACGACCACAGCACCGTGCTGCCCGACTATGGACGGTGAGGATCTGTTTTCATTCAACCAGGATGCATGGGTGGGTTAATGAAGGGGCCCACCGAGCACAGGGGCCCAAAGGGGACTGCTGGCCTTCACCTGCAAAATGTCCCTCAAAGTGACAACCAAGAACAGATGCAAAATGACCTTAAAGAGACATAAAATACCTACAAATGGACACAAGAAAACCACATAGATGACACACAATGATGACAAAAGACTCAAAAGGAAATGTACTCAAAGACATAAACTCACTCATAAAACAATTGACCACAACAAATAGACATAAGACAATTACAAATAGATAAAAATGACCAGATTGAGATGCAAAACGACTGAAAAGAGACATATAATGAACACAAAAAGGCACAACAATCATCAAAAGAGACACAGAATTACCAATATATATATATATATATATATATATATATATATATATATATATATACACAAAACCAGAGAGATACTGTATGTTACAACTACAAACAGACACAAAAAAACAATAACAATCCACTACAAAATATTGTGTCTTGCTGCAATGTTGGAAAGATGGTGGGTGCATGTCTGTGAAAGCGGCCATTTTGTTATAATAATGTGATTGTATTCTATTTATATGTTCCTCTCACGTCCTCATTGCGGGTGAAAATAGCTTTTATTGTAAGTAATAAAAGTGAATTCCCCTCCCTCAGGATCCAGCCGCTGTCAGACGCTCTGGGAGATCTGTACGGGGAGTTCAACGCCCTGAAGGAGCGCCTCTCTGAGCTCACCGTCAAGTTCGAGGGAGTGGAGGGCTTTGTGGACGACGTGCGCTCAGGAAGGAAGCCTTCACAGCCCCGAGGTGAAGCCAGACCCCGGGGGTGGCAGCCAGGGGAGGGGGGGGCTGCAGGCTTCAATGCTGGGGGTCAAGGCAGGAGGAGGAGGGTGGTCGTTCGGAGAATCAAGAAACCTGCAGCTTGAGAGTTCGAATGAAGCATGATGACGCTTTGAGACACAGCCTAATGCCTGGTGGGGAGCAATGTTATGTTTGATACAGGATATTGCTCTTAGCCTCCAAACCAGTTAAATTAGCTCTTTCTGCTAAAGTGAGGGAATTTAGGAAACGGACGGATACATTTTTTATCTACAGGTGAGGTTATTTCCATCTCATTTTAGGCCCAACACTCGAATGTTTGGAAACTATTTTTCATTGCTGCAAAATGTTACATCACATGTTTAAATTGTAACACAGGAAATACATCCTAATTAGAAAAGTAATGCAGGATACAAAACCCTAAAGAGATCAAGTGAAACTGATAGATTTACAGTATAACACGGTTTTATTTTCGTGTTGAACTTTGTAGTATTTTTTTTGGGGGGGAATGGAGCGGAAACCAATATGACTTTTTAATGTATTTATTCCTATTGCTCATCTTTTCTCATTGGACTGTCTCTGATAAACTTCCTGCATAAAGAGGTGTTTTTGTATTTATATACTGTTTATATTGCACTTCTTGTTAACTGAATAAACCATTTGAAATTATACAGTTACTCTTCAGCCTTTTCACTACAGTGATATATTTACATATTTGACCTGTGGGTCATCATCCAGCAAATGTATCTGGTTATAGAACACAACTTCTCTAAATGTATTTTCATCATGACAACAACCAGCGTTCCATTAACACAACAACCCTCCAGTTATCATGTTTAATATACTCATTATTTTAATGCTTGCTCTTCATCTTACTAGTAGCCTGGTTTCCAGCAAAATAACTTGTTTTGGACATGCTTTGTATTTTGTCTGTTTCTATTGAATAAACATTTTTGAAGTCGATTTTTAAATAGTCCTAGACACATTTCACTAAACCTTACATTGAAGAAAAAGTCTGGACTAATGCATATAAATTGTATTTTAAAAAAAAAAGGTATCCATAACAACGGATTTACTTCTTTTTGTTTTGTTGCAAAGACGATCATAAATTAGCAAGTATTAAAAGTACACATTTTGCATAAAATTACCCATTTATAAATCGTTGGGCAGTTATTACTGTTGCATTCATCTGTGAAATAGTGTATGTTGGTAGGTGTAAGAATGTGGCATGATAGTGGTGGATTTACACAATCTATTTATGTGCAATCTGGTGACAGGAAATTGCAGAAAATAATTGGCAGTTATAATTGAGGAAAACGGACAATTGTTTATAAACACAACAGCTTCCAAGTAGTAGTACAAACTTGCTGTATTGTTGGGCCAACAATAGACATTAAATACAAATAGAAATAAAAGCAAGTGCTGCAAAAGTAAAACAATAGCATGATTATAATCACATGAACAATATACCTACTAGAAGTAATATATTGTAAAGTAGTATTCAATAGACTTTCTAATGTAAATAGCTGCACATTTACCTCAAGTCTGTACTGTAATGCAATACTTAAGTAATGTATTTACATTCAACCTCTGGTATTATAAAATATATGCGTTTAGATAAGCACAAAAAACCTAAAGCATTGACACCTGAAAAAGCATAGGTTTCTAAACTGCCCATATCCTGAAGTGAAAGACACTACCGAGTAAATGAACGCAGCATAAGTTTCTTGTTTGATGAGATTCAGAGAGAAATGAAAGTGAAACCCAGGCTTCTGCATTAGGGACTGTCGAGAAATTGTTAGTAAATCACGAATGAGTATAGTATCTTAATTGGCGATTTTGTAACCATTAGTGCTTTAAAAATGATTCATATGTTGAAATAGGTTTTGCTAATTAGCACGTTAGCTTAGATAGAGTTTACGTCAAAGGGAAACCGCCAACTTTAAAGTAGTCGAGTAATTTCGCGACCCTCCCTTGAAGTGAAAACTAGGGAGGTTGCAGCAGATATAAAAACCATTTCCTCAACATTTCTTCACAAATTGTTTTCCGAGATATCATCTGACAGGCCGTGCCAACCTCTTACTGAAAAGGTAAGTAAACATAGCATAAATATATGACATGTCATTAGCCTTATATAAACTGCTTCACTTGTGCAATATAGCTACATTTAGTGCAGTTTTTACAGGTAATCCACATATTTACCTGACATAGGCAGAGGTGGAAGAAGTACTCAGTTACAGTACAGGTTAAGGACCTGTATTCCAAATTGTACCTATAAGTAAAAGTAAAATAACATTAGCATTATACTTTAAGTATCAAACGTAGCCTACTCCTGCAGAATGGCACAGTTAATGAATTACACTACTGGGTAGCTTAACCTATCATAATATTTAATAATGTATTAGTTGAATTACATGTTGTATTAAGAATATAAATCTGCAAAGTAGCTAGTAACTAAAACATGTTGTTAGTAAAAATAATGAAGTAGCTTGTGTGCACTTTGTAATGAATCGTCAACGACCTAAAATTAGCTCAGAGAAATACAAATCAGTCAGTCAGCTGACATTTATGTTTTTATTGATTTATAATGTATTCATTGTATTGATAACATACTTGGTATTTATAACCCTTGTGGTGTTATATAACAGACTAGGTGACATATTTGTTTCTTTTAGTTGTATAAATGATTAATTCTAACGAAGATTTGCATTTGGAATCTATAGTGTCAGCATTTCTCTTCTTGCCACTCCCTAACTGACGGTTATCTAACTGATTCAACTTGAATAGTAAGTGTCCCAGAGAGACAATGAGGATGTAACTGAGATGTTTATACTCATAGACAGACATCAGGGGAACAGGGACTCCCTTCAGAAAGTCCCTACAGATGGAGGGGGGAGCAGGAAACGTCCCCAGCACCTCTGGATCCCAGCGAGGGGAGGATGGTGCAACCCAAAAACGCAAGAAAAGAAATAAGGTATGCTGTTTTCCATGTTCACATTTTCCACTCAAAGAGAGGTATGCAGCTATTAGCTATTACCTACAACCAAAGCACAACATTCAATTGACCACAGTAACACAAACTACATTTCCCTGTTATTTCTTTAGGGTGATAACATCTTAAAATGAGGAAAGACATTTTAAGCTTTATATGTAAACCTCAATAAAAGCTTGGAATGTAAAAATAAATAAATATCATAATCCTTAGTAACTAAGTATTTGTACATGCATAATGTACTCAGTTCATCAAATGTGATGATTGTTATATGTTACAGGCCCCATGTACCCTCACAGGTGTTCCGCATATGTATTCAATTAGAAAGATGTCAATTGCCCAAAACAAGATAGTCCTAAAACAATATTTTCCTCACATGAAAGAAATAAGGTAGAAATGCAGTCATTGGAAGAAATCCCACACATTATTTGAGTGACCGTTTAATAAAATAAAAGCAAATCTTTATGTTGATGTGTATCCAGGAGCAACGACCAGGATATCACAACAAGAAGGTCAAAGACAAAGAGAGGAGGAGAAAGAGGAAACACAAAACACAAAAGAGCACCTCAAGTGTAAAGAAAGAGGAAGATTCTGAAAGTGAAGACACAGATAAAGGTGAGATGGAGGTTGTAGGAACAAGCAGCCAAACTGAGGAGACTCGGCCCGTAGAAACGCAACATGTGGATCCACAAGCGGAAGACAAAGTTCAGACTGTGGAAGAACAAAGCCATGGAGATGCTAAGATGGTACAAGCTCACACTCAAACTCCCATGGTTTGTCACAGCGACCAGGAAACACAGACCCACTTCTCTGAGGCCAGAACAAAAGACGATGAGAAGACTCAACCTGAGACGGAGACGAAGAAGCCAAAAGATACAACTAAATACACACAAACTCCTGCTGTTTATCACAGCGACCAGGAAACACAGACCCACTTCTCTGAGGCCAGAACAAAAGACGATGAGAAGACTCAACCTGAGACGGAGACGGAGAAACAAGACACGCCAGAAGCCAAAACGCAAAACACTGCTCAGACTCAGTTAAAGCAAAATGCAAATAAAGACAAAGCAACATCAGAGTCAACCGAGAAGCAAAACCCTGAGAAGGAGTCAAAGTCTAAAGAGGAGAATCCCTCTGCAGGTGCCAACCCCAAGTCTTGGGCCAAAGTAGTGTCTGGAGAGGGCGGGAGTCAGAACCAGTCCAATGTGGAAGCCTCCAAAGCAGCGGATAAAAACACAAAAACACCCCAAAGCACACGGTAAGACAGGCACAAGCAGCAACATCTGATACTGTGGTGGTTGGTGGGATAGTTAACGTGTATTCTCCCTTCTCCACAGGGGTCGAAGCCCAGTGAGACCTCCACCCACTGCTCCCATGTTCACCGTTCACATCTACGCAGTGCTGGACAAAAAGTTTAGATTCAACCAAGACCATGACACGCTTATGATGTGTTATGATCAATCGGCAATACCCCTTAAGATGACGCATTTTGTGTGAGTATTCACTTTTTAATCTGCAAATCATTCAAGAATCATAGAATTGTAATTTAAGTTCTTACTCAAATTTCATTTGAGGGTGTTAATAGTTTACACCAGATAAATAGTGTAGGACATGTTGCCCCATTGTATACATTGTCTCACACTATTAGATCATGTATTTAAAGCATTGATTAAATGTAACATCTAAGCAAGAACTGTACTTGTGTCTTGCTTACTGTAAGTATATTCACGTGTTTCTACTTTCTACTTCACTACACAAAATACTGTACTGTTTACTTTACTGCAGTTATTTCACTGCCATAGTTACAAGTAGGCCTGTATCAAATAGATACATCTTCAATCTTTTTTTATTACACTAACATTCAAATAAATTAAAAAGCAAGCCCATATGTATGCACTGTAGCAGCTAAAGATCAGGCTCCACTGATATAATTAGTGAAATATTATTTGTAGAATATCTTGATTAGTGTGGTCGGTACTAAAGTCAAAAGGCTTGAAAAAAGATAAATCAAATCATTTCCAACATGTTTTCTTTCTTTTATCCCTATTTGTTGGCGTTAAACTTTTCAAAATGGTTATTTTTACTGTGGTCAACAAACAGTTTTTTCTCTCAATCTAACGGCACCATTTTTATCATTCAGTTAACCTCACAACACAAACTCAACTTTTCCCTTATTTATAGGACAGACAATTGAAGCCAATTTAGATTTTAATTTCAAAACGTTTTTCTTATTTTAAATGTGATGCATTGTTAAACATTAAAGGCCCCACATACCCTCACAAGTGTTTTCACTTGTTGTGCTGATTAATCAGGGTGGAGTTGTTAAAAAAACATTTCATCTCAATAATAATAATAAAAAGTACTTTGTTTGTTTAAAAAAAACATATTTCTGGTCCTCTATGGCTCAGTATTAAACAATCTGGAAGCGATTTTTTTAGTACATTTCGCTAGGGATTCTCTTGTAGTTTTAAACAAGCAAAATCTTTAATTGATGACTTTTACTTGTAACAGAGTACAGTCATTGTTCAGCTGCTGTAGACAGGGATGCGTTTAGCCTCTTGAGAGTCAGTGTTAATCAAAGTGTCAACCATGAGTTGCTTCTACATGGCCACATTATTAATATGACTTGATAACATTTGCCTTGATTATCAAGAGCATTATCCAGTGCACACCGTTGCCATGAGCACAATTGTTCTGATATTCAGCCTTCACTGCAGTTTTGTATCTTCAGTAAAGATGTCCCAACAGATGTTTCAATATGTTCTGTGTAGTGGACTACAACAGGGAGGATATCTGGTGGAAGCGAGTCTTTCCGTTGAAGAGCGGGAATTGACAAGAGGCGAGTGGTGGACGTATTGGTATGGTGTGAAGCAACGATCCAAAGAAATAAAGACAGGAATCACTAAAAGACACGTTCAAATCCCATTCAACACAAACATTAAAGGTAAGGCAAGAAACCATTTAGCTCTAGTATTCTAACACATATCTATACATTTTCTTCTTGAACAAGAACCTACCTGTGATCTATCTAGAGCTGCACCTTTATGAAGGCTTCATCTCTCGTCATGACGGGCAAAGTTTGTGGCAGACTGGCCTTCAGATGATCGGTTTACACAGATCAAAAAGTGTTGAGATATCAGAAGCCTGGCAGGCCTCAGCGGGGACTCTGCTGAGCAGAATCTTCCAGAAATGGAACCCATCTGACAAACAGAGCACTGAGAGGTTGTGTGGCAGCTTGTCGCATTTTATGGAGAGTCTCGGTTCTGCACACACAAGGATGGCATTTCCAGACCATTCACAACCACCAATGATCAAGGTTGGTTGAACAAGAAGAATATAAATCACAGTATTTATTATATTTTACCACCAATTGTCTGCCTCTAATCACATTTATTTTATTCCCAGACATTTGAGCTGATTGAGGAGACATTGGTTCAGATTTTAAAAGGAGAGCCGAAGGAGAAAGTCCCCGGCAGCTGGAGGAGCAGCAGTCCTCTCATTCAGGGCCTGTCTGTGTTCATGGTTTCCCAAAAGTGTCAAATCAGCCTCGGAGTGAAAGGATTGGCTGAGCTGTGTCTCCTCGTGTCCTCAGAGACATCGATGGACAAGAAACACCTGGACGAGTTACTAAGTTATTTCCAAAATCCACAATTGTAAGTCTGGAAAAAGTGTCAAGTTCGACAAAATAGAGGTCAATTTACTTGGTTTCTGTCTCATGACTCATTACACTATCTGAAATACTGTATGTATAGCCTACTGAAACACTTTGTCCCTATTTAAAATTGTTTCTGGATTCAGGACATAGAAGTCTTAATTTCAGGATCTACTCATAGAGGGGGGTGGCCCATTACTGCATGAAAGCAGAGAAAAGAACGTATTAGGTTTTAGGAATTTAAAGTAAGTTATATCAAGGGATTTCGAAAATGTAACCCCATAGGCAAACGTAAAAAAAGGTCACATTTATTTATTCATGCTAAACTTTCATGAATACAAATAATTTAAAAAACGTTTTTCAGTATTTATCAATTCTCAAACAATTAGGCCCAAAATTGTTGGCAAAATTACACTTTTTAAAGAGTCCCTATTGTGCTTTTTAGGTTTTTGTTCCTTTCTTGTAGTGTGTTATATAGGTTTTAGTGCATGTAAATGGCTGAAATCACTCGAGAGTGAGTTTCTCTTACCCCCTGCCTGAAACGCCTCCATTGGACTCCTTTTTTTACTTCTATAACATAGTGACATCACTAAGTAACACTCACGCTTCTATTGGCTAGTGCTCCAACACATTGTACATGATAGGTAAGGGGTGGGACATCTCTAAGTGGTTGAACAATCACATCAGAGCCATCCAGCTAACCAATCAGAGCAGACTGGGCTCTGGTTTCAGACCGAGGGTGAAAAGAGGTGCTGCAGCACAGACAGTATGAGGAAAATAAAGAGCTTTTTCAACAGCAAAGGTTTGGTTCTTAGCTAGAAAGGAACGTTTAAAAAAAAAAGAAGTTGTGAATCGATTCAGATGAAATTGTTACATGAATGGATTTTGCCTCATCCCTAATGCTCCCACTTCTCTGTCCTCCCTTCAGTGTGCTGTTGGCTCTGATGAACCGCTGTGCTCAGTCCATGGTGTCAGAGCTCGTCCTGCTCCTTCCTCTGCTCTTCAGGCTCAGACAGCCGGGAGCGGACGCAACCAAAGTGGGTCCGTCTGTGGAGGAGGAGAACTGGTCAGGACTTGAAAGAGTCTATTACATACAGTTCAGGGAGAACATACAAACCCAACCTGACAAAAGGAAGTGAGTGTGTCTCAAAGCATCCTTACTTTCCTAAAACAGATGATGCTATTTTATTTAAAAAACACTTTACTTGTTCACAGGAAAATGCTGGGTTTTATCCAGACACACTTAAAAAAGGCTGAGGAGATGCCTCTGCTTCTGGTGAGCTGGTTATCTCTGGTCGCATTTGAGGATCTTCCGGAACTTTCAGACATGACGGGAATACCTGCAGAACACCTGATCCAGAGTCTGCTGTACAGACTGCGAAGATGTGTTGAGTCAAGGGATAACAACAGAGCAGAGGAGCACGTAAAGGTGGACAAATCTCATACATTTAAATATTTAACACTCCAAATACTGTTGTTATAACAGCAAAATAATGCTTTGTAATATTTTATTTTCTGCATGCAGCACACTCACAACATCCTGACCCATTTACTGCTGAAGGTAGACAAAGAGAAGGACAGGTAAGGGCTGAAATATTTCCTGTGATGCATTCTAGCGTTGTTTTGCTCCCTGTAACTTGTGTTACAAGTGTTACCGTGTTTTGTATCTGTAGAATGATTGAATCTGGTAATATAAAACTGGTCTTCAAGAGCAGCATCAGTGTGTTGACAAACACATGTGAAATAACGCGACTCGTCCAGTCGTACCACGCTGCAGTCCTCTCCTACCAGCTGGTGTTGAAATTGGCAGACATGGTGGATGCCAAACTGAAGAAAGAGGTAATCATTTATTTAAAACGCATTATGACTGCCTTATTTTGGAGTAGTAAATGGTAATGGTAAATGAACTGTACTTATATAGAACTTTATCCAGTCTTTACAACCATTCAAAGCACTTTACTGTACATACTACATGTCATCATTCACCCTTTCACAACTCATTCATACAGAGCAGTGCCACTTGCTCTGGTAAGCTAACATTCACATACATTCGTACATTCGTTGGCCATGCCATCGACATGTTGACTGCATTGGCTGGACTCAAACCAACAACCTTCTGCTTGAAAGACGACCGCACTCCCTGGCAACCACAGTCGCCCTAGTAGTAACTTTAATTCATGGTTTCTTTTGTGCCTTTCAGTCCTCGGAAGATGAGTTTGAGACCTTAAATAAGAAACTCTTGGAGGATCTACAATCCGTGCAAAAGCGAGTCATTGAGTGGAGAGATGAATTGCTGCACAACCCCCTTTTGAAGCCTGAGTCTAAAACACTCAGCTATCCAAAGGAAATTGAGGTAAACATTAAAAAGAATATTGGGAAATATTTAAAGGCATTATTCAGTTAGCTTCTTTCTTGTATGCAGTTTGCAGCGAACAGATAAACTGAAACAAAAATAAATGCTGAAAAGGTGAAAAATGAACACTGTTTTCTTAATGATCAGATGTGGGACTCGCTGCTGAAGTTGGAATGCTCTCTTGAAGAAGTTTCATCCAGTTGGAGGCTGAGCCTGAAAAAAGACCTGAAGAAGAGGATTTCTAAGGTGATCATTTATTGATCAGAGTAAAGACATTACTATAGGCATTATTAGACATAACCACGTGTAAGCCTGTGGGAAAAATATGTAGAGTATCTGTATGTGCACAGCTTATCTCTTATAATACTGTACCCTCAGCCTAATTTTGTGAGTGACCTTGTCTAGTTTGTATTCTGTTAGCAGCAGTTCCAGTAGCAGCAGGTAAATGCTTTCCTCTTTACAGAACATTTACAGTGTTTTTTTTGCAGGCCAGTGAAGAGGACAAAGTCTTGGTCTGCTGCCTTGAAATGTCAGCCATAAGAAAAAGTGACGAGGTGGTACAGACAAGTTTCAACGAGCTGTGTCAGTCTGCTATCAAGGATATCTGCCAGGTACAGTGCATATGAATGATCTGACCCTTACAGGGAAAGCTCTGTATTCATTAGATGCCTTTGGGTGTTAATGTACAGTCAACACCTATGCATGCTAACCCATGTAATAGAGTTGTGCAGGATTGAGTCCAAAAACCCAGAAACGAGTTAGTATTTTACCATTTCCGACTGCTTGTCTCTTTTTTAAATGTCTTTTTGTTTAGTTACCTGAAATAAGATCTGTGGTTAACACTAGCTTAAAAAAGAATTTTCACTTTTTTAAGATATCAAGATGCGAATACCCCACTCGTGAATGTCTGATCCTTAAATGTGTCATTTAAAGCAGTGGTTGCTAACAAGAATCTAAATGTGACTAAATGTCAAACATTAGCAGCCTTTAGCTTAGCGCTGGTGATACGAAGTCATGCTACCTTGATTTCGTTTTGTATACCCTACGTTAGCTTTTTACTTCTCGCAATTGCTTTTGCTTTTCTATCATCATAAAATGAGTGTCATGTGGAGATCATCATGCTGGAAAAAAAGTTAAAGTATCAAGAACATGTAGCCATGCTAACTTCCTGGTCGGCCTACACAAATACGTCATCAGCAGGGCCGCTTTAATGCACGGGCTGACCAAAATCACACGATAAATACATTTTTGAAGCTTGTAAAGGAAAGATGACAGCTCTCACTCGCCACCCTGCACTTCCACAGCGCCGCCCCCCTCCCTCCGGCTGACATTATGAATGTACGAGTATAGTAATCATAAATAACACGGCAGGGTCCGTTACAGTTTGTTTTCATCTGATTTTAAATAAACAAAGTCTTGGCTTTCAGAATATTAAACTTGTTTCGGCAAATTCAGATGATAAATACAACTTTGAAGCTTCGGCATAATTACAAGCAGAGAACGGAGTAACTTGGCGTCACAGCAGGCATAACAACAGCCGGTGTTTCTCGTGAGGGTTTTCCCCGGGAAACAAACACAATACACACAAACGCAAAATTACACCAACACGTATACACACACACTCGTGAGCTTCCCCCAGACCAGTAATCCAGACGCAAATATCTTCCCTCCGTAGTATTTTGATCATTTGCTCTGCTAATCAATCAGATCGATGGATTCCAGAGATTTTTCTCAAAAATGATGACTCCGAAACAGTCAGTGGGCACCACTGACAGCTAATCAGAATGAGAATATGTTTCACATGTGACCTATTGAAATTGCGAGTGATTGAGTGACAGATGAAGGTTGTTTAAGGCCCTGTCACACTGTCCCGAAATTGACACCCGATGGACACACGATAAAGGAAATGTTCAAATTCGGCTGTGATCGTAGCAACATCGGGCCATTCGTGAGGGCATCTTAAGCCATCGTATGACCGCCGGTGGAGTTTCTCAGGCTCCGGCAGCAACTTAGTGAGCGGCAACTTCGTAAGGCACTCGTGAGGACATCTTGTCAAATCGTGTCATCTTCGTGTTATCATCGGTGCCATCGGGCATTCGCCCTCACTCTGATCGATGGCACCGATGATAACAAGATGCCCTCACGATGGCCTTACGAAGGGCACAATTGACACACGAATTCAACACGAAAATGAACCTTCGCAAGGTCCTTCGGCAATTTTTTGGCATGCCAAAGATTTTGCCACCGCTCACGAAGTTGCTGCCGGAGCCTGAGAAACTCCACCGGCGGTCATACGATGGCTTAAGATGCCCTCACGAATGGCCCGATGCTGCTACGATCAGAGCCGAATTTGAACATTTCCTTTATCGTGTGTCCATCTGGTTGTTTTATTGCACAACAAAATCATGTAAATATATTATGTAAATAACCCAATTTGTGTTCTGTGAAACTAAAAAGGATATAATATATTATTTTGAAGGACAGTTGACAGGAAGTTGTTGTTGTTATGGAAACAACATTACGGAGAAAACGTAATATTTTCTACATATAACGACGGATAAAGTAAAGAACAAAGTCTGAAGATATCAGTACAGTATCATAGTACTGTAACACAATTGTTTTTGGTACTTTCATTGCAGTTGTATGTCTTAAATGTAATGTAAATGTTGCCTTCGTGTGTGGTTCGGGGCCATCATCGTGCGAAATTCACAATTCCATATTCGTGTGTCCATCGGGTGTCAATTTCGGGACAGTGTGACAGGGCCTTTAGGAGAAAATGTCGGAGAAGAAAAAGTTTGAGAGTGACGCTCGGAAAAGGAAATTGTTGAGGGAAAAGGAGTTTCGAGACAAGCAGCTATTACAAAACATGTCGAAGCTTACAGGTTATTTTAAACCTGTAGGCCAGGATGAGGAGGAAGGACAGATGAGTTCTCTACCGAGCGGCAGCGGTGCCGGCCGCGGGGCCTCGGAGCCAAGTAGGCCGTCTGGTTCTGATAGCGATGGAGTAGCGGGAGAGGAAAAACAGACAGGAGGGACATTATCCGTTGGAGGAGATGGGAGGACGACGAGGACTTGCTACGTGGAGGGGAGCCAATGGCAACCGGACAGATACATGAGGGAGGCCCGATACGTCACTCATCTGGAGGAGAGGACCAGGCGCGCGTAGAGCAGAGTGGAGAAGTGCGATCACAGAGCCTGCAGAGGCTATAAATGACTTTGATTTGTTGTTTGAATAGGGGGCCTACAAAAACCATCAGCCCCAGGGCCTGATGGCAGGTTAAGGCGGGCTTGGTCATCAGTGCACCACTCTGTCTCTTTTAATGACATCCTCCATCTGAGTGTTCATAAGTACATCTTTCTCAAAACCTTTCTAACAAAGCAGGTCAATCAAGAGTGAAATAATGACAAAAGTTAGATTATCATACTTTTCTGTTTTCAGAGAAAGCAGGAGGGTGGCCTGATGCGGAGCCTCTATTCTAAGACGAAGGACCCACCCGTTGTTGTCTTGTCTGCTGTTGTAGTTGAATCAGCAGCACGATTCAGAGACAACTCTGTAGTCCAGCTGCTAGATCCACAGTCTGCCATGAACCACCTGCTGTCTCACAGTACTTCATTTCATTTTTTATCATTCATTTATATGATATTTTATCCTTAAAGGGTGTTTTAGTTTAGTTTTTAGTTTTTCAATGGTAACAATGGCATTTTTTTTGGTGCAGGTGATTGGAAGTCGATCCACATGGATGATGCTGCAGGACAGGTTTTCGACAGCTGTGTTATCGCTCTGCATCATCTGGTGGAGTCGCTGCTTCAGGGAGACGTGGCCCTGGGAAATCTGGAGACCTGTCTGAAATACAGAGACCAGTTCAAGAGACTTCATCTGCAGTGTATGAATCTTTTCATTACAAAAATCCCCCCTTGATTACTACATTATATTCCCCCTTATTGGAAATGTTTTAAATTAATGATAGCTGCATTATGTCTTCCACAGACAAGAAACACATGAAATCTGAGAGCGTTCCTGTCAGTGCAGATGTGGTTTTGGATCAGAGAGCGAAGGATTTGGAGTCTTTCAAGCAACGAAAACAGAAAATGGATACACTGATGAAGATGATAGCAAAGGTGGCAGAAAGCCTCACAGGTAAATCAAAGTGTAAAAATAACCCATTGCCAGATAGTTTTATGTTAAATTAGAGAACTTTTGCATAGAGTTTGGATATGTATGTTTTTTGTGTTCTTATTCAAACAGTTCCTGAGATGTTAACTCTGGAGAAGCAGCACAGTGCAGCTCTGCACACTGTGAGCCTGAACAGACTGGTGGTTGTTCAGACCTTTGATTCTGAGGGGAAGCTGGGAAAGACGGGCCCCTCCCAGGTCCTCTGGTACAAAGTCGGTATGAATGTCCTGAAAATGTCCAATGAGATGCACAAACTGCAACCCAGCAACCTGATTCTGTCCCACTGGGTCAGGGAGGCTGCATCTCTGGCGTCAGCGAGGCAACCCTGCACATCTCCTGTTCCAGTCACCCTGACACAGATCTATGAAATCATCTGGCAGCCGCTGATCACAGAGTTCTCTCAGCTCGGTGTCAGCATGGCCAATGCAAGCATCACTTTTGAAGAGCTCGATGAGGTTTTGATGGAATCCGGCGCCCAGGGCGACGGGAAACGAATGAAGAAGGAGCTGAGTCTGATGTCTGAGATACTTTGTGAGTCGGCAAGCTTCAAACCTGAGGAGAACTGGGTGGAGCAGAGGCTGGCTCAGATCCAGGAGTATCGACAGGTCCACGAGGCGGCCGCTGCAGCCAGTGCAATGCTGAAAATCGCAGAACAAATGAAGCTTTCTGGGAACTTTGCAGAAATTGAAACTCTCAGCCAACTGGTAATTGTCTTGTGATAACGTAATTCAGTTAAAAGGGAATTGAGTTGCAGTGGGCTACATAGAAGAAAGAATACTCTTGTTATTCCTTACTTTACTTTTTATCTGTCATTTAAATTAAAGGAACCTTTTTAGAAATGTAATTCAATGGCAGGAGGTAAAAGTTACATTTAATGGTTTAAACTAAATATTTCAAATTTAACGCGGTAACGCAACTGCTTTTCATAGTTTGATGATCTTTTTAACCTGTTAAGCCCTAAAGACCCCTTCGGCGGGTCTTTTTTTTTTTTTCACGACACTGTGTCTCAGGGCATCTTAATATTTAAGAACCTATTAATGTGTTATACCAGATTAACGGGAAGAATCTCAGCTAACTGACGATACAAACCATTTTTACCAAAACAAAACACAAGTCTCATAAGAAGCATCTAAATGACCCCTGAGCGAAAAATGCTAACGCACTTTGGCACAGAACTCAAGATAAAGATACCCTTATTACTTATCGTAGCTGCACATACAAGATATCCGATTAAAGCTGAGGTTCCACAGATTATTTAAGTATTAGTATCATTACTGAGCGATCTGAACTCGCGACAGGGGAAGCAAACACAGACATCACAACAGGTACCTTTACGGAGCTTTTACGGGAGATCGTCTCACCGTAGCTTTCAATCTGATCAAAAGACGTGTTCAATGGCATTAAAACGAGAAAAAACGCGGCTGAATCAGTTAATCCATAGATTGATAATGTGTCTGTCACTTTGAAAAAATTATTTATAATCCATAATTCAATTTTTATGTAAAAATTGGAGAGTAAAAGTTAGCTGCTAATGGTAGCCACCAGAGTTATCGCAACTTCCGGTTTTGGCTATGCGTCACTCTCATTCCTTATTTGGTAATGTGTGTATGTATGTGGGAGTTCCCCTCGATTCCATTTGCTCTGACGGTTAGAAAGAGATGTCAATGTCAAAATCGACCAAGGGGGGCCAGAGATATGGAAAATCCACCCAAATGACCCCAGAAGTGTTTTTTTGGTGCTAAATCTCTCTAAAAAGGTCAATTATTATATGTTGTAGTTTGGATTCCTAAAGCTTTTAGTCTACCATCATTCAAGGGTGGTTTTCACTATAAGTAATTTTTTTTTTTGGACGGACACAATAATTTACATTTTTTTACTGTGTTCAATCTGAATTTACTTTAAAATAAAAACATCTATATTGATTCTGACACTTCAACATCCAACTCACATGTGTAACCTTGCTTTGAGAATTTTTTTTATTAATGTAACCCTTTTAGAAGGGAAGATATGGTCATTTGTTCTGGGAATGTCATTTTCGAGCCTGAGACCTGAAAAACAGGCTCGGGGCTTAACAGAAACACTTTTTTTTTTAATATGTAATTGTCGGCTTAACAGGAAGAAGACACATTTAAGCAGAGGCCCCTGGGGTCCCTTACTGCTGACCTGTTTCAAGCCAAACGGCAGCTCTCCACAGTCACCAAACATCACACAGCCTGTCTGGAAGAGTTTCTTGCGAGCCAGACTCTGGTCAGCTGGGTCAGAGAGAACCTTGAAAGTGAGTCTCCACATTAGTGCAAAATCATAAATCTTCTTCAGTCCTGCAGAAGATGCCTGCTTACTACTCTGTTCCCTGTGTACAGAGATGAGCGATGTGAAGGTGTATGTGGACCTGGCTTCCATCTCTGCTGGAGAGAATGACACAGAGATCGACCAGGTGGCGTGTTTCCACGATGCAGTGATGGGATACGCTCCTCTGCTCTACTCCCTCTCCCCTGAGGCTGGCTTTCAGGAGTTCCTGAAGTGTGCTCAGCAGGTGTGGGACACCCAAAACAGAGATGACAAGCTACCAGACAAATTGGTAATTCTTTATTTGTATGCAGAACATATAAGCCCTGTTACTGTGTTAAAGTGACAATGACGCCACTGGGTTTGTTTTCCAGAGAGAGTCCACTCGCCTGCTGAACTGGCTGAAAGCACTGAAGGAGACGCATGGCTCTGTGGAGCAGTCCTCCCTCTCCCTGGCTTCTTCTATTAATGCTGATGGAGTTTATCACATAGGGTGGTGTGATGAAAACACAGAGAAGGTACGTGAACCATCTTCCATTAAGGTTACACTTTAAACTCAGTGTCAGTACTCTGAGTTGATAAGCTGGCACATGTCTTCTTATGTTTTATATAATAGTTTATTATTTTCATTTTATCTTTACTGGACATATACATTTAATTTATTATGGTCATATATCTTATTTGATCTTTTAATCCACATATTAATAATATGTTTTGTTTTATTGTATTTTATTCATTCTAAAGTGGAACAACTGTCATGGAAACACATTTTCCCTTGGGATTATTAAAGTATTTCTGATAAAGATAAAGATAATTATTGAATGAATTTTCTATGCTATTTATTTTATCAACAATAACATGAGCAAGCTTTTCAGCATCTTCCTTGCTCAGTAGAGTCCTCATTACTGTGCTACATTGCGCAAAAGATAATGTTCAGAAAAATGACACACATTCAAAGTCTAAGATACTAAGATGAACAATGCTAACTGCATGCATACAAGTTATTTAAGATTTTAAGATTTTCTCTTGTTTGCAGAGATGTCTACAGAACATGATACGGGTCACAATAAGGGGCACAGAGGAAAAGAGCTACCAGCTTGAAGACCTTCTGGAGCTACAAAACAAGCTCATGCTCATGTCTTCCAAAGGCGAGCACGGCAGAGAGCAAGTCAACAGATTTACAGAGGTCAGTGGCAATACATCATACGTGCAACGATTAGTCGCCTAATCGCCATAATTGGCGACTATTGGTCAACTTGAAACATCTTAAGTGGAGTGCAGCCCTAGGGTCTACTTTATCTTCTGATATTAACTGTATACATCCCTTCCTGTGCTGTAGGTTTTTGAAGGAGTTCAAAGGCTGGGCACCATCCTTCTACAGATGCAAACATCCGGCAACATGCTCTTCAGGGATTGGCATGCTGAGGTCAAATGCTGCCCACAACAGCAGCAGCCGTGCATCAAAGCCACCTTCTTATCCCTGCAGGGTAAAGAGATGGCGTACTACGGCGAGGTGACCGAGCAGCTGCAAAAGCTGACTCACTCCATGGATAGCTGCAAAGACGAATGGTGCTCCTTCATCAGTGAGATGCGCTCCTCCTTTAACTTGTTGAACCACTACACCTCAGAGCAGATGGTGTACCTGTGCCACTGGATACACAAAGTGTGTCAACGTCAAGCGCCAGTTCCTCCACAGTTATGGCTTTTACTTTTCCCCATAAACCCTCAGTGCACTCCTACTGATGTCAGAGAAGCTTACATTAATGCAGCAAGTATTCATTCAAAGCATGATGAGGAAGAGGAAGATGTTAAGTTTGTGAATGAAGATCAATCGGTTCTTTCTATGGACTCAACACCAGCTTCACCGGGACACAGTGAAGAGGACAGGGAGGAGGTTCTTGATTTGATGGATTTTTCCTCAGAGGATGAAGATGATGGTGTCTTGAAGTGTCATAATGAGACCGCAGAGGACGCCCTACCCGGGCACACTGATGACAAGATGAACTGCGATGAAGACAGTCTTGAAAGACTCTGGTGTAAATTCAAGAACAACATGCCACAGTACCTCGACGAGCACTTGGATATCCCATCTCTTGCCAATTTCCTCTCATGCCTCTCTGAAATGAACCAGGAACAGACCATAAGAGATCTTCCACTGGTTCTCCAGGAGGGAAAACCCAATCTTGTGATTTGTCCCAGTGCAGAAGTTTTTACCACCATCCTGTCTTTTTACATGCAGAGTCCAGATCAACCTCTGCCATCTACTGATGAGGTTCTAGTCTGCAAAGAGGAAACCACAGAGGAGGAGGTGGAGATTTTTCTCCGCCGAGCCCTCGGTCAGGGCTCAGAAGGAAACTGGCAGAAGATATACTCTCTCGTCAATCCAGGGCTGCTGGGATATGATGTCAGTGAGGCCTCTGGGGAGCTCTTTGAGTTTCTTAAGAGAAGTGCCAACCCTCATTATCGCTTGATTATAGTCAGTCCGGTTGAGCACCAGCACAGATACGTACCCTCTTTCTTCAGCAATTTCAAAGTACAGGCTGGCATGAATCTAACAGCAGAGACTGCCAGGAAATATCTACATCACCACTTCACACAAAACATCCCACAAAACCCTGTCACACAGGTTTCTCCTGATAAGCTCTCAGTCTGGATGGTGTCATCTGTACGCCCTGCAGTTGGTAAGGATGTCCCTAACTGGCATGCCATTATGATAATGCTTATACAATAGAGGCACATGTTGAATCAGTTTGTTATGTACAAAATATTGGTTAAATGCTATCATTCAAAGTTCCATAAACACATACAGTTACAATATTCAAGTTGTTTCATGAAACATTTATCCTGACGGAATACATTTGTTTTTTCTTTCGATAGGAAAATCCCTTTTTGTGGATCGTTTGTTTGAGAAGTTCCAGCAGAAATCTCCCAGAGCAAAACATATCAGGATCAGACTGATTGAGCCATGTGTTGATATGGACTCTTTGATAAAGACTCTTTCAGAGAAACTTGTCCCCTTGAGAGAGCAGGACCCTTGCATCCTGCACATAGACATCGCTGGAGTAAGTATGCACAGCTGTTTGTCTTGGCAGATGCCTTGTTCTGTTGATGGTTGTACTTGAAAGTCTGTCTTGTTTCTGTACTCTTGTTACCCTTTAGGTCCGTTCAGGTCTAGAGGAGCTCCTGTTCCATCTGTTGATACTGGGCTGTTTGAGTGACAGCCATGGCATGTTGTGGAGAAGAAAAGTTTCTCATTTGATTACAGTTGAGGTCCTGAGAACATGCAAATCCACTCAAAACCAACCAAAAGAGGTATTGATTTATTTTAATTTTTAACTGTCAGAAAATGCTGCATTAAAAAGTCATGTTATATGGATCTTTAGACATCAAAAAGGCCCAATTATGCTTTTAGGGTTTTCCTATTCCTGTAGTTTGTTATATAGTTTCTTCCACCACCTTGTAAAGCTAAGGGGCTCGACATTCAGACACATCACTAAGCGCTTGACCAATCTCAACAGAGCTGGTGCAGTGGTTCCCACAGCCTTTTTTGTCTCGTGTATCCATTGACCTGGTCGCAATCATCTGTGATGATTCGATGATAACTGTTTGCAATCGTATTCAATCTAACTGCTCCTTGAATGAAAATCACTTGTATAACCCAACCTTAATACAAATGCATTTAAACTTGTTAAATGTACACTTATTGTGAGTGAAAAAAATATATATTAAGACTCACTTCTAGCAGTTTGAACATCTTTTGATAAGATTAGAGCTTTCAATGAGACACTTGGGCTTGCTTGTATTTCCTAAGCTTTGATAGTTCTGGGTGCAGGACACCAGTTTGAAGAAACTTGATTTAAAATTGTTTTTTTTGTGGAAATATATTGCAACCCCTAATCTTTCTATGTACCCCCTGCAATTCCCTCAATTACCCCGTGGGGTCCTCATATCCCCAGTTGGGAACCACTGAGCTACCAATCAGAGCAGACTTGGCTCTGGTTTCAGACAGAGGGCGAAAAGAGCTGCGGCAGCACAGGCAGTATGAGAAAAATACAGACCTTTTTTTAACAATGAACGCATGTAAACATGCCACAGTAGAGGCACAAGATACAAATATGAAACTTAAAATGTGCATAATATGTCCTCTTTAAACATCTTTAAGCTCTTTCAAGTTACAGCTTTTAATGACAGCATATTTCTATAATTGGTCCTGAGGCGATACAAACATTTTCAATTAAGGGGTTGTGTCACTTTCAAATGTAAAGCAAAATTAAAAAAATTACTTTTTATTGAGACCATACCTCTTTTTATTTTTTCTCACTCAGATGAAGCTTGGACTTCTTGACATTCTGCCTACCATCCATTGTAGACCTCCAAAAGAGGTGAAGCAGTTGATGGACAGTAAAGGGGTGTTGAAAAAATTGATCTTTGATCCACTCATGGATGATCAGGAGTTTTGCAGTGAGGGTATTCAAAGACCCTATCAGTACTTAAAGCTCTACAGTCAGAATCAGAATCTGGATCGGTTTAAATACCAGGAAGGATCCATAATGGGAAATCACATTGATTGTGTCAATCTTTTTCTGTCAAACTGTGGAATGCAAGATCCATCTTGGGCAGAGTTGAAGAACTTCTCCTGGTTCCTCAATGTGCAACTGAAAGACTGTGAGAACTCCATTTTCTGTAATCCAGATTTTCTGGCTGACCAGCTTCCCGGTTTCAAAGGCTTCGTTGTGAAGTTTATGATCCGAATGGCAAAAGATTTTGCTACGCCATCTCTGAACACATCTGATGAAAGTTCCATGCTGCACATCAATAACAGTCTGGAAGATGACCTTCTTGCCCGTCTGACAATTCGCAAGCATTGGGAAAATGAGTCTCATCCATACATTTTCTTTAATGCAGACCGATTCTCAATGTCATTTCTGGGCTTTAATGTGCGGAAATGTCAGAGGCAAAACACATTCAATGCAGTTGATCCTCGAAGCAACAAAGTCCTGATAGAAGATGTGATGTCACAAAAACTTTTTGAAGACTTGGAACGGCAAACGATTTGTCTCACAGAAGACTTTGATCAGTTGCCCCGGGCAGACAAAATCAAAAGGATTTCGTGCGTTGTTGGTGCAGAGAAAGGAATAATGGACAGAACATTTGATCCAGACCCAACATATGAACTCACTGCTGACAATGTGATGAAGATGTTGGCAATACACATGAGATTCCGATGTGGAATTCCAGTTGTCATCATGGGAGAAACAGGCTGCGGTAAAACCAGATTAGTCCGTTTCCTTTGTGCTCTGCAGAGGGAGCAAAAACCTGTGGAAAACATGGTACTTGTCAAGGTTCATGGTGGAACAACAGCAGAGATGATCTACAGAAAAGTGAGAGAGGCAGAGATACTTGCTGTAAATAACCGAAGATCTCACAAACTAGACACCATTTTGTTCTTTGACGAAGGCAACACTACAGAGGCCCTTTTTGCCATCAAGGAAATCCTGTGTGACCAATCAATGAAAGGGGAACCTCTAAAAGCAGGCAGTGGCTTAAAAATAATTGCTGCATGTAATCCTTACAGGAAGCACTCACCTGAAATGGTTAAACGTTTGGAACGTGCTGGTTTAGGATACAGAGTGAAGGCAGATGAAACAGAAGACCGTCTTGGCAAAGTCCCCCTGAGGCAGCTGGTGTACAGAGTTCATCCTCTGCCACCAAGCATGGCTTCCTTGGTGTGGGACTTTGGTCAATTGAGTGATTCAACTGAACTCTCCTACATCAAACAGATTGTGCAGAAGCAACTCGAAGAACATCGGTTGCCAGCAGCCTGCAAGGACATCATTTCCAATGTGCTGGCAGCCTCGCAGGAATATATGCGTGGTCGGAAAGATGAGTGCAGTTTTGTGAGTCTCAGAGATGTGGAGAGGACTATGAAGGTGCTAGTTTGGTTTTACCAGCATAGCGAGGTCATTTTCAACAACTGCTCTCCCCTCAGTGCGGCTCATAAAACACTGAAGTGCTTGATTCTTTCAGTTGGGGTCTGCTACTACCCATCTCTGGTGGCCAAAGATGAGTACCTCTCCGTGATTTGTAGGTACTTTCCAGAGCCTTATTGCTCTTCAAAAGCATTGCAGCAAGAGATTTCAACCTGTCAAGACTTCTTCCTTCAGAACATACAGACAGGGAATACCATAGCCAAAAATATTGCTCTCAAAGAGAATGTGTTTCTCATGGTGGTTTGCATTGAGCTCAGGATCCCACTCTTTGTGGTTGGTAAGCCAGGCAGCTCAAAGTCGCTTGCTAAAACAGTGGTCGCTGATGCCATGCAAGGCCAGAACTCACACTGTAAACTATTCAAGAAACTCAAACAAGTTCATATGGTTTCCTTCCAGTGCAGTCCTCACTCAAGTCCAGAGGGAATCATAGGGACATTCAGGAACTGTGCCCGTTTCCAGAAGGACAAAAACATGGACGAGTATGTATCTGTGGTGGTCCTTGATGAGATAGGACTTGCAGAAGATTCTCCTAAGATGCCCCTGAAGACTCTTCACCCTCTCTTGGAGGATGGTTGCATTGACAACGACAAGCCAGATCCACACATGAAGGTTGGCTTTGTTGGAATTTCCAACTGGGCTCTTGACCCAGCAAAAATGAACAGAGGAATATTTGTGTCAAGATGTGATCCGAGTGAGGATGAACTTGTGGCAACTGCCAAGGGAATTTGCTCCTCCTCCAACCAAATTCTTCTGAAAATCAATCACCTGTTCCCATCTTTGGCAAAGGCATTCTTGAGTATCTGTAATGAGACAACAAAGAATCAGTTCTTTGGTCTAAGGGACTATTATAGCCTGGTCAAAATGCTCTTTGCCGTTGTCGATTCAACACAAGAAGAGCCAGATGGTGGACAGTTGGTTGAGGCCATCTTGCGTAACTTCAGTGGACAACCAGAGGATTTTGACCCTGTAATGTTCTTCCAAGAGGTTCTCCAGAACTTAACAGAAATTCCAAGACCAAGCACCTTGAAAATGGTGAAAAATAATCTTGACCATGACACCAACCATGTGAGCCGTTACCTCCTTTTGCTGACCACCAACAATGCAGCTCTCCATTTCCTTCAGCAACACATCTTCGCCAAAGGAGACTATCCACCTCCTGAAATAGTCTTTGGCTCAGGATTCCCGAAGGACCAGGAATATGCCCAAATCTGCCGTAACGTGAACCGTGTGAAGACTTGCATGGAGACCGGACGTACTGTCATCCTCCTCAACATGCAAAATCTTTACGAAAGCCTGTACGATGCCTTGAACCAGTACTACGTTTACCTCAGTAATCAGCAATATGTTGATCTTGGTCTTGGTTCCCACAGAGTCAAATGTCGTGTCCATACACACTTCAGACTGGTGGTGATAGAGGACCAGAAGAAGGTCTATGAGCACTTTCCCATGCCCCTCATCAACAGGCTTGAAAAACACAGGGTGGATAGGAGTACCGATCTGGAACCATGGCAACACAGGGTTCACCGCAAACTGAAGGAGTGGGTGAATGATTTCTCAGGTGAGGCCTCGCAATATTTCAAGTTGTCTGATATTTTCATTGGCCACCATGGAGATGCCTGTGCCAGTGCTCTCTTGCAAGCACTAGAAAGTAGAGCACAACAAGGTGAAGACAGTATAGTAAGACAACATCAACAAATTGATCAAGAAGACCTACTGGAAGGACAAGATCCAAACAAATCACATGGACCAAATGCCAACAAACAGAAAGAAGACCCTGATAAAGAGGATGGTCAGTTGGGTGATGCAATGGACATAGAGACTGAAGGAAAAGGGCAAGAAATTGAGTCAATGAAAAAGAACGATGATGAATCCACTGAGGTATGTGATGGTGAGAACAAAGTGATGTCTGAGCTTGAAGAACCGATGGAAACAGAAAACGCTGTTGAGTCTCCTGGAGAAAATGAGGAAGAAGAAGTCTTGGATTTAGCTAAATGTCTCTTGTTGAACTGTGCAACCCCGGACGCTGTTGTGAGGCTCAAGTCTTCAGAATTGGCAAACCAAGAGAAGGAGAAACTCCAGAGATTGTACTTCCAGCAACAGCATCATCACTGCCTTAGAGAATTCCTGAAAGATTTCCTGAACAAGCATGAGGGGTCCAGCAAGTTTCTAGAGGTAGGTTAGCACTACTGCTCCAAATTAGTTTTTATTATTTTTTTGCAATTTCTACAAATTCTACATAACTTTCCTCCTTGTGGTTTTGCATAGATAACTACATTCTCGGGCTTGCTAACCAGATCAGATGTCAGCATTTTAGCCAATGCTCTAGGACTACAAACTAACAGGATCCTCATGCTGTCACTCCACCAGTTTGACACTGAGATCTCCTTCTGCAACAATATAAGGTACCACATTTTCAGATAACCACAACATGGCCTTCTTTCAATTGGGATTTGATAAGTTTTTTAAAAGCTTTTTGTGGGGGGGGGGGTTTATCGAGGAACTCATTATTCTGACCTTAAGGGCTATATATGAGGCCCACTCCAAAAGCAACTTTTCCTGTATCTGAATCAAATGCACACATTGAAGCCACCAAGCGTGACAATAATAAAAACAGGATTACAAAAAGAACCGTCTTTTTAACAGTAACATTAAACTGGAATTACTTTACATCTTCAATTATTAATATATACAAAACATTTTTTTCACAAATATCCAACCTTCAAATTACCATGCTTAATCAACATTGTTCTGCACACTTAATAAAGAACAGTTAAAGGAACTACATGAGTAGTGACATTATCCTAATACCCTGCTTTTTATTGGTCGGGCGTACTACAATAGCTTAAAATATGTGTGTGGAAATCTCAGTTCATTTGTAGGGCTGTGCAATTATGGCCAAAAGTATGCTGTAAATCTCACAGTTAACAATTTAATCATAACCACATTCGGTGTTGATCATAACTCAGCTTTATGCACACACATAGCATGGTTCTTTTCTTTATTTTTTGTCTTTTAATCTTCTCTTACTCTACTCTTTCTGTGTCAGGGCCTTCCTCAAAGATGCTGACAACTCTCTTCATATCATGCTAATCCAGATGGACCTCGAGGAATCCCACTGCAGCGATGAGCTCATAGCATCAGCAAAGTAGGGTTCCATTTCAAGATTCAGATTGAAACATAACTATATGCAGGTTCAGACGATAAAAACAACATTACAGGCAATTCACGTGTGTTTATGATTTCATCTGCCTTCAGGTATTGCACCATGAATTACTTGATGACACTGGAGCATCAGACCTGCTGGGTGATTTTCATTGTGAGGGTTTCTAGGATCCCAAGTAAATCCCAGTACATTGGTTTCCAAGGAGGTGAGGACTTTATGGAATGTGGTCATTATTGCAGTTAAATTATTTGCTACTGTATTATACATGACTCATAACTAGATTAAAGTCATGTTTTGTCTCTTGCAAACAAAGGTGTCTGGCAGTCGGTGCATATTGATGACTTGAGGGATTCAGACGACATGAGCCGGAACCTGTTGGTTTTCTGTGGAACTCTCATTAGCAGCCTAGTTAACCCTGCACTTTCAGGTAGAAACTGTATAACCTTTGGGTATTAAATCTGTGTTTCATGTAGTCATTGTTCTCTATGCAATGTTTCACCGAAAATAAACAGTATTCTTGATCTTCAATAGAACATGATGAAGATGGAGAAACATTGAAGCAAAGGAAAGACCCCGAGGTTGGTACAATGTATATAATATGTTCCTCTAAAAAACTAATCTTATATTTGAATGTTGCTTAAATTTAACTCAATTATGTTTGTGTACAGGGAGATAGAGCCCATCTCGACAGCCTCTCCTTAGTGAGATCATGTATCCAAAAAGCTGTGGGTTTGATGAGGGAACCCGATGGTGTGACATCGCGAGGCATGCAGCGGATGCACATCCTTCTGACTCTTCTGAGAACTGATGAAGTGCAAATCGGAGGTAAACATAGTCATCAGAACATTTTATTTTTAGGTTATTACTATAGAGTTGAACAGAATGATTGGGTTTGTAGATCACTTTTGTGATTCATCATGTCTATTAGGCTCAGTCTAAAAACGTTCTATCGGAATTGTTTCTGATTGATGTCAACTTTGTATTTAGTTAAAGCCCACTTTCAGGAGGTGATGTTGAGTAGACTGGCAGAGGCTTTGGCACAGAGAGAAGAACTGATGCATTCTCCTAAGCAGTGGGTGAGCAGAGAAGCCCAGAAACGCCAGGCTCTACAGGAGGGTGGAACTTGGAGGTAAAGTTCATTAGCAATATAACTTGTAAAGAAAAGAGAACTGAACAAGGAAAAAGGGATTTGTTTTCGGCATGAATCAAACCACAGCTGATGAAATGTGGAACATTTTCTTGTTTCTAATAAACGGTTTGATCACGTTCTGCTTTCTTTTGTGTCTTCAACTGACAGACATACCCTGTGGCGCTGTCTGCAGTCCAGCGTGACTCCGATCTTGGCGAACATGTTGGAAGTTATGGACAGGTATGCAAATCTGGACTTGCTCTCTGGTGACAGGCTCAGCGAGGGCCTGATAAAGCTGTGGTTGGACATCCTGGCAGACTCACAGATTTTGGGTTTAACAACCGTCCAAAACCCAAGGTATTGTGGATTACGTCTTCTGTATAAGTCACAGAGTGAATTTAAGCAACACAAGGCTTCATTTTTCTTTGATTATCATATGTTCTAGTGAGTCAGACCAGGAGGTGCTTGTGCATCACTTCTTCCTGTTGGATGGTGAAGAAAAACCCTGTGCTGCCCCGTTCAGCTGGTGCATCAGAATGCACCTTGAAAGTTTGTGGGAAGAATCAGAATTCATGCCAGGTTTGCCTTTATCTTGGTTTTGTATACTATAGAACGTCTCTTATCAACAGTTTGGGTCTATGCCTACTTTCATTCAGTGCACTGCACCAGTACATTCACTTAGCCACCATTATAATGTTTGCATGTGTAAGCGTGATCTATTTTGAATTGTGTCAAATGTTTTGTTGTGGTTTTATGACTGTTTCTTAGTAAGAGAGGATGGCACAGGGAGGATTCTCCAGTTTGTGAGCTCCTTCACCAACAGCAGGCTGGGCAGTCACTTCCAGAAACTCTCAGAAGAAGAGAGATTGGAGTACGGCCAACACTTTCTACAAGACTTTCTGCTGCTCGCTTTGAAGATCAAGTCTACGGACGAACTGAGGGTATGGACATCTTGAGTCTAACATTTGGACAGACATGTTTTAGGGAACAGCCAGTAATATTCTTCCCTTTTACACAGGTGTTCACCAGGGCCATGTTGGGCTGTGTGTCCGAGCTTCAGACTTCTTTGGGTGCTGTCACTGAGCTCTCTCCTGCTTGGATAATGGCTGCTGCCAAACATTTTGCCCTGAGACTGGACACTCTCTGCCACATATTTCTGCTGCAGCCCCAGCTAGCCCACAATGTTCGAAAGCAGGGGGGAAAGAGGGAGCCGCCAGCAATGGTGAGAATACCCTTAAGGAATCTCTAGAACGTGACTCTTGTATTTATTTTTTTAAATAGGAAATTGTTTGGACACATAGGTTACGTACAAGAAAATAGTATTTCACATTCTGTCATTACCTCCAAATGTATTCCGTTTTTAATAAGATACCTCTAAAATAATTCCTTTCACCTTTTGCGTGGTTCCCAACCTTTTTCCTTAAGGGATCCCTTTTTTTAAATTCATTGAGTAAACTGACGATCCTTGACTAAGTGACCTAATAATTGTTATTATATGTTATATTCAATTCATAACAATACCAGTAATGAACATCTGACACTCTGACAGAGAGTAATAACACCAGGAAGTTTGTTCAAATTAAACAATTTGGATACATTTTGAGCAGTTCATTTCCTTTAAATATTGCAAATATTTAATTCATATTTTAAAGCCTAATTTTCTTTGTGAAATTCAATGTTGGTTTTCTTCTCAATAACGCCTGGCTTTTGTTCCATTAGCTATTGGGTTGTTTTATTGGCATGCTAATGCTGAACAGGCTGATTTTCAGGGAAAGAATGCTCTATTAATATAACTTGTGTTTAGGTCTTTACCGCGCCACTTTTCAATTAGATTTGTAGTTTAAATCTTACATAATAATCCAAACTTTAAAACTCACTATGTAATTCAGTTTTCTTCACATAAATGAATTACATTCTGAGATATAGGCCAATACATATGTGTGATTTAAAACATGTCAACTTGTCCTAATCTTTTATTGTATGTCTCTTTTTTCTTGCAGGTGGAGGATATTCTAGCTCTTGGTATGTGTGTTGAACAGACCAAACTGCTGACAGTAACGTCCCAGCAGGAGTGTGAGACCTTCGTGAGCAGGATGAAACTCCTGCAGCCGTGTCTGGACCGAGCGTTCGGTCAGAAATACAGAACCCTCTGCAGCCCCAGCTGTCTGCACCAACTGGACTCCATCAGGTGAGTGTGGTAAGATAAACAGTGAGGAGAAAACAAAGTTTGACTTTTTATTAATGACCTCATTCGCCCTTTCAGGTCACTGTGGCATGGGATGCTGGTTGTTGCATCTTTTATACAGCACATCATTTTTAAAGTGAATAAAAATGACTCAAGATTGGAAGAACTGGCTCTCAAACACTGCAACCTTCACCTGAACGTAAGTAAAATAGCTTTAGGCTCTGTGAATCATCTTGATATGACTGAAAAACAAATTGAAATGATATGACTGTTGGTGACTTGCGACATTTTAATAAGCAGATAAAAGCATAAACAATGACTTTTTTTATTATGAATTGACATTTGTTATTTGAAATAGCACCTGCACTTATTTAACCTGAAGGTTAATGTTAACACACTTGTTATTCTGTTTGCAAAGGCAGCCTTTATTTCAGGTGTTGTGGCAAGCCTCAGCTACTAAACACAGTATAAACCCCAACTAAAGCAACTTAGGAACCTAACAGGAATAGTAGAAATAAAATAATAACAAGTACCAAAAAGTATATTAAGGGACAAGAACAAAACATATTTGCAATAGCTGAACATTAAAAACAGAAACACTTTTTGTAGTTGTCAGCAGTCAGATTGTGGGAAAAAAGAAGACATGTATACGACTTCCTTTTCATATTTCCTAACAGTTGATGCAGGAGTCACCGGATGTAAAGAGTGTGGACACACTGCAGCAGCTGATCCGGATCCTCAACTGTTTTCACGATGAGTGTATGAGCAGGGACCTGAGGTCAGGATCTGCCTTTACAATTTATATTCTCTGTTTTGGTTTAGTTGAATGTATACCAATGAGCTTAAAATGTGACAAATTAGCCTATTATTTAACCACAGCTTCACTGTTCAATTCAATACAATACATACTTTTAATTTGCAATGTACAAAATAATCTTCTTAAAATAAAAATAAAGTTCTTATTTCAGAGTGCAACAGAGTGGTGCCGGAATGGTTCCTAACACCCGAACATGAGTTTGACCACTTCCGGTTACTTTGTCTCAAAGCAAACAGTTTAAAAAAAATGTTTTGCTGAGATTCCTGAAATAAGGTTTACTACTCATCACGACAAACATTAGCAGAGTTGAATTGATGTAATTCCTAACGTTAGCTTTTTACTTCTAGTGATAGCATTTAGGCTTCAAATATCATAACAGTGGGAATGATCTTGCTGAACAAAACTTGTAAGCATTTTAAATGTGTTTGCCAAATATTTTTGCAATAATCCAAATGGAACGGATAAATCCAATTGCATTTTGTCGAGTTAGCCCTTGCGATGCTACTGTAACTCCCTGGTTGGCTACATGAATACGTCATCACTGCAGCACTCAGTAATGATTTCTCATGATATGTTCTGCACAGGTTGGGCATGTCTTGCCCAGTTTGCCTGTCGGAGCTCAAAGAGCCGGCCGTCCTGCCCTGTCAGCACGTCTTCTGTTTGGCCTGTCTGCAACGCTGCATTCAGGAACACAGTTACTGTCCTAAATGCAGGACAGACCTGCCACCTAACTTCAAGCCGGCTGTTTCTCCCGGCGTCAAGTGAGTTCAGAAAAAGCACTCAGAAATGATAGGAAGGGAATCAGAATTCTCTTTCTCTTTTGAAGAATGGGTTATTTGAAATGCATGATTTTTTCTTTTAAGGTAATAAAAGAGATAATTATTATGAAATGAAACCCTGTAAAAATATGTGTATGAAAATAAATTCTAAATGATAGGCTAAGATTTTAGATGTAGGATGTGTAGAGCAGCTATTGGCTAACACGCTCATCATACCATCTGATTGTAATGATGTCATGTTATAGTTTTTAGAATGTAACAGTTGCACAATTTAGAAAAACATTTGACATGTGTTATGATTCGCTATATTAGAGGGAATAATACTCTTTGGAACATCCACATGCAAAATGTATTAAGATAATCATGGTGGGATTTATTTTTAAAGATGATCTGTGCCAAACAAGGATGTATATAAAGTCTGTAGAATGCCCTTTGAACACCAATACTTCCCTGAAACACCACAATAATTATTTCAGAATGATATTTTCAAATATTTGTCCTTTTCTTCATTTTGTGCTTACTGCAATTTTGATTGTGCACTAGTCCAATTTTGCAATTTCAGGACCATTTTTAAATAATCATGTAGCCATATGCATCAGTCTGAGACACAACTATGGCCACCTGATTCTATTGTCTGACAAATCTATCAGCTGTCAGCACCATTTTTATTTTCCTGGTTCAGGGCAGCACTTGCGCGGCAGGCAGCGATCAGGGACTGCTGTAACTCCTTCTTCCTGGAGGTGGTGTCCAGGTTCTGCCTGTCAGAGGGACAGACGCCCGGGGAGGGGGTGGTGGAGCTGCTCTTCTCCTTACTGGTCTCCGCCAACGGTCAGTGAGACAATAAGTCAATGATAATAATAACCAGATAACTGAAGATTCTGTGCTAACGAGGCATTTACTCTTCCTCGTTGTGCTGCAGGAGACGTGTACCGGACCAGAGAGCTCACTCCCTTCCTGGAGTGTGTGGACAACAGTCCAGTGGTGCGCTCTGTGCTGCCCAAACTGCTGCTGCAGTACAGGTGAGGGCATGGATCCAGTGAGCATGTGCAGGGAAATTACTCAAACCCTTTACTCAATCAAACGCAGTTACACAGCAAGTAAAATATAGTGTCTATATATAAGTATATGAAAAGTATTTCTTTTTTTTTATGTATTAAAAAACATTTGCCTGTTTCCGTAATTGAATCCCATTTATAATGCCAAAATCGACGATACCAATGGAAATGAAAATCTCCCAAATTCCAGCCTGTTGGATGATGGGTCATATGTATAGGGTTATTAAAGATAACTTTTTTAATGTAAGTTTAAAAACTATCTTTACTATCTTGGTAGAGTGATTAGTGAGAAATAGAGCCTGATTTAAAACATACATGCATTATAATGTAAAAAAAACCCAGACTAACACAATGTTGCTGTATATATATATATTAATTTTTTGAATGCACTACTATAGAAGATTCTTATGAGTGTAAAGTGGATGTTCACAAAAATAGGTTGTCCTATTTGTGATGCAAAAACATCAGGACTCTAGTTTTTTTCATTTAAAACGTTGAAGATTCTCGTAGTCAGAGATGATTTGAGACACACACTTAACACAACATGTCATTAACACACAGCCACATGAAGCTGTTACAAGTTTGACTTTTTGGAACTTTGCTCAAGTATAAGTGCCCCACATGTGTTCTTACTGTATCTACAATAACTGGTGGTGTATTCCTCAGTTTTGATCAGGTGAAGGCTCACATTCAGACCTACCTGAAGAATCTGGAGGAGAATCTCCTGAACAGAGAAGACCGTACTGAACTCTACCTGCTGTTTGTCAACTGCTTCCAGGTAAAACACTTAAAGTCTTTCATTGTCTTATTACTTTGTGACTTGTTTTTACCATGGATTTTCTGCAAAGCATTCATTAATACACAACCAGATACTGCACTTTTTGTTGAAAATGTTTACTTTTCTTCTCAGGACTCTCTGCTGTGCTCAGAAGCGAGAGAAGTGGAGCAGAGTGCAGAACAACAAAGACAGGCAGAGATCAGATTCCTGAGCAGCTTTGCCAAGAAAACAGACTCCGGACCGACAGCAGGACCCCGCAGAGTTCCTGCTCAACACGGCCCGGCTGAGGGTCAACCTGAGCACTGCTGCAGAGCTGCTAAAAGCTGTCGCAGCTCAAGGTCTGTAATGCTCAACTTTGTTTGGATACAATCACTGCAATGTTTCTATTTAGAGGAGTACAACATTACAAAAGGCCTTTGTCCACATATCACATTTCCTGGCAGAAAGGCCCTGGGCTGAGAACCCTCCCATCGCTTTTTTTTGTGTTTCTATGGAAACAATATCTCAACAATGTATCACCACTTTTATAAAACAGACTAGCCTGCTTCCTTGGATTTTATTATCTGTTTATGACACTTTACATTTGTTTGACATTGTTTTTTCACCATTACAACCAACCGGAAGATTCTTGCTCTCACACTTTGTATAAATGAGCTTTTTCCCGCTCAATCAAGCTGTAGAACGATGAGAAAGATTAAAGTAAACACTCACTGGTGGCAAGTTCAACATCCAGTCAGCCTGGCCGATCTGCTCCACTGGGCTTTTTCGGTCTTTGTTGAAAGACATGGCCAAAAACAAGCTTCTCCTCCCATTTTCTACAGTGAAGCCACTAGTGCTTTCTGAAAAGTAGAAATGTTTTCAACTGACAGCGCTTGGAGCAGACGTATCCAAAATTACAAAGCGCTTGGACACAGGCCTTAAGAGTTTGTATGTAACAAGTTTTGATGTTCTTTGTGAAATGCAGGCAGACCAAAGGACATGGAGGCTCAGTTCCTGCAGCAGGTGAAGGCGGTGTGTGAGGATGGAGGGAATGACTGGCACAGGGTGTACCTGCTCCGGGCCCTGAACAAATGCTCAGGTATGGACAGCATACTGTCGCTGCTGAACATCCCGGCCCGGAGGTGGCTCTTCCCTGCAGACCTCCTCCGACTTCAGGTAAAGATGTCTTATGCTGCGTTCACACTGGACGTGATGCGAATATTCGAAAGATCGTTTTGGTTATTTCTGTCCTTGACTATGGAGGATATAACAACTATTGCTGCTTTGTGCCTTCTGTGGAAGTCCTACAAACATAGCAACAAACGCCGTCGTGTCTGGGTTCTTATTCTCCTCCAAGCCAGCTCCTTTTTGTTGCGGCCCCGGTAGATATACAACATTGTATCGTACATTTCCATGAACCCACTCACAGCCACAACGATCATCTCTTCCATCTTTACAACTGATCAACAGCAGTACGTCAGAGGGAATCCCAACACTGATTGGCTTTCACGTGAACGCGTGACGTGAATTTGACGCTAGAAATGTTTTTTCTAACAAGGGCAGTTATTTGCTGTAGAAATGCAATTAAAGAGACTACAATTATTTGGTTTGGATGATAAAATGTCTGAAAATTATTATACATTTCGAACGCCATCATCACATCAGTGGTTCTGATAACACAAAATCAAAAGGTGGAACCTGAGGATTTTTCAAAAAATTAACAAGAAAAATATATAACAGTTAACTTATTATTAACTTGTCCATCAACTTATTTATGTACTAATAACTTCAGCTTTACTCATTGTATCAGTTAATGTAAAGCAAGCTTTCTTGAGAACCGAGTAGGATTTAATGTTAGCTTTTTAACCTAAATGAATAAGCTAATTAACTAAATACGTAATGTCACCATTGCATGGAACTAAATTGCTCTGTTTCCAACTATGACCTTCTCCCTTGTGTTGTAAACATTGGATCCATAAGCTGGAACTATTTACTGGGCTAAGTGTGACTGTTGACCTTGAAAGTAAAAACACTAAAATGTGATTTTTTTCTCACAGAAGGTAACGCCATCTAACATGGACCCGTTCCTGTGCTGCGGAGCTTCTTACAGAGCCGTGAGAGAAGCTGTGGGCCAGGTGCTGCTGGAAAACAGATCTGACAACTTGGTGACACAAATAAAGGTCAGATGAGTCCAAAGCTGGTAGAATCTACAGTTCAGATTATTTTTCAATGAGTTTATGGGCAATGATCCTGCTTCAGTGCAGTCTGTTATTTCCTATAATAACCACTAGAGGGCGGGAATAACTCTTTATTTAAACTATGTTCTTTATAAATGTTTAATAAATGTGCTAACTTTAATTTAGCTGCACGCATATATAAGGACCCTTTTTTGTAATCTCATGTCTCAAGTCAGTCAGATACCCCAATACACAATTTGAGGATAGTCTAAGCTTTCCAATAATATTTGTATTGTTTTAATCAAAATATTAAGCAAACAATTGCCAAATAACACAATAACTGTAACTGAGCCCCAATAATGAGAAAAGCCTTTAAAGTTGGCAGACAATTAAAAAATAATTAATATTATAGGGATATATATAATATCGTGGGATTGTACCACTTGCCACCAAGGACCAACAAATCATTTGTCTGTCAAAATGTACATTTATATTATTTATTTTACATTACATAGATTATTACTTTTTTTAATTACTTGGTGTTCTTTAATCACTTTAATAAATGTATGGACAATTTGTTTGTATAGTCATTATACAACCAGATAATAAACTAACAAATTAACTAACATTGATGATTCTTATATTACTATGTTTTTATTTATAATCTATTTATGCCCCATACTCCAATTATGAATTTCCACAGGAGGATTTTAGTTCTTGATTATAAAAAACCCCTCTTATAAATACTAATTACCACATTATAGTGTGTTATGAACTATTTATTAAAAGCTGCTTATAAATGTTAAATATGGGATTAAGTAAAGTGTTATCATACATGTATGTGTATAAATCAGTGTTCTTATCAATTGTTGAATCCCCAATCTGATCAGTAACCCTTCAGAAACCTGGTCAAATGACACTGCCAAATAACAATTCTTTATTTCAACAGTTTTTTTATTTAATTTGTTATCACGTTAATTGCCTCTATCTTCCACTCTTACATGTCTGTTGTGTTTTCTCTGTAGAAGCTGAGAGATCCTCAGATGGGCCTGCTGGCCTTGGCCTTGTACAGACAGGTCACCTGCCGCTACAAATGCCCTGATGCCCGTATGCTTCCCTCCCCACAGGTCACTATACGTCCTATCTAATGTCAATTGTGTCTATAATATATCTACTTTGTAACAAGTCGCTCAAATGAACTTACAGGAGTTGGCGGGACTGGAAGCTCTCCTGAAAAACGTCAAGTCAAAGGAGTTGAGGGAGTTCTGCACTGCGCTCCTGTCCAATCACATCGGTGGACCGGGCTCAGGTCTTCGCATCAGCAGTAATGTTTCTGCTCAGAGACAAAACCTCCTGGAGCTGCTGCTCCACCTGGACTCTGTGATGCTCAGTGGAAATATTCTACTGCTTCCTCTTCATCAGACAGCCTCCCAGCCTCAGAATGTCACAGTAAGACGTTTCTTATTTCATACCTAAAAGCCCAATCCACCAATCCTAATCTTTGTTTTTTTTAGCTGGGTTCATACTAGGCACTAGGTAAGGGTTAAAAGGTATTACATGTACTTTAAATAATAATACTTCAAATTAAAATGTCTAAAAATAACAAGTTCTGCAGTTACAATATTCCAAAGGTCTCTAGCAGTTCTCAAACCCAGAACAATCTGTAGTGTGTTTAACTTTCATTATAGAGAAGTGAAGAACTACGTTTTTCCATATGATTTATATATCACAATGTCATAAAAACACATCAATAGTGGTAATAGTTTACAGTTATCTGAATATTTTCGATTCAAGCACAGATCACAACAAATGTATGGTAATAGAAAAAAAATAATTACATTTCAAGAGCTGTAGTATAGGCAACATCTAAATCTAAATCTTAAAAACAAATTGTATGAACAATGATACATTTCCAGATATAAATTAAAGCTGAAAAATATGTTTCTTCATTATAATATACCATGTTTAAATTCCAAACTATTCGCACATTAATTTAGCTTAATTTTCCTCCAAGAACTCCTTTCTGCCAACCATGCCCGATGATCACACATCTGAAGTCCTTCAGTGGATGAAGGACAAGAGGTCACAGCTGTACTGTAAGCAAATTATATAAATTGAGGTTGTTTTTTGATTATCAATTCTATGAATTGTCTAAGAGTATGTATATATATTTTATTTTACATCATTCACAGATTGTACCAATGGGCATCCCTGGGTTGTGGACAAGGTATGAGCTGTTTTTGTATTCCTCTTGCCAAACATTCTTTAAGAATACAGAATTCAATAAATAATACATGTTATGCTTCTCTCACCTATCTAAGTGTGGCAAACCAGTGGTTACAGCTAAATGTAACACGTGTGGGGTTCTAATTGGTGGGGATAATCACAACCCAGTGGATGGATTTACAGCAAGACAAAGGTATTATTCTCTACAGTCTTTGTGACAGTATATTTTACAATTATATGAGTTTTATTTAGGGGTGCCACAATATCTTCTTTTTTTTTATAATTCATGTATTACTAACAATACTCTTACGATAATAATCCAGCTACTCTAAACCATTTCTGTTTCTTTCTTCTCTTTTTTTATCTCTCAATTTACCTGGTTGTCTTTTCACTATTTTATGCTTTTGTAACAGTCTCTCTCTTCTACGGCCCAAAACAAATTTACCATTTGGAGAAAGCTTCAGAAACGGTGCAAATATAAAACGTAACCCTGCCAAAACACATACAAATGAGGAAACTTTTTCACCAACTTGATGTAACATGCGCAGCATTTACTAAAAGCGCTGCATAGACAAAACACTGCAAATAGAAAACGAGCAAGAAGCTTAAAACACAACGGAAACAGGGACACTGGTCCCAGCACAGAGCTGCACAGAGCTGGGACCAGACACTTGTTGACGTTCTGGGATTATAAGGTTGGCCAACAATCATTGTCACAGGATACTTACATTAAATGTAAGTTTTATTGGCTTATTTGAACAATTTTATCACATCCTTACTTCCAATATTATTGTAGGTAGTGTAAGCTACTGTATCTAGCTAACGTAGCTAATTTATGAAACTAACTGTGCCAACAGTAACAGTTGGCCAACTTCATAATTCCCAGTTGTCAACAAACGCTCCGGTCCCAGCAGTGTGCATCACTTTTTAGTTACGGTGTGTTTTGAGCTCTTGGAGCGTTTTGTATTGGCAGCATTTTCTTAAACGCTTTTAGTAAATGCTGCATTTGTTTCGTGAAGTTGGTGGAGATGTTTCTTAATTTGCATGTGTTTTGGCACACTTGTGCTTTCATATTTGCATCGTTTTTTAAACTGCAGCGCGTCTATCCTAATTGAAATGTACTGGGCCGTTGTAGTGCATTTGCACCTGTCGGCCACCGTACTCTCCTTCTCCCTGCACTCATATTTTATTTATTTGTGGGATTTATTGGCTAAAAAGAGACAAAATGCACAAAGTCAAGGTAACTTTGAAAAAAATATAAAATTCAGGATTTATTTGGCCACATTGATTGTGTAATGAAAAACTCCTATTGTGACAGCCCTAGGTGTATTTCACTTTACTAATGTTCCTTGTTGTGTGTGTATAAAGTGTCACAGATCAAACTCGGACAGGACACATATTAGGAAGGGCTCACCAGAGGTCTGAAGCCCCCGAGAGACAGATGACCAGCGCTCAGTCCTGCATCCTGCGGCTGCTCACACACCTCGCCATGCTTCAGGGCTCCATCAAAAACAACCAAGTGAGACTTCAGTTCAATTTGCACAAAATGTTGAATATCAGTGGTGTTAAATAAATGGCACAGTATAATAATACTCCTGTGGGTTTAATGTGGTTATTGAAGGGAGTTGGTGACATGATCCACCCCAGGCCCTCTGATGTTTCCAGCTTCCTGTGGGAGCACCTTGAGAAGGACATGGATGTGTTGGGGCAGACTCTGGATCAGAACATGGACAACACAGTTGTCACAGTTCATCTGATTCTCAATACCTGCACAGGATTCACTACAGGTGATGTTACAACTACTTTCAACTTGTTGCTCTTAAAAAAACAAAAAAACATATAATCTTACTTTGTTATTTTCTGATGATAGGTTCCCGTGGAGCAACACAGGATCTGTCCTCCAGACAAGGACGGCAACAGTGGGAGAAGTTTGTCTGTGTTTCTGCCATCAACCCCGTTCTTCATGTAAGGATTACATGTTATTTAAAACCAGTGCATTGATCCTTTACAAGGTTGTAACTGGAATCAATCCCCAGGATATAGGTTTGTTCTCCTTCAGGAAAATGTGAGTGTCAAACACTTCATTTCCTATATTCTGGAAATTGTATTACGAACAAATTATCGAAATATATTTATTTAGGTAACGGAAAACTAGGGATGCTCCGATCGATCGGCCGCCGATCATTATCGGCCGATATTCACTCTTAATAGTTTGATCGGTGCTCTCTATAAATGCCGATCAGGAAAGCCGATCAGATGGCGCAAAATACACAAGACTTTTCTCAGTGCGTGGCAAAACAAGCTCGCCAAAATGGCTTCACCAGTCTGGCAGTTTTTCAAGGTGTCCTAAAAAGACAATAAAATAGCTATATGCAACGTGTGTGAAGCAGAAAGAGAGAGAGAGATCAGAGATCACGATCAGCTGACGGAGACACGCAGCTCTACCGGATCACAGCCGCAGCTTCGCCCGCTGCCTGTGACAGACCGGTGAGCGAAGCAAAACACACACTTGTTAGTTCAGTTAGAACTAACACACTTGGCTATTTTATCTAGCCTACCTCTGGAACATCCTAAACTACTGTAGTTATATGTTTATTCTTCACTGTCGGGTCCCTCATTACTGGATCAGCGAGCTGCATGAGTCTGATACTGACGGGCTGTCAGGAGAGAGAGAGAGAGAGAGAGAGAGAGAGAGAGGCTCCGTTTATTTCTCCCGTGTTATTATTCAAAGTTAATGTAAACTTTTGAATGATGTACTTAATCTACTATAAGTAGTTTGTTTGAATGTAATAATTATGTTTTCTGTTGTTTGTGGAAGCGCATCATTTATTGAAAAATGAAACTGAACTTTTCGATCTGTTACGATTATAAACTGAAGCAATATAAAAATGATTCCGGTGATCGGCCCCAAAAACCCTGATCGGAGCATCCCTACTGAAAACACTTCATTCATGAATGTTGCACTTATTCACATTAATAATATATACAATTTATTAGCTCATGTGATATAGCAAGATTTGAGTTAATATTTAAACTTTCTGCACTGTTCTCTGAAAATATATAATATTTCTTATTTTATTTTTACAAAGAGAGTAAAGAAATTACATTTCAGGAAAAAGGTTGTAATATAATGCTAATAAAACCCTCATTAAATGATAATAAAAGTTCAGCAAAACGGTTGTAATAATACGATAATGAAAGACAAAATATAATTAGAATATAGAAGCTTATTCTTTAAAATATTTGTATGAAGATTTTGGGGGGGGCATATTTGTATATTGACCTGACATGATGCCACCTGTCTGTTTTCAGGATTTGAAGAAGAAACTGTCTGAAACTCAGAACAGAATCAGTGCTGATGACGGTCTCGCTGGAAACCCCCTGAGGATTCTCCTCTTCAAGGACCCCTCCGACATGCTGACCCTCCCCTCCGACTGCCCGACACACCGCTCCTCCTTCTGGACTATTCCACAGACGCTGACAGTGAAGCGCTTCTCTCAGTTGGTGGAGGAGGCACAGGGACGCAGCCCCCTCCTCCTGCTGAGCCTCTTCATCACCAAGGTAGTCATCATGAAATATGGGCCAAAGACTGGGGGCACAGTGAACTCTAATTAAGATTAATTTTTTTTTTTTTTAAGGGAAATTAAGTTAATGAGAATAACGTAACAATGTTAGGAAAGGTTGTAATATTATGACAGTAAAGCTGTGATTTAATTGAAGTTTCACAAACAAATTATCAACCTATTTTTTATAACTTTTTTCTAGTCATACTATTTTTATTTTTATTTATTATAATTAATTATAATTTCTTCCCCAAAATGTCTTGGATCTGAGAGACCCAACCAACAAGAGCTTCACATTTCAGAGTAACAGGAGGAGATGACCAGGGGCCTTATTTATAAAGCCGTGCGTAGGATTCACGTGGGAAGGTTGCTTACGTAGTAGAACTCCAAAAATAGGTACAGAAATGTTCCAACATTTTCCGATTCACCAAACATTGCGTACCGGCGAGGAAAGTGCGTACAGCACTTCCTACGCCGGTTTCCCTTTATAAATCACAATCGACTCGAAATGCGGTGCAGCTTTTGCGGGCTTCACGTAACGCCCATATTTGCCTATAAATAGTCAAAGAAACGCCCATTCATTCATTTTGACTGACTTTATGAAGAAGATCGCAGGAAATGACGACAGAACAGCTAAAAAAGACATCTCAGATTTTGGTTATTTTGGGGAGGTGGAGATAAATCATATTGTTTGGTGGATGCCGTTTGATCCAGAGTAGCAGCATGGAGGTCGGATCGTCAACAAAATAAATAAATAAGTGGTCCGAAAAAGGTTCATGACAAAATAAATACACATAGCCTTCCTCAGGCAGCGTGTTTGTAGCGGGGACAGGAGACCCCCCCCCCCCCTTGATGAGAGACTGTAAGAAATGATCGGGGAATCCCTCCGGAGTGGAGTCATGACGACTGGATCTGAATTATGTTTTCGTATTTGGTGGTTTGTGTCCCAGCTGTCGATCAGCTGTGCGCAGCGTCTCCACTGCAGCCTGTGCAAAACCATGCTCGTATCTACAACCTATAGAAATGCAACACGGCGTCAGTTTAGACGTAATTCTGTCCTCCTGCTTACCGCATCATTTATGAGAAAACATTTCATAACATTAACACAACATATTCAAGGTGGTTTTAAATAACATATCCGTATTTATTTATTTCTCCAAGTTATGTGTTTGTGTGCACTGAGGAGTCTCAAACAGGCGTTTGTTTAATAATTTTAAGATTGGCTTTAATCAATGTTTGAAAGTGAATTCTTCATATATGATAAATGAGAGGTAACATTTTATTTATGGTATTATTTCCACATATTTCTCTCCATTCTTCCTTCTGCCAACGGTGTCGCAGTTTCTCGTCTCTCCCGTGTTTGTGCTTAGTGCGTACGCATGGGTTAGAGTTTGCGTGGAGGACCACACGTTTTCCCGTCAAGTTAGTATTTTATAAATCGCAAACATTGCGTAGAAACTGGCATACGCCATTGTTTGAGCGTATATCCCTTATAATAAGGCCCCTGACCTTAGCTGTGTAACATCATTCAAAAATCTTTTTACTTTTTCAATATCATGTGCATTATTACTTTAACTCTTCTATTTTAGTTGACCTGGTCAGGTCATCTTCTCTTGTTACTCTAAGATGTAAAGCTGTTGTTGTTAAGCTCTCTCATGTCCATGATTGGTCCTTTTGTTATGTTACTTTACAGTGATTTTAACCAACGCGGCATCACTGAATGTTATCATATGATATATGTTACAAGTGTTATATTATTTTGCCTGTGTTTGTCCCAGATACCCTGTGTGAGGCAGTTACATCACCTGCCTGAGCTGGCTGCTCTACAGTCCGACCTGTTGAGGGTGTTTCCTCTGACATCAGACTCCACAGATAAGACTATTGCACAGATGTTACAGCAGATACCAGCAGGTATGTCAACATTTCACTTTTAATTCAACATACCCCACTCCTGACATCACACACACACACACACGCGCACACACACACACACACACACACACACACACACACACACACACACACACACACACACACACACACACACACACACACACACACACACACACACACTGAGCCTTCTCACTGTCCTCATTAGGATACCAGAAGAAGATGCTGAATGAGAGAGTGAAGAAATTCATGAAGGTGTGGAACTGCCTCAGAGCAGAGGTGGCCAACTGTAAGCATGTCTCCATTTACATTTCACTCTGATGTATGCATGTAAAGTTATAAAGGTGTAACTATTCCTGTGTTGCTTTCACTGCATTAATTATGAATTATGTATTGATCTGTCTAGAGCAGTATGAATATCCCTGTGTTCCATCCAGAGGGAGTTTCCCCCTGCCTGAAACACCTCCATTGGACGTCTCTGTTGACTTCTGTAACATAGTGTCATCACTATGTTACACTTGTGTGTCTATTGGCTAGCGCTCCAACACATTGTACATGATATACAATGCAATAAAAGTATAGTTTAAAAATGATTTAAAAGAGGACTCAATTAAACATTATATATTTGTAAAAGTTGATGTCTTTAATATTCCTCATAAGGCAAAGTTAAGTTTTCAATTCAATGCCAGCTTTGTGATCAATATTAGAATTTAGGTAGGGACCAAATGTGACATAATGTCTAGATATTACTGTTGATAGAATAACATGTGGTCAAGACTTTTAAAAAAACGTTTTATTTGAAATTCATTGTTAGGTTTATTATTTGTAAGTAAGAGTGCTTAGGGTTGAAAACTGAACTGGTTGGACAGCAGTGTTTAATATAAACAGTCTTCAATGTTGGTATCATAATATCTTGTAAAATCACATATCTCATAATGTTGTAACAATTTTTTTAAAAGAACACAGATTTGTTCTGATTGTCAAAAAAAGAATGTAATGAATGAAACTATTAAAGAATAAAATGTAGCCGAATTAAAACAGGTATTCACAACTCTAATAATTATAGCTCCCTTGTGTTTCCTCTTTTCACTCTTTTACTTTCTCCCACACCTGTGTGTTTGCAGCAGCAGAGCTGGATGGGAACTTGTGTCAGGAGGAGGTGACAACCGAGAGCTCTGGGGAGTTTCTGACGCCGTGCCGACATGGACGGGGCTCTTGTCTCCGAACTCTGGTGGACTTCCTGTCGGAGGCTCACAACAGCCTGGTGAGAGCCAGCCGCACAGAGGACAGGTCAGTACCCCGGCTTCCAAATGTAGCGCAGTAGAAGTACAAAGTAGCATGAAAAGAAAATACTCAGCTATAATAAATACATTTTCTCACCTGTACCTGTCACAACACGTCAACTCGACTGAGCCTTGTGGTCTTAAGCTAACAGTTATTCAGCTGATCAAGGACATCCTCCTGTTTTATTTCCCCACAGTGAACACAGTGTTCCTTTAGAGAGCATATCAGAAACCCAGCTGACCCTGTGCAGCCCGGAGAGAGAGCTGCTACCTCTGGTTTTATCCCACTGCCATTACACCTTGAAGAAAGGTGGGGAGACCGACAGCAACTACGACCTGCCGGGCATCCAAACCCAGCTGGCCCGCCGCTTCCTGGCTGGAAAACCACTTATCCAAGCGGTAAAATCAAGCTGCTTTACTCTGAAATGCTTTTAAACTCTAAAATGTGTTATTTGTATGTGTTTGATTTACCCTACCTATTTCAAACCAATGTTAAGAAAAATGATGTTTTAGGAACATTTAGTAGTAGGGGTTAGTTTTTTATGTTATTTTATTAGTGTTAGGAGTTTTTTAGCTTGTAATCTTTCTGGATGATACAGAATCTCTCCAATGTAAGCTGTGCTAGTAATATTTATTGTAAAAACGTTCAGAAAACGATTCAGATAGCTTATTAGGGTGTCCCATTTCACATACTGTATCTCCATATCTCCTATTGATTGTATATACATGGAAGAATACCAGACATTCTGCTTACCAGCGCTCTTGTCCTCTTTGATCAAAATCAGGACACCTCGAGGTACTTAAACAGACAGCTGCAGGACTTCTCTGTGATTCTATCCGAGGTCAGAGGCAAGATTCACCAGGTAAGACCATTTCACACTCGTTTGAAAAAGGAACATTTCACGGTACCAACGTCTTCATCTGGAACTGACTAATGCCAGCCGAAGAATGTTCACAGTAGTTTTCCTGCAGGATTTTGTGAGGCCACTTTGTAGGAGGTCAAATTCCTTCCCTCTCACTTTCCCCCGTCTGTACCACAGGAACCGCTGAAGGGTTCGGTGAGCAGCGCCATGAAGACGGTGCTGCGCTCGTACACAGATGTGTGTGATGCTGTGAACGTGGTGGATATTGGCCTTCGCTTTCTTGGCAAGGCAGGCGGGGATCCACAGGGTCAACTCCTGACCTACCTCACTGATTCACTGCAGATGGAGAAGCAGATTTCCAGCACTGTAGCCAAGGTAGAAACCTCCAGACACACAGATATTTACAACACAGTTAATGTTGTGTCTTCTGAGGCCGAATAAATATACAAGCTGACCGTATCTATTCTGGATAACTTTAAAGGGGCCCTATTATGCACATTTTCAGGTTAATATTTATAATTGATACCTATATACTGTGACATGTTTCCATGCTTTAATGTTCAACAAGCTCTTTATTTTTCTCGTACTGCCTGTGCTGCAGCTCCTCTTTTCACCCTCTGTCTGCAACCAGAGCCCAGTCTGCTCTGATTGGTTAGCTGGCCGGCTCTGTTGTGATTGATCAACCACTTAGAAATGTCCCGGCCCTAAAATATCACAGACAATGTGTTAGAGCGCTAGCCAATAGAAGCACAAGTGTTACATAACGATGTCACTACATTATGAAAATGTTGGTTTTTCTCGAGTCAAAACCAATATCATAAATTTTCCAAATCCTTTCAACAGAATGAGATGTGATCATGTTGACATTTTGTATGCAATGTACCTAAACAACAACTGTTAATTGTTATAAACCTTTCTTCTTTTGAAACGTATGTGTGGTATTAGGTAAATAAAAATATCCATCATGCTATACTTTAACTTAAAAGTACATGTGAATACATTGGATTATTGTTGTGTTGTACTACAATGCAGATTCTGAAATTCAATCTCCACTTAATATGCATTATCATGCAAAGATAATGTTACTAGTTACTAGTGTTGGGTTACACAAGTGAAGCAAGTTTAACCAGTTTGCCATACACAAATGTATTGGTTCAAATAGCTGTGGCAGAAACCAAATACAATAAGAGCCATAAATACAGTAGTTATAACTTGGCATGGTGTTTTGACATTTTTCATAATTGTCATAATGTTATTTATTGTTTTATAGGCTCTTGGAGAGAGCAAACTTGAACACAGCATATCCACCTGGCAGATCCTGACTTCTTGGAAGTCTGAGCTAATGCTAAGCAGAAAGCAAGTAAGTATAACAAAAATCATAAAAATACATGACTTATTAGGATTTGGCAGAATAAATAGAATTATAACATACAATAGTTGATTTTACAGTCACAACAGTCAACATTTGCAATCGCTTTTAAGACTTTAAGACTTAAAAATGCAAAATCCATGAAAGAAACTCATGGATTGACCACGGTATTTCTCTTTGAGGCTTTATTCTCACTCGTGACCCCGCTGGCTGCCGGCGACTGACCCCAAACACCATGCAGAGTTAAATGTCCTGGGCTGTAATCCATTGAAAGTGTGCTGTCTGACACGGCAGGCGCCCACAGTTTGACCCCAATAAAAACTGAATTTGATGAATTCTGATTCCACTGAAGTATTTTAATTTTTTTATTACACCCAATTGCTGATCATGTTTCAGGACCCGTTTCAGAAGCTACCCACAAAGTTCCAGAAGACGCTCTCTGAGGACGAGAGGAAGGGGCTGAAGGTTTTCCTTGCTGCCACAGATGTTGAAACATTCTGTTTGGAGCTGCATGAAATTCTGCTTCTGAAGATCAACCACGACGTGCCTGGCGAGGGTTACCAAGCCCATTGGGGGTAAGCAAAAAACCATTTGCATTCACAGTGAAAACACAACCATTTTACCATTTGTGAGGTTAGAAGGTGACACACCAAATGGTAAAACAATCCCAAAACATTAGCATTTTTGGCTTTTCTTCCCTATTTTAACCAAAAGGTATATTTAGGAATGTTCTTTAAGCTCCTGAATATCAGAAGTGTGCATATTGTCAGTTCAAAGATTACCACCTTAAAGGAATCCATTGATTTCAGACAGTTTGAATCAGAGTAGAGTGTGGTGGTCTCACCCAGGGGCTGTCCCCTGGTATTTAAGCCTTTTGACTTCCAGGATGAGAGTGTGACCCCGGCCTCCAGGCAGCCATCTGTCAGGGGAAAGCAGCTTAAGTTGTATCCCCTCGGCCGCAGGTCATTTCTATTGAAGCAGCATCTGGGCAGGGAAGTGAATAGGCCTGCTCATGGTGAAAACAATGGATGCAGTGCTAACAGTTGTTTTGTTTGTGTCCTCCCACCCTCCCTGCTGTCTTCAGCGTCAGGTCCACCTTAGAGAACCATTTGGAGAAGAAAGGCCTTTCAGATCTGCTGGAGCTCGAGTCGTTATCAGAGGACACCACTCTGGGACAAGGGGCTGACGTGTGGAGGGCTGCTGTGGAGTTCAAATTAAGAAGATAAATTATGATTACAGTCTTATTTCTGATCTTTTTCTTATATTGCCATTTATTTGTGTTGTTATTGTTATATCATTAATGCAATATCTGCATTAGGATTGAATGTCTATGATAATGATAGGGCATGTTCTGATGAGTCTAAATATATCTGTATATTTTGAGATGTCTGAAAGTGACAGGATAGTGCAGTATATGTATTTAAAGCAGGCCTATTTTCATATGAATTATGTTATGTGTTAATAACAAATCAGGGAACAATACTTAAGTTGATTATAAATTAATCAGAATTTAGTTTTCGGTGAAACCATTTTCCAACGCTGAATAATTACTTTTCTTTTTTGTTAAATTGTTGTTTTATTTTTCCTATTTTTCTTATAATAAAGACATCTTACATTTTCGAAGCTGTTAAAATTGAGTCCATTTTATAAGACAGGCTCTTGATTTATCCCTCTAAAGACAACTTACAAGTACATAACTTTAAGTAAAGTATAAATAGATAAAACAAATGGGGAAACATTTGAAACACTTAAGTTTAACGGTGAAAAGATCAGGTAAATAATTAGATATCATATCACATTACATGCTTTATTGTTTGACTTTAAGAGGTTGAAGAATGTTGAGATGAAATAGTGTATTATTGAACTCATTGCATAAACAAAATAAAACTTGTACATTTTACACTTGGTGGTATTTTTTTTGTCAGTTATAATAATATGAATAACTGTTTACACATGAACAGAAACACACTCCTTCTAAGCAAGACAAAACTCTCATAAATATTTTCAGTAACAATTACCACATAGGTTTTTTCTCTACTCATTTGGGCAATGCCTGAATAAATGGACAACCGTTTCTGGACATCCATAAAATCAGTTTGCCATCACACCTCCCTTTGCAAAGTCAACCAAACCGTTGTTCGATCCACGCCCCTAGGAATCCAACTCAGTAGACCGACAGCTCCGTCCAGCCAATCAGATGACAGAACCAAGAGACAATGATCTCCCTTAACCAATCATAGACATCCAGAGGCGGCAATTACGTGTGTTGTTACCACAGAGATGATGTTACGCGTTATTTGGTTCCCAGTGTTTGTCCAGTGAGTCAACGGAGTACTTTCACTGGGTATCAGGAGGATTGTGTTGGGAATTAAAACCGTAACGCGTACTACAGCTTAACAGCAATGTTGCCAACCAGCTTTTGAAGTGAGTACTTACATTGCTTCTTCAGCAACCAACACATTTTAGGTTAATTGTGGGATAAACGTTGTATCTAGAGAAACGCTTGAAAGAAACAAGCCAGAAACACAACCGTTATTATTTCCAACCAATAACCGTTAACGTTAGCTTAGTTTGGCAGCTGTAATAAGGCAGTGATTTAACAAAGATAGTATCTTAAATTACGTCAAGTTACATTGCAAAACATCCAGTTGGGAATTATCTGTAGCAGTCAAGGTAACGTTACTACTAGCGTCACTCTTACATGAACCGTTAACGTTAGTTACGCTATAATAACTGTTAGCTTACCGTAAGAGTAGCATACAAACAGCTAGCTTGCAATTATGTTAACTCACACCAGCTGCTGTGTTTTCTTCTATAGCTCGTGCCGTTTCACACGTCACGATGTGTATCATACCTGGCATGCTTTTACAACCTTGTGTTTGTGATGGGAAGATGATTACGTTAGCTAACAGAGCTAACATACACCTGCTCTAGTAAAGCAGCAGTGGAGTTAAGTTACCAAGTACATTTACTCAATAACTGTACTTAAGTAAAACATGTAGGTACCTACTCAAGTATTTTCTCATTTTGCTTTTACTCCATTAGATTTTGAAGGCGAATGTTGTACTTTTCACTCCATTACATTTATTTTTCAGATTTAGTTACTAGTTATTTTGCAGATCTAGATTATTAATACAAATTGTAAATGAACTAAGACATTATTATATTTCTTACAGGTTAAGCTAGCCAGTAGTGTATATACAACTCCAGTTTGTCCAAGTGCATCATTGAAGTTATGAACACAATACACAAATAATTATAATACAATACTTTTAAATATATTGTGCGCTTCTGCATGACGAGTACTTTTGGTACTTTAAGTGTATTTGTTATGCTAATACTTTTGTACTGTAAGTAAGTACAATTTTGAATGCAGGACTTTAACTTGTAGCCAAGTATTTGTACACTTTAGTATTGCTACTTTTACTTCTTCTATCACTGTTCAGCAGCAATTGTAAAAAGTTGTCAAGAGCAAAAATCATGTTTTTTAAGAGCTGCTTTTCAAGGCTTAAACTTAGTAACGCCAAGGTTATATTAGCCTCATAGCCTCATCATCATTACATTGTATTTATTTTACAAGTTACCTAGCTTGAGTCATAGTCAACATAATAAACATTAAGCTGTTAAAGCACAAAACAATTCATGTAACTGTAAGTACTGTTAGTTATACTTTGATTTCAGCTTGTTCTCCACGTTTTCAACCTATCCCAGCTGTAGTATAAATAGAGTTGATTTGTTGTTGGTTACCCTGGGAGACAAACCGTGAAGAGGGAAGTGGCTGTGACTCCCTCTGTTGGGGCCTATTGTGTCTCATAAGCACGCCGTGTTGACTCTATTTCAGGTTTTCAAAGAATGCATCCAACACGAAGCCCTTCATCCATCCCGACAGGTGTCTCAGGAGATGCCTTGGATCTCAGCTTGTCAGGCTCCCAGCTATCCATGTCCAAGAGACCCCAGCAGTGCATCACCTGGGAAATACTTCTCTCGGTCTGTGTCGGTTTCTGTGGCAAGTGACAGCAGAGGGAAACGCAACACCCTGGTGAGAAACTGTGCTGGCTACAGAATGGGTTGTTTATGAGTTGTAACATCATCTAACCAAGATGCGGGGGCAAATCAGGACAGTCTTATTAGTTGCTTGTCTCAGAAAACATCTTCTAATTCATTCACACACTTCTTTAAATCCACAGAGCGATGTCGGCTTTGGTAGCTCCCGCTCCATCAAGAACCTTCGGCGGTCCAACAGCACCACCCAGGTTAATCAGCAGGCCAACATCAGTTTAAGGTACACAAACAAACATGGTGGGGTATAACCCTGGGACATTTGTAACACATTTATACGTGAAACAGAAGTATTGCAGTGAGAATCACTATCCCCTCTTTTCTCTCTGGGCCAAACCTATTTTCTTCAGTCTTATCACTGGCATTGACACTAAACTGCTTAAAGAACAGTATGTGCTGCTGATACATGTACTAGTAGTGCAGAGCCTCAGGCAACATGTGCTCTTAGACAGATCATCAAATGACCTTTACAGCATCTTACATGCGTCTGAACAATGAAGGACATGTTTTTAGATATGTCATAAAAGAATGTGTGCATTTCAGGTAGTGTGTGCAAGACTGTATTTACGTCGTGCACATGTTGCAACAACATTGGTTGTAGGATGTACTTTCTTCTTTGTTGTTGAACTTTTCAGCCTCCTATGGACCTGTGTTGGAAAAATGCACTTCCCCAAAATAAATAAACCCAGGATTAATGTATGTTACAAATCTAATGCAACCGTGATATCCATTATCAAGTTGCAAAAAAGTGAACCAAGTAGCTATCCCTGTGTCTCAGCTCTCCTGCATGGAGTGTCTGCTCTTTAAAGCAGAGTGGCTCTCTTCCCTGAGCAACAGCTGGCAGGCCTAAAGCCTCAGCAGTTTGGACAATAGGAGTTGTAGCACGCCAGCTCCTGCATGATAAAGAGTGGAGGGATGCTGGGCGGCTGTTGCTAGGGTCGCGGGGTGCAGCGACTTGCTTTGTCCCAGGTTAGAGGGGGAGGGCCCGGACCCTGGGGTCAGGTTACCCCCACCACCAGGAGCCAGTGAAAGGAGAAGTGTGTGTGTGTGTGTGTGTGTGTGTGTACACGCTCTGGTTCTATTGTCCGGCAGCTGCCGCCATCGCCCCTCCGAGGATGCACACCAGAGGGGCTTTACATTTAAAGACATTCTAAATACCCCCCTCCAAATCTCTGAGTCTTTCTGGGCTGCCATTGGGTCACTCACCACCCCTCTCACCGTCCTCCCTCTCCTTCCCGCACCACTTGTAAAGCAAAAAGTAGAGGAATGTGCTTCCTGAATTGTGTTGTCAGATGGCTTTTCAGTGGGCCAGCTGGCTCCCCCCCCTGAAGACACACTCGCTCACTCACATGCACATTTCTATACTAACCCAGACAGAAACACCCTGCACAGCACAGATACCAGAGGCCTGACAAGAGGTCACCCTACATCTGCGCCTCATGATGGAGGTTTGGTGTGTGAGGCTATTTGGAGGATGAATGACAGGCCATTGGGATTAACATATGCATGCACGTATTTACATGGAATCCATAACGGAGTTCCCCTAGCAGACGGTCAGCTGCTACACACTGAATTCTAGAACTTGTGGGGGATAGGAGAAGGGGACGAGTCCTGTTTCTGCAGCTGTCATTACAACATTTAATCACAAAGGCTGCCGCTAAAAGCCATGACTCGGGGCTCCGTCTCTGTGTCGTGTTGTTTAATTGTGTTAAGTGCACTGCTAAGCCCTTGTTGCGTGAAGATGAAGCCCAGAATGTGATTTTACCCCACTAAATACGACACGTTAGAATTAGTTTTGTCTCACATTTAGCACCACAGCCTTTTAAAGAGTCAGTTCACCCAAATTGCAGAAACATACTTCCTCAACCCTCTACTGAAACTAATCCTCGCAAATAGATAACACTCAGATCATTTTTGGTCTTTTTTGTTGCCACAGTAATAATGTTATACATTATTGTTCTACATAAACAATGTGACTAGCTTGTCTTGATTTCCCAGTCAGGAGCAGAGTGAGGACTACCTGGCTCTGTTTGACAGCAGCTCAGATGGACGCAAGAAACTGGCTAGCCTCAGCAAAGCCTCTCCAGACAGAACCACATGGAACATCCTGGTAATTGTCATCAACCACTCTGTTTGTTAACTCGTCATTACCCTTGATTTAATATACGTCTTGACAATCATATTATCTATACTAAGTAGCTCAAAAGGTATATCCAGCATACCCTGAATTAGGGGTCTTGCAATATACCGGCATTTGCGATAACTTTGATACATGAAAAAATAAGAATTTGTGTGTTAAAATACAAATACAGTATGTATATGTTGTCTAAATAACCCAGCAACTTTTGACTTCACTTCCATTTCTTTCCGTACTTTTTCCTCAATCTCCCTACATTTTCAGTGGAATTAATTTGCCAATAAAAGACACAATAAAAGACACAATAAAAGACACAATAAAAGACACAATAAAAGACACAATAAAAGACACAATAAACTAAATAAAAGGGGAATTTGACAGAAAGCATTATTATTATTATTATTATTATCTTTTTTCTATAGAAATTGCAATAAAATGGTTTTTATAGATCCTTGTGTTCATAAACATGCCCTGCACATCTCGTAAAATCTATCAGAATATATTAATCAGAAATATCCTACAATTTGACACAAAATTATTTCAAATAGAAAAACGAATCCGTCCCATATCATTAATTCTCTAAAACGTCCAAATCAACTCAAAAAGCCTGGTTAAAACGGCTTACTTGGATTCTTAAGGACTAGGAAAGGGATTCAGCATCCTTAATAACTCTGGGAACTACTCCAATACTGTCCAAACCATTGTTGGAAAATGATCCATGATGATAGATGATTTTGCCATTTAATGCAACTTGTGCTAATTGTGAAAATTCCCCAACATTTGCAAGTTAGCATCTGGCAGTTGCTAAACACTGGGTAGTTGTGTTGGACATCAAACTTGGGTGTAATCCACATGTCCAGGGTTAACAGTGCTAGCAAGTTGGCTATTATGTGACAGCCCTTTTCAGAATTGAAAAGTGTTCCTATAGTTCTTACCAGATATCAGTTTTAACGGTGTCAAATGTTTCCACAGTTTATGGGGTAATAAGTGTGTATTCCTTGCTTTAAGGATGATCAGCCCAGAACATTCCCCCTTCACTCGAGCTCCCGCAGCACCGACGGTGTGGTCTCTCCCTCCGGCCCGAAGAAAAGAGAGCCTGGCATCACTCTGGCTGCCACCTTCACTGCCAACAACAGGTGGGCAGCGTCTCTGACACACACTCACTAAAACGTCTAACAAAAAAGAGTTAAGTCCACTGGTCCGGTGACTACCTGCCTGCTGCATTCTGGTTTCCTAGCTGCTTCTCATGTTTCATACCTGTTGATCATGGCAGCTGATACTGCCTTCAGGAATTCCTCCCACACACTGAGGACTTCTTCTTTCATGGAAATGGTGTGCATAGGCTCAGTTTGTAATAGGGTTGAAGAATTTGTGTCAAAGTATGTACAGTATCAGTAACTGTAATTCCTAAGGGGGTGAAAAGGGGCTGTGGCATTTTCAAGTCCTTTTTCTCACATACAGTATCATGGAGGGTGTCATTGTGCCTTTTTGTTTTTCCCAGGAGCAACAAAGGAGCTGTGGGGAACTCTGTCACCACCATCTTACACAACAACTACTCTGAGATACCACTCACGCCTAAGAGCTCCAACCAGAGGCCGTCCTTTAAGTATGGACTCAAATTAACATTGCTTGCGTGACGTGTGTTCCTTATCCAATATGTTGGGCAGATTTAATGATTCATATCAGTCAGTGTCAGTTATGTCGTGTTTCTTATTCAATGCTATGATAAGTGTTTATGTGAACAGTACTGATATTTTATTATGTCGGAGGTATACGTTATTATGATCACTATATTCTTGTTGTACTATGTCTAATTCATTTGATTTTGATTGAATGTTGTAAAATGACAGGAAAGTAGACAAAACTATAATTAATATCTGAAAGATATCAACTATCACAATCTTGGTCAAATGTTTTGTCTGTTTTTTTCAGAATTTCAATTAGGTTTTCTCCTAACCCTAAATCTCTAAAAGTTCAATTCAAAAGTGGAAATAGTTTCACATTCCACCAAAATGTTTTTTATTTTTTTAAACTACTATTTGATAATATCCTTAATTTCATTGGTCTCTAAGTAGTTAAATGCTGAATTGTCTTTTCGGTGTTTTTACAGCCCACACTTTGTCTGTCTTCTCATCTCCTGCTTGTCAGTCATCTGTACAGCACTGCAATAACCTGTAACAAGGTGTCATTCCAATTAAGATTGATTGACAGTTTTGTCGTCTTTCAGCAACATCCTGAAGGCCACAGCAAACGACGAGGTTTCACAAGATAACAGCTCCCTGACAAAGTCTCAGAAGAATTTCTCCTCAACTTCCTCCACCTCAAACAACAACTCTCCAGTGTCGGCCCAGGGAGGCAGCCCCATCACGCCCCGAAGGAGGGAGGCCACTGAGGAGGAGGCCGAGAGGTCAGACCCACAGCACGGTTGTGTGTTTATTGTTCTGATGATGCCGTCTGATAATTGTTCCGTGACTCATAGCTGCTCCTTTGTGTATTTGAAGGTTTATTCAGCAGGTGAACCAGGCAGCAGGCACTATCCAGCGCTGGTACAGAAGCCATGCCAAGAGGCGACACACTAACCAGGCAGCGCTCAAACGCACCCTTGCCAGTAGAAGAAAGGTATCCATCTGAGCCCCAGGCTGCCTCTATCCTCACCTTTTATTCTCCATGGCCTTAACTGGGTTCATCTCTCTCTTTCCATTGCTACTGTAATAAGAGATACACTGTCTATGTTCTGCCCTTTTAGGAGTGGGAGGAGAGAACAGAGGCGGAGAGTCACCTGGAGCAGCAGCAGAAAAAGGACGAAGACAGGAAACGGATCCGAGAGGAGAAAGCTCGTCTGGCCCGCCTGGCTGCCATCCAGGTGCCCACATCTGATTCACTTCTAGCTGTATTAGCGTTTCCATAAAGTGTGGAGACGTGCAAGAGATATCTTTTTAAAAGTATGGTCAAAACTGATGTAGACAAGACTGACTTCCTGGCTTAATGTGTGCCAAAGTATTTGTCTAAACACCCAGCAATAAGGCGCTTCTGTTTACAGATCTTGCCTGGGAAACATACTTGAAATCATGTTCTCATTATGCTACAAAGGTTCTTAAAAAAAGAAATCGTGTCTTTATTGGACATTCTCTAGTGACAATCTATAAAATAGTCTGTAGATATTTGATTTGATTTCAGGCACTTATGACCCTACCTCCAAGCACTTTGTTTCTCCCATAATTTTAACGGCTTACAACATTGTCTTGTGTCTCCCTCTGGTGGTGTGTAACAGGATCTGCAGCAGAAAAGAGCCCAGCGGAGTGCAGAGGTGCAGTGTGCAGCTGAGGTGGAGCAGGAGAGCCGGAGGCAGACGGGTGTGGGCGGACGAAAGAAGCCACCCAGGATTTCTCTGAGCAACAAAAGCTCAGCCTCAACGAGCAACAACAGCCCGATGTCTCCCATAGATGTGAAAGCCAAGAACACAGGTCTGTGTTCCTTTAACTTCATATACATCATTCATTTACATTCATCCTTCTCATATGATGAGAGAACTCATTTGAACTTATTAGGAAAGAAAATAAGAAAGTCATTATCTTTGAATGATTTGTGGATAACTAAAATCATCATCATCGGCCCCCCATCCCGTATCAAAGACATCCAGAATTTCAACTTCACCGTTGACAGCCACACTCTATCTCCCCCCCCTCACATCCGCAACCTCAGAGTCATCTTCGACAGTCAGCTCAAATTCAACCACCACATCAATCACATCACCAGGGGCCTCATTTATAAAGGGATATACGCTCAAACAATGGCGTACGCCAGTTTCTACGCAATGTTTGCGATTTATAAAATACTAACTTGACGGGAAAATGTGCGGTCCTCCACGCAAACTCTAACCCATGCGTACGCACTAAGTACAACAACGGGAGAGACGAGAAACTGCGACACCGCGTTGGCAGAAGGAAGAATGGAGAGAAATATGTGGAAATAATACCATAAATAAAATGTTACCTCTCATTTATCATATATGAAGAATTCATTTTCAAACATTGATTAAAGCCAATCTTAAAATGATTAAACAAACGCCTGTTTGAGACTCCTCAGTGCACACAAACACATAACTTGGAGAAATAAATAAATACGGATATGTTATTTAAAACCACCTCGAATATGTTGTGTTAATGTTATGAAATGTATTCTCATAAATGATTGCTGCGCACAGCAGATCGACAGCTGGGACACAAACCACCAAATACAAAAACATAATTCAGATCCAGTCGTCATGACTCCACTCCGGAGGGATTCCCATATCATTTCTTACAGTTTCTCATCAAGGGGGGGGTCTCCTGTCCCCGCTACAAACACACTGCATGAGGAAGGCTAGGCCTATGTGTATTTTTTTTGTCATGAACCTTTTTCGGACCACTTATTTATTTATTTTGGTGACGATCCGACCTCCATGCTGCTACTCTGGTTCAAACGGCATCCACCAAACAATATGATTTATCTCCACCTCCCCAAAATAACCAAAATCTGACACGGTGTGAGATGTCTTTTTTAGCTGTTCTGTCGTCATTTCCTGCGATCTTCTTCATGCAGTCAGTCAGAATGAATGAATGGGCGTTTCTTTGACTATTTATAAGCAAATATGGGCGTTACGTGAAGCCCGCAAAAGCGGCACCGCATTTCGAGTCGATTGTGATTTATAAAGGGAAACCGGCGTAGGAAGTGCTGTACGCACTTTCCTCGCCGATGCGCAATGTTTGGTGAATCGGAAAATGTCGGAACATTTCTGCACTTATTTTTTGGAGTTCTACTACGTAAGCAACCTTCCCACGTGAATCCTACGCACGGCCAGTGGCGGCGGGTCATTAGGGGCAGGTGGGGCACAGCCCCACCTAGTGTCAGAAGAAAGTATTACAAATAATGATTACAAAAAAATACTAAAAAATAAATAAAAAAACATATAAAATTTATTTTAAGGTCATGTTTAATAATCTGATTCGTCTGTACATTTCTGTTTTAGTCTGTGTTCTTCTAATTAGTGTCTAGAGTGCCGTTTTGAGCTGTTTAGAGCCATGTGGGACAAAACCCGATCCTGCCCCTCCCTCTCACAGTCTAAGTGAACGGTGATTGTAAAAACTACACTGCGCATGCTCAGAATATTTTTCTATTTAATGTGTGTGGCAAAAAAATAATGACCGTAGGGGCATAGTGCTCCCATCCCCACCATACGTCATCTCACATAATTCAGAATTGATTGGCTGTAAGTACTCACGTGTGCAGTGCTGCGAAACGTCACGTGTAGTTTGAAGAGGAGACACAAGAGGAGAGAGCAGCATATAGCTAACATCACCAGCGATTAAAAGAAGTAAAAAACTGAAAGAAAATGAATGAAGTTGACCATTTACTGGAGCACACATTTGAGACACTTAGTCTCGGAGAGAAACTGGAGGTAAAGCGCCTCGGTGCCCACCATCCACCGGATTTCCAAATGGTCCAGACTGCGGGCAAAGTTAAACGTGGGTTTAACGCTGAGTGGTTTGCTAAAAAGAAATGGCTAACGTCGAGCATCCAGAAGAATTCCCTCTTTTGCTTTCCTTGCCTGCTTTTTGGTGAAGATCAAGGTACTTGGTCGAGGACAGGTTACAAGGACTTAAAGCATCTTTCGGAGAGGACAATGAAGCATGAGAGCAGCAACAGTCATTTGGAAAATGCCGTAAAATTGGGATTACTTGGAAGGGTGAATGTTGCAGCTCAGATTGACAGCGCCTACAGACGCGGCATTGATTCTCATAATAGGAAGGTGGAAGAAAACAGGTACGTGCTTGGTCGGATCATCACCTGTATTAAACTGTGTGGGAAATGTGAGACAGCACTGCGGGGCCACAACGAGTCGGCGGACTCTCTGAATCCAGGGATATTCAGGTCAATTTTCGAGACAATGTGTGAGGGCGATTCCAGGCTTCAACGGCACTACGAAGCTCAGCTTGTTTTCAAAGGGACATCAAGCACCATACAGAATGAACTCTTGGACTGCATGTATGATGTGTACAGGGAGGAAATAGCCAAGCAAGTGGACAACACATCATTTGTTGCCGTTCAGGCCGACGAGACAACCGATGTCTCCTGTAAATCGCAAATGGTGATTGTGCTGCGATACATTATGCCTGACCTCACAGTTACAGAGCGTTTTTTGGAGTTTGTGGAAGTAAAGGACAAAACTGGTGTAGGTCTCTCTAACAGCATCAAGGCTGTTCTGGAACCCCTGAAGTTGAAAGAAAAGCTAATCGCTCAGACCTATGACGGGGCGGCCGTCATGAGCGGTAACGTGCGCGGGGTACAGACGGTGATGAAGGAGACGTACCCAAACGCTCAGTTTGTTCACTGCTACGCCCACCAACTGAACCTGACCCTGCAGCAACTGTGTTCAGCAAGGATGAGCATCCTGAAGGTGTTTTTTGCAGATCTAACTGCTTTTTCCACTTTTTTCTCCGGTGCTCCAAAACGTGTTGCAGCTCTTGCAGAGGCAACACAGAGATGCATCCCACGGCCACCGGCTGTGAGATGGAACTTTAAAATCAGAACTGTGAACGCGGTTTGGGAGACCCGAGATGCACTACTTCAGTGTATGAAGCATATACGCGCACAACCAGGATGGGATGCGGTCACCATAAGTGAGGCATACGGCCTGTCAAAGAAACTGCTGGACCGAGCATTTATGCAGCTCCTGGAGTTTTTTTTCGTTGCTTATGCCAGAAGTGGATGTTCTATACAACACTCTGCAAAAACGAAGCATCGATGCACCTGGGATCAACAGCGCGCTCTGCCGTTTCAAGGAAAATGTTCAGAAAATGAGGCAGAAAACTGATGCATTGGCCGCCACTGCTCATGATGGAACAGACGAGCCAGGCCGACGAGTCAGCAGCACAGCGCCGGTGATGAAGGAGGCTTGTGACACAGTCATCTCACAGGTGGAACAGAGGTTCTCACAGAGTGACCATTTGATCGCTGCAAAGCTTGTTGACAGCTCATTCTTCCCACAGCATGTCCTGTCATTTCCTACACCTGAGCTTGACTGCGCCGTGAAACTGTGGCCTGCGTTGGGAAACAAGGAGAAGTTGAAGTCTGAGCTGACCACGCTCTACCGCCACAGTGAGCTTCACACTGGAAACACTGCCCTGTCTCTGTTGAAATCCATTCACGAGAACAACTTGGAGGAAACGTTTGCTGAGACTGTTATTTTGGTCAAAATAATAGTGACAACTCCGATGACGACATCCGAGTCAGAGAGGAACTTTCCACCCTCAAAAGGATAAAGACTTTCACTCGCAACACCATGGGACAGCCGCGACTTAACGCATTGGCCATGCTTTCAATTGAAAGCCAGTTGATCCAGCAACTACAGGACTTCATCCCCAAAGTGATAGACACATTCTGTCAGAGGAAGGACCGCCGTGCCGCTTTTCTTTTCAAGTGAGCCTTCAGCTTTGGTAAGTTCATTTATGTCATATATTTTGTTGATCTTTTGTGTTTTGCCTCTGCTGGATCGATTGATATTGTGACCTCGATGATGAGTGTCTGTGTTTTCCTTATATTTAAAGTCTATGGTGTTTTAATGCTAAAGCATTACGGTTGTTGTTATTGTTAAGAATTACTTTGTGATGGTGACCTTTACTCCATGTATGAAGGTGCATTACTATGACATCCCCACGCTGTGTACGTAAATGTATGCGCTCAGTGTTGCTCCTGTGGTCTTCAGTATGTAATTTGACACTCCCCCCTCTCTCTCTCCCTCCCCCCCTCTCTCTGTCCCCCCCTCTCTCTCTCCTCCCTCTCTCTGTCCCCCCCCCCCCTCTCTCTCTCTCTCCCGACCTCTTTCTGCCCCCCCAGTTTTGTACACCTAGAAACGCCACTGCGCACGGCGTTATAAATGAGGCCCCAGGACCGCCTTTTTCCACCTCAAAAACATTGCCCGTCTCCGCCCATCACTTTCCTCCTCTGCTGCTGAGACCCTGATTCATGCATTCATCACATCACGACTCGACTACTGCAATAGCATCCTCTACGGCAGGGGTCTCAGACTCCATTTACCTGGGGGCCGCTGGACGTAGAGTCTGGGCAAGTCTGGGCCCGCTTCAAGTATTCCATTTAAAAAATACAACATTAACAGTTCTTCAACATCTTCTTAACATGAACGGTTCTTCACAACATAACTATTTACAGTTGCTCTTGCCTACTCCTTGCTGGTAGAGACCTGGCAGCGCTTCCTCTCACACAGCTGAGCCACATTTGGTTTGAGGGAGGAAGCAGTTGAAACCCTTAGTATGGCTTGAAGATGTTCATCAGTAAGTCTGGACCTGTACTTTGACTTATTGAAGTTCATGGTGGAGAGGAGCTGTTCATGGTGGAGAGGAGCTGCTCCCAAAAAGGCACATGGTCCACTTGAACATCCTGGAAAGCTCAGGGAAGGAGGGGGGCAATTCTCTCATGAACTGTCCAAGCTTGTCTGCTTTCCCATTCACTTCCCTGAACTTGGCTTTGAGCTCAGAATTGCACTGCAGGTCAATGAGCTCCATTTGAAGCACACCAGGGGCATTTTCCACATCAAAGGAGAAGGGGTCTGCAAACATTTGGAAAGTGGCTCTGTGTGTCTTGAAGTCTGCAAACCGCTGATCAAATTCCTCCTGTAGCTTCACAATGGCATCAACATACTTCTCACCACTGAATGCTGTGCCCTTGTCCATGAGAGCCTTGTATGCTGAGGGAGCTGGGCTTTCCATAACACCAGTTTTGTAGAGAATGCTTTGACATTGTCATATGCTGCACTGACAAGCTGGCCCTAGCCCTGCAACTTCTTATTCAGTGCATTCAGCTCCTGCGTGATGTGAACAAGAAAAGCTAAGTCCATGAGCCATTTGGGATCACTCAGCTCGGGAACAGCCATCCCACCCTTCTCCAGCATGAATACTTTCAGTTCTGTTCTCAACTCAAAAAACCTCTTCAGGACGTTTCCCCTGCTGAGCCAACGCACCTCTGTGAAGTAGAGCACATCCTCATATTCTGACTCAATTTCCTCCAAAAAAGCACGGAACTGGCGGTGCTTTAAGCCCCTGGATCTGATATGGTTGATGCATTTCACAACAACAGACATCACATTGTCAAACTTCAAGCATTTGCTGCAAAGGGCCTGCTGATGGATAATGCAGTGCAGAGCAATAGCCTCCTCCACACCCTCCTCCTCCAGTTTTCTTTGAACAAGTGCCACCAGCCCATTTTTCCTCCCTGTCATTGATGGCGCTCCGTCGGTCGTAATTCCAACAAACCTCTTCCATGGCAGACCAATATCCGCAATGGCATCACACAGTTGCTGGAATATCTCCTGAGCGGTGGTCTGGCCATGCATTGGTTTCACTGTAAGCAACTCCTCTGTCACTTCAAACTTGTCATCAACACCACGGACCAGGGTCGGCGTCATGGGGGGTCATTCGCGGGGCATGCCCCCCCAAATGAGTCACTGTGCCCCCCCAACGCAGGGTGGGCAAGCCTTGCCACTTTGCCGTTTAAAAAAAAAAATCATATAAGTGAAAACGTTTCCAAATAAATACATCAGAAATAAAGAATACAAATATAAAACACAGCCTGAGGTGTGCTCACTGCTGTTCTCTGATTGGTGTGTTGCTTGACCAATGACCCCCGACCTTTGTTTTGTTATCATTACGTGGCTGTGTGTTTAGATGAAAGCCCGGTGGCGATCTGTTCATCTGTTATACTGATTATACAGAGTAAAGCCATCGAAAATAATATGATATACAGTACAGTACAAGTACATGGGTCTCTGTGTTTCATTCAAGCTCGGCTCTGTGTGTGTGTGGCACGAGCGCATTTTGTCAGTGCGCAAGCGGTAACGTGGAATGTTGATGTTAGCATCTGGTTAGCTAGCTATGCTAACGGATATAAAGAGCTGTTTCTACACCAAGGTGGAGGAGAGTCCTCTCCTGTCAGACTGTGAGGATCTTATAACGTCAGCTCAGTGTGGTAAGGACTCTCTCAGTGTTTAGATAGTTCACTTTAGTGTAAGTTATCTCAGTGGGTCTCAAACGGTTTGGTCACCATTTATGTAAACAAGTATTTGCGAGGAATACCTTTATATGATCATTATAGTTATTAAAGAATAAGATAATAAATAAAAAACGGGTATGAAATACTACAGGACAGTAACACAAGAATACAGTTTACAAGATGAGTGATTAGTAAAATATCCATAAAGAAAAAGTAAATCTGTGTACAGTTCTGTTTCATATGGATGCTGAGAGATGTAGGCTATCCATAGATCTCCTAATGTTGCTCTCAAAGTGCACCAGATTGATGCATTTAACTACAATATTTTTAAAATAATCTTCCCGGGGGAGCATGCCCCCAGACCCTCCTAGAGGAGGTTAGGTCCACCCCCACCTAAAACATGTTCACATGGATAGGATACTAAATACATTTGCACCCTTTTTATATTGTGGCCTATGTCCATATATGTTTCTGTTTTGGTGGTCGTGCCACAACCATGCATGTCTGCACATGTCATAGGTGCGCTATACAATAGCACTACACCCTGCAATGTGTGTGAAAGACAACAGACTTTACAGCATGTTTTTTGAAGTTGCGTTGGTGTTTGTGGGTTGGTTGTTGACGGCAGTGTGTGCCCCCCCCTTTGTAAATGATTTTCCCCCCATTCGATTTGTTCTAGAGCCGACCCTGCCATGGACATACATTGCGAGCTGAGCGGTGTCAGTGATGTCCGTGCTCTCATCAAGAGCCACAGAGTATGCACGGAAAAGTTTGGCTTTGTCGCACAGCTGATCATATATGTCACTTGATAAGTCAGAAATGCGCTCTGCCACTGTGTTAGCTGACAGGCTGATGTTGTTAAACTGACCCTTCTTTTCCGGACAGACTATACTTGCAGCCTGCAACATGCACTTTTTTATAAACTCGCCTTCCGTAAACGGCTTTCCCGCCTTAGCAATCATCTCACTCACCACATAGCTAGCTTCGACTGCTAAATCAGCCTCATTGCTTCCTTTCTTGAAGAGATTTTGTTGCTTCCTTAGACATTTTTTTAGCTCTGTGACTCTTTTCTCTCTCTCGTCTCCCAGGTATTTTGCATACTCTGCATGTTTAGTTGAGTAGTGACGTTTGACGTTATACTCCTTGTATACAGCGATTTTCTCTGTGCATATAAGGATATATATTTCCCCTGTACTCGACAAAAAAATATTCAGTCTCCCACTTCTCCTGAAATCTTCTGTGGTCATCATCGACTTTTCTTTTCCCTGAAAGTGTTGATGTAGACATGACTGGGCGATATATTTAACTTCCACTCTGTGTCACTTTTGGATCACTCGCTGCACGCATTTGATTGACTTGGCGGAGTTCCCTCGGAGGGGGGAGGGGCGAGGGGGGAGGGGCGAGGGAACTGCGCTCAGCAGTTCCCTGCCAGCAGTGAAAAACAATTAAAATTTGAAAACGTAAACGCGAGGGCCAGATTAACATTATTACATGATATCAACAACGGGGCCACGAGAAACTGTCTCGCGGGCCGCGTCTGGCCCGCGTCTGGCCCGCGGGCCTGGAGTCTGAGACACCTGCTCTACGGCATACCATCCAACTTCCTCAATAAACTCCAACATATCCAGAACTCTGCTGTCCGCCTCCTCACCCACACCCGCTCCCGAGACCACATCACTGCCGTCCTCCAGAACCTCCACTGGCTCCCCGTCTGTCAAAGAATCAACTTCAAAGTCCTCCTGATTACTCACAAAGCCCTCAACAATCAGGCCCCCCCCCCTACCTCACAGACCTGCTGCACCACCACGCCCCTTCCCGCTGCCTCCGCTCATCAGAAGCCAACCTCCTATCCATCCCCACCCGCATCAATCACCGGACCTGGGGGGACAGAGCCTTCTCCGTCGCTGCCCCCTCCCTCTGGAACTCACTCCCCCAACCCATCAGAGACTGCACTGACCTCACCACCTTCAAAAAACTTACAAAAACTCACCTCTTCAATCTGGCTTTTAATGTGTGATTGTTTTTGTATTATTTGACTTTAACTTTAACTATGTATTTATTTGTTGTTCCTTCCTTTTCTTTTCCCTTCACTATATCTGTAAAGCGTCTTTGAGCACCTGTAAAAGCGCTAACAAATTAAATCTATTATTATTATTATAAAAGTCTGGAATTCACCCAAAACTACTGCAAAAGTTCTGCAGCAGGAGTGAAGAAGACATTAAGCTTGACATTTGTAATACCTGCAAGTCAAAAATAAGCCATAGAGGAACTCTACTAAAACATGTTAGATATAGTGGTTATATACTAAAAGTGTAGGAGCAAACACAATATCTGTGGCTTAAAGCCCATCTCTGCTCCGCGCCGTCCTTTAGATGAGCCTGGTCAGATTGATAAAAGAGGGAGTTCAGCACACCGGCATAAAAGTTCTAACAATAATCTGATTTTAATGGTAAAAAACACAATACGAAATACAGAGTGCCCTGAAACAGAACACTCCGGGCTCCCCGCTCTACTGCCGTGCGATACAGGTATCGGGACCAGCCAGTCAGAAACAGGGGGCATTTTGCATGACGACACAACAGTATATATGGACATATTTGGGGTGGAGATCCACTTCTTATCTTCCACCGGACCCAACTCCTTTAATTTCCCAGGGAAGGTTTCACACAAACTATTCTTTTAAAACAATCAAACATTGTACACAGATATATTGGTGCTTGGGATTATTCCCAGCAAGGAACCTTGAAAAAAGAACATGTGTGTGTGTTAGTGAGGGAAAGTGTATGTGTGTGTGTGTGCATGCTGATATCTGGGTTAAGGAGTTTATGTGTGTGTGCTGCATGAAGACAGGAGGAGGTGTGTGTGTGTCAGGGTCTCTGGGTCATGGAGTGTAAGTAAGAAGGTTTAGATATATAGGATTACTTTAAACAGTCCCAAATAATACATGTTCACTTCAATACAGTTCAAGATAATACCTGTTTACTTTAATACAGTTTAGAACAATATCTGGGTGCTTTAAAAGTAACATTTAAGCTTGAGCACTTTTATTTTGAAGTTTGAGAGAAAGTTAGAGAAGGTCCTGTAACTTTGTGCAACTTGGTCCAAATGATCTAATATTTAGTGTTTTATTATGGACACGTTTCTTAAATGTTTGTGCTGGCTGTCAACTATTGTTCTTGCAAATAAAGCACAATTAAATCACTGCATCTCCTATTTTGAACATAGAAAAATACGATTAGGACGTAAATGTGTAATAAATGTGTTTTTATGTGTTCCCACAGACTCTAATTTGAATGTTGTTTCTGAATTGGAGCTAAGCTTCAGAGCCATTTCCCCAGCTCTGTCCAATCACAGAGGCTCTCAATGTTCCCAGGTAAATAACAGTGTATCTTCACAGCTTTGCTCTCTACTTGCTTCCTTCTCTACACTTTCCTTTCTCCTTATATTTGACAACCCTCTCTGTGTTTCCCTCTCAGGATCAGGAGGACAGAGCAGAGGTCGACCTGGAGCAGCAGCATCAGCACAATGACAGGAGATTAATTCGTAAAGAGAGAGCTCGTCTTGCTGCCACCCAAGCAAACATTTCAGATGTATGTACTTTGTTGTGAACTTAAAGGTGGGGTAGGTAAGTTTCAGAAACCGGCTCGAGTGCACTACAATTTGAAAGTACACAGCCGAAAAGAATCCGCCCCTTCCTTCAGACTTCCTTACAGAGCACCTCCTCCAACACACATGAACGCGCACATGACGTCAGCAGACTGGTGAAAGTGGCCGCCTGTTGCTGGCGAGTCATTGAAGTACTGCTGCAATGCACGCGATACATTTGTGCGTGCACGAGATACATTTGTGCGTGCACGAGATGGAAGGCTGACAGACAGGGCGGCAATCCAATCCATTTAGCCGGGCCGGCTAAATGGATTGGTTGTACTTTTTACAGTACCACGGCTTCCACAGATGACATTTTTTTTTATGGATTTTTTGTCAAAGCACTTCAGATATTCATTGCTATCGGGATGTTAAGAGCATTCCATGGAATATAACAAAAAGTGTATCTCGAGCCGGTTTCTCAAATGTACCTACCCCACCTTTAATACATGGTTAAAGTAATGATTGGTCAAAACTCTTGATTGACAGATCTCTCCCTCTGGTGGTGTGTTGCAGGAACTGCAGCGGAGGGTTGCAGAGGCTCAGCACATAGCTGTGGTGGAGCTGGAGAGCCTGAGGCCAACGGGTGTTGTCGGACGCAAAAAAACACCAAGGATTTGTCTGGCTAACAAAAGCCCAGCCTCACCGAGCAACAACAGCCCAATGTCACCAAGAGATGTGAAAGCCAAGAACACAGGTGGGCCTTATTAAATGCCAAAATATCCACTAAAGGTTGCTAAAAGAACCCTGTAATAAGATAAGATAAGATAGTACTTTATTGATCCCAATTTGGGACATTTTTGATTTTGATTTGTAATAACTGTAAATGTTTCCTCAGACTCAAATTTGAATGTTGTAACTGAGTTTGGGGAGCTCTCCAGCTTCAGAGCTGTTTCCCCTGCTTTGTCCAACTGCAGAGGCTCCCAGTGTTCCCAGGTAAATGATTAAAAACCTCTAACTACCCTTTAATGATCTTAATTATTTACAAGTAGTCCATCAGCAAGTGCACATTTCTGAAGCAGTTGTTTATATGCTCCAGTTCTAAGTGTGTTTGGTAATTCCAGGAGATCCTACAGAGGTCAGTGAGTGTGGAGGACCAGCGTCAGGGGGCTCTGTCCAGCAGGACTCCATCTAAAACCACGCTCAACGAGCTGCTGGACACCCTGAAGCTGCTAGAGTCGGAGCCGCAGAGGCTGTCGGAGCCAAAGTGCTACACTAAAGAGAAATACGCCTGGATAGATGAGGTGAGAATTCGTCAATACAACATGTTCATAACTGAAGTATTCAGAGTGCTAACCTTCAGCCAGAGTGTAATGAAAAGGGTGTGAACTCATCACTAAAAACTAAAAGACAATTAAATACGAAAGAAATTGAGTAAATTATACAACTCAAATAGGATGAAATAATGATTACTGAAATAGCGATTGTTAGATAAATTGCCAGTGATGTCCCAAATGTAACATGCGTCTCCACTGTGTCTGATCAAAGGATGTGGACTCCAACTCTCTGACCACTGATAACCTGGAGCGGCACGGTCAGCTTAGCCTCCACCCTGCACTGCCTGATGGGGCCGCCCTGCTCTCTGAGGCCAAGCTGCAGAGCATCATGAGCTTCCTGGATGAGATGGAGAAGTCTGAACTGGAAAGACCTCGCTCTGTCACTTCAGGGTCGCACAGAGAGGTCGGCATCTGGCACTTGTCTGATAATGTTCATCCTGTTGTTGATGGATTTCCTGAATAATGAAAAATGCCAAAAGGTTTAAAAAGTCTGGACTTCCTGTTGAATGCAGCCTGTGTTTTCTCAGGCTGTGCTGTCTGAGGAGGAGCTGGTTGGAGTGGAGCAGGCGTCTGCCACTGCTGCTGAGGTCACTGGCTCCATGATGCGAATCAAGCTTGAGCTGGAGGAGAAGAAGCGCACTGTCAACATGCTGCAGACCGCTCTGGTAGGGGAAATGAACACGCATAATACAGCAGTTTAAAGGGGACATCCATTTTTTTGTATTCATACATGTTATTACTATGGTCCTCGACCAGGGGTCGGCAACCTTTTTGATATGAAGTGCCATTTAAAAAAAATATATATATTATCAGCGTGCCAACGATCGAGAATTATCAACGGGGGGGGGGTTGAGGAGCTTGACGCTCCTGAACTATCAGCAGGAGGGCGGGGGAGCCTCGCTACGGGGAAGCATGTGTGGACCTGTCAGCGCAACTTACATGATGCCGAATTTAACAAACACATTTAAATAATTGGTTTAAACGGCATAATAATAAGGGTGATTGTCCGTTCTGTGATTCTCCAGAACACACATGTTATGATATTAGGGTCATGCAGAGTGAGATGAGATTGCTGTCCCTTTAAGAGGTGTGTGTGTTCTAGCATTACTATACTTGTGGGGACCTAAATCTGTTTACACAGTCACGTTTGGGGACTCGCCTCCCTTATGGGGACAAATTGGAGGTCCCCATAAGGGGAATCATTAATTTTAGGGTGAAGACTTGGTTAGGTTTAGGGTAAGGGTTAGGGTTAGGCATGTGTTGGTTATGGTTAAGGTTAGAATAAGTCTCCAGGAAATGCATGTAAGTCAATGTAATGTCCCCTGAAGTGATGTATACATGGTGTGTGTGTGGTCCCCACTAGGGATGAGGAAGTGCCACACACATCAGTTGGAATTGGTAATAATTATAAATGGTTTTATTGTAACAGGGTGGAACAAAATGGCAGGCAGGCAGCCTGAAACAAACAAAGTGGCCACAAGGGCGCAAGTTTAAATGAACAACCAAACAAAGGGAGGACTCTAAAAAGGGAGCCTGTTTACATACAAAGAAATAGATAATAACGGAACTAAATAGAAACTAAAACCCTCACTATAAAAGTGGTACAGACTAACAAAGGGAGGCTGTAAGAAAACACAGCTAAGGTAAAGGACAACAGTCAAACAATACTACACTAATCTAAGCACATCTAATCACAACAATCCTGACAAACACAGACCACACGAGTTAACCACTGTTAACAGCTTTGCACACAAACTAGCAACTAGCGAGAGGCGTCTGTTCACTCAACAGAGCCTCTAGTGCAGGGGTGCCCAACCTTTTTTGAACCGAGAGCTACTTTTAAAGTTGCCAGTCTGCCGAGATCTACCAGTCCAAATAGAGAGGCGTAGCCATTACTGACAGCCTACTACCAGGTGAATACACACTTCTACTTGTATAAAACTGACCTTTGTACGATTAATACTTCATAAAATACTGCAGATCCTTTATCTTACCTCTTTCTAATCTACACACATACAAGTATTTAACTGAAGTTACACAACAGTGTTGTTGATACAGAGTTGGAGTTTATTCACACGTCACTACAGTGGGTAATGTTTTCAAGAAAGATTGAACAGTGCTGCCACATATGACACAGGAAAAAAAGAAAAGACTCTGAACCCTTTCTTTGCCATTATATAAAAATAGTGTTGCTACAAAAGTATAAATGAGGCTTACTAATAAGACAACTCAGATCTGAAGCTACACAGGAATCTGCTGCCAACGTGCAATAAAAAAGACAAAATTAATAGAATCAAACCATTTTTTTGTTGCATTTTAGTAGAGTATAAAAATAAATGCCTTTTTAAAATAGGATGCAAGCAACACTAGTTTCTTAACCTGAATTGATAATAGACTATAATCAATTTAAGTTTGCATTATTTTACCATTTTGTACAATAATTATAATGAATAAGTTCAAACAGCTTACAGCTGATTAATAACGGTATCTAACTTGAGTTTTTATCATATCAAAAACCTGTTGAAATGCTGCTGTTATTTTTATTACGCATCGGCAGCCTCCAGGAAAGCTTCTTTCACAACTTCGCCGTCTTTGAAATACTTCATGTGTTTCGCAAGAACGTGACTGACACGATAAGATGCTATGGTAGCAGCCTTGCTCTTGTTGTTGACCTGGTGGAAATGAACTGCTGTGCATTTAGCTGTCCTTTCAGGCCCCTCCCCTTTTGGAGCGTAGGGCAGAATTAGGAGGGAGTTCCGTCTCGTAGCGTTTGTGCACTGTTTTGAAATGCCGCTCCTAAATTACCCTTCTTCGATAAAGCCACGCTCGCATTGCAGATGAGACAGATGGACTTTGAATTTGAATAGATACAAAAATAATCATCCTCCCACTCGGAGTGAAAATTATATATGTTTTGCTTCTGCCATAATTGCGGTCTTGTGTGTGTGCGGATTGTCACTCCTACGGACAACGTTAGCGAACTAGTGCACTGCCCACTGCTCACCAGCCACGCCCTGACACATGGGGTCACGCCGGCCAATCACAAAGCTTTGATGCGTTCAAGTGCATTATTCTGGCACAGGAAGATTATGTTACAGGACATTAACGATAAAACAGAATGTTGTTGTTCTATTTTTAGACACATCTCGCGATCGACTGGGAATCTCCCCGCGATCGACCGGTCGATCGCGGGGAGATTCCCGACTGGTTGGGCACCCCTGCCCTAGAGTGATGATTGTCCCCAGGCTTTGTAGTCATCTCCAGCAGGTGTGCGCCGGCTGTGCGCTGCGATTGGAGTGCGTCGGGCCCGGCGTGCTCCAATCACAATCTTCAGGGGGCGGACCAGGAGATGGCAGCCAATGACGTCAGGGCAACCGCACAGCTCATTTGCATATAACACAGCTTAACACAATCAAGACTGTGTGTGTGTGTGTGTGTGTGTGTGTGTGTGTGTGTGTGTGTGTGTGTGTGTGTGTGTGTGTGTGTGTGTGTGTGTGTGTGTGTGTGTGTGTGTGTGTGTGTGTGTGTGTGTGTGTGTGTGTGTGTGTGTGTGTGGTGTGTGTGTGTGTGTGTGTGTGTGTGTGTGTGTGTGTGTGTGTGTGTGTGTGTGTTGTGTGTGTGTGTGTGTGTGTGTGTGTGTGGTGGTGTGTGTGTGTGTGTGTGTGTGTGTGTGTGTGTGTGTGTGTGTGTGTGTGTGTGTGTGTGTGTGTGTGTGTGTGTGTGTTTGTTGTGATGTGTAGTGTGATTCTGGCCGTTGCCACGCGGCAGCAGAAACACAGAGGTCTGTGCTGTATTTTGTGAAACGGAAGAACAGCTAAATAAATGCAACGGCCCTCCCAAGAAGAGGCTCGCCTCTCTCCAGTCATTAAGCTAAAGTGGGTTATTGAACCTGAAGCTTGTTGCTTCTGCCCTGGGAGACGACAGAGAGTCATCCCCTCCTCGACTAGGTCTGGGAGCCGACAGGAAAGTTCAACACACAGATGGCCAGTCCGCCCCTTTGTAGCATATTATTTCGATGAGAGATGAGCGGATCGCCACTGGGCTTTCAACTAAATACACAGCCACGCAAAAACTGCGGCATTTGTACAGCTCCTTATGGGTAGGCTACTGCAATTAGTGAAGTGCTTTCCTCTGTGGTGAAACGATCAGCACCACGGAGGAAAGCGGCAGAAAGTCACCTGGAGTTAAAGAGAGCAGGGCTGCGTTGCGTGCATGGCTTCCTTCTGCAGGTAACGGGGAGACGCGCTCTGGCAGCGGTCTCGTTCAGGATCCGAAAATACAATTTTTAAATATTTTGCACACTTATTCCACTTATTCCTAGTGTGCCACTGGTTACGGTGCCGCGTGCCAATGCTGGCACGCGTGCCAGGGGTTGCCGACCCCTGTCCTAGACAGTCCAAACTCAGTACCAGAGTGTAGTAGAGCACAATGTGCAGTGAATGTGTTAAAGTTACTTTTATTAAGACATTTCACTTTAATTTTTTCTATATTCTAAAGTAGGATCAAGCCTTCATTTTCCAATATATATTTGTAATACATTTAAACTAAACCGTTTGGTTGTTCATATAGTAAATAATAGTACACTCTGTTCCTTCAAACAACATATGCTCTCAATTTTAATGTGGAGCACCCAAGGTGCTGAAACTCAAATGTGTGACCCCATCAAGTATAAAGTCTGGAACTGCTTTATAGACAATGAATTGCGAAAGATGATTCAGATGAGATCACCAAATGGGAGTGCTCTGAGTATATGGCTACATGTTCTGTTGCACTATTGGGAAGACTACTTTTCCTTTGTAAAAGAAAACAGTCAGTCTGCTGTGGGTCTACATAATCCAAGTGTGGCCAGCTACATTGTTGCCAAGTTGTTGTTAAAGTGTTGCTCTTGTGTTGTGAAATGGCACTGGGAACTACACTGAACAAAAGTATAAATGCAACACTTTTTTTTTTGCTCCCATTTTTCATGAGATGAACTCAAAGATCTAAAACATTTTCTATAAACACAAAATAACCATTTCTCTCAAATATTGTTCACAAATCTGAAAAAATCTGTGATAGTGAGCACTTCTCCTTTGCCGAGATAATCCATCCCACCTCACAGGTGTGGCATATCAAGATGCTGATTAGACAGCATGATTATTGCACAGGTGTGCCTTAGGCTGGCCACAATAAAAGGCCACTCTAAAATGTTCAGTTTTATCACACAGCACAATGCCACAGATGTCGCAAGTTTTGAGGGAGCGTGCAATTGGCATGCTGACAGCAGGAATGTCCACCAGAGCTGTTGCCCGTGAACTGAATGTTCATTTCTCTACCATAAGCCGTCTCCAAAGGCGTTTCAGAGAATTTGGCAGTACATCCAACCGGCCTCACAACCGCAGACCACGTGTAACCACACCAGCCCAGGACCTCCACATCCAGCATGTTCACCTCCAAGATCGTCTGAGACCAGCCACTCGGACAGCTGCTGCAACAATCGGTTTGCATAACCAAAGAATTTCTGCACAAACTGTCAGAAACCGTCTCAGGGAAGCTCATCTGCATGCTCGTCGTCCTCATCGGGGTCTCGACCTGACTCCGGTTCGTCGTCGTAACTGACTTGAGTGGGCAAATGCTCAGATTCGATGGCGTCTGGCACGTTGGAGAGGTGTTCTCTTCACGGATGAATCCCGGTTTTCACTGTTCAGGGCAGATGGCAGACAGCGTGTGTGGCGTCGTGTGGGTGAGCGGTTTTCTGATGTCAATGTTGTGAATCGAGTGGTCCATGGTGGTGGTGGGGTTATGGTATGGGCAGGCGTATGTTATGGACGACGAACACAGGTGCATTTTATTGATGGCATTGTGAATGCACAGAGATACCGTGACGAGATCCTGAGGCCCATTGTTGTGCCATTCATCCATGACCATCACCTCATGTTGCAGCATGATAATGCACGGCCCCATGTTCCAAGGATCTGTACACAATTCCTGGAGGCTGAAAACATCCCAGTTCTTGCATGGCCAGCATACTCACCGGACATGTCACCCATTGAGCATGTTTGGGATGCTCTGGATCAGCGTATACGACAGCGTGTTCCAGTTCCTGCCAATATCCAGCAACTTTGCACAGCCATTGAAGAGGAGTGGACCAACATTCCACAGGCCACAATCAACAACCTCATCAACTCTATGCGAAGGAGATGTGTTGCACTGCGTCAGGCAAATGGTGGTCACACCAGATACTGACTGGTTTTCGGACCCCCCCAATAAAGCAAAACTGCACGTTTCAGAGTGGCCTTTTATTGTGGCCAGCCTAAGGCACACCTGTGCAATAATCATGCTGTCTAATCATCATCTTGATATGCCACACCTGTGAGGTGGGATGGATTATCTCGGCAAAGGAGAAGTGCTCACTATCACAGATTTTTTCAGATTTGTGAACAATATTTGAGAGAAATGGTTATTTTGTGTTTATAGAAAATGTTTTAGATCTTTGAGTTCATCTCATGAAAAATGGGAGCAAAAACAAAAGTGTTGCGTTTAGATTTTTGTTCAGTGTAGCTAAAACCTGTATTTATTTGTTTAGACAAAACAAACATTGTGATCTGAAAACATCTGATTAGTTGATGTTTCTGCAGCTCAGCCTTGATTTGTCGGTGCGACACCCCCACTAGTGTTTGTAGCTTAATATAACCGGCTTTCACTTCAAATGACCTGTAGCCATGTCGTTCTGTGAACATAGCATTACCTCTCTGGTTTCTGGCTTTCAGGGACAAGCTAATGTTCAAAATATTGATTTCCCTAGGCCATGGAAATTGCATTTCGGAATTTGTTAATTGAGATGGTGTTCCCCTTTTATAGAGAGACATGTTCGGTCTTATTAGCTGCTGTAGATACAAAATACTTAGACCTCAGGGGTGTTAATCTCCTTCATCTCCTCTCCTCACCTTCAGGCCCAGCAGAGGGAGCTCACAGTGAGACACGTGAAGGAGACTGAGAAGGAGCTGAACAGAAACTTCCAGCTCCAGAAGGAACAATATGAAGCCACCATCGAGAGACACCTGACATTCATTGATCAGGTAGGAGTGCACACACAATCTGATCCCACCTTCATCAAAAAAAAATGTGTATGACTTTTGGTCTAAAATATGTTTTTTTTCTTAGCTGATCAATGACAAAAAGTCTCTGAGTGAGCGCTGTGAAGGAGTGGTGGGGGAACTGAAGCAGGTGGACCAAAAGTACACCAAGAAGATTGCACAAATGCAGGAGCAACATGAGATGGTGAGAATAGGTTTCAACAATGATAATCTAATAATGAAATGAAAGGCATGTGCAGGGCAAGCTTTCACTGCACATGCCTTCTGCTTCTCTGCTTTGCATCTTGTGTGATCATGTTGCTTTCTTGCCGTGCTGCTTTTGTTTAACCGTCTTTTCTCTGTTTTTCCCTCTTGTTTTGCTGTCTTTCTCTGTCCTTGTCTATACATCTTTTTATCCTGGACTTTAGGTGTGGCAAATTCTGGGTCCCTTGTGTGAGGTAACTTGTTTTCCTCTCACAGTCATCCTTGGCACGATCATCTCTCTCACTCTGTCATTCCTTTTCCCTTTCATTTGTCTGTCCCTCACAACTTCTGTCGGACGGTCTGTCTGCGTGTGAGTCATTCTTCTTTCAGTAATGTTTAGATTTAGATAAAGCTGTCGTCTTCCTCTTATAACCACTGTGGTGTTTTTGGAATTGGTCTTGAATGTGTCATTGTTTGTCTCTGTGTAAAACCCCTTCCTTCCTTAAATAACACAAACACCCTGCTGCTAGTCTATTTGTGCCACTTCACTTTGACACAGAACCACAACCTTAAACCCCCTCCCTCCCTCCACAGGAAATCAAGAAGTTGAAAGAGCTAATGAGCGCCACGGAGAAGATCCGCCGGGAGAAATGGATTGACGAGAAAACCAAGAAGATCAAAGAGATCACTGTTAAAGGTACCGCACAGCCTCGGCTCAGGGCGGAAATCTCAGATTAAACCATCAGGGTACACCAACAGTAAGCAAACACGGGTAAACTAATGCTCTGTAATGCTACTCAATTTAGGGGATAACACCTATTTTCTTCACAATCCTCTACTGTGCATCCTTTAGCAGGAATGTGACATGACCTCAGATTCCTTTCAGTGCTCACATTGGTTCTAAGTCTCTTACCTTCCATCAGCTGGTAGCTTAGCATGCCATCAAACTCAAACACACATGCTACATTGCGTCTGTCGCATGTAACAGGTTTGTTTATTTGGTCGCTGGATTAGAAAATAAACAAAGTATTGTAAATGTATCTATTAAACTGGCTGTTGCATTTTCCAGCTTGTAAAATTGATAGTTCAGATGTTTTCAAGTAGGGGTTGTATGAGGTCATCCATAGCCAGTTTATAACCTATGATAAGGCAGTTTGAAACAAACAAACAAACAAGAGAAACGGTGAGCAACTAATCACTGCAAACATTTTTAATAATATCAGTTGGAGTGTACGATGTATTTAGAATATTTGGTTTGGTCGGTTAGGGTTAGAATGTTGTTTATTTGGGCCCATGATCAGTAAATGTATCCATTGTACTTGTTGTCAGTTGTTGCATTTTCCAACTTGTTGAATGGATAGTTTGGATGTTTTGAAGTGGGGTTTGTTTGAGGTCATCCATAGTCTGTTTATCTAGAATAAGAAAGAAAAAGACATAACACTTAGGCCATCCACAAAGAATCATATCAGTTGAAGTGTATGATTTTGGCAGAATATTTTCACTCTGTCACTTTGTTTAGTTAGTGTTCACCAAAGTCAAACACAAACAAACTAACCAAGGCTGCTTTACACCAGCAACCTTGGCAAGTCAGGTTGTTTTTGTGAGCATAGATAAAGGCTTCAATGCCTTTGCAAAAACATACTGTATAGCTATGTCATTGCAGTGAGAAGCTGAAAATACAAATGTTGAAAATAGAGCATGTATTTTAAGGGCAGCATGAATAAAGTGTTCTTCCCCTATTGCATGCCTGTGGAGTGTGGAGTTAATGTAAAGTCACAGACAGTTGTCAGCCAGTGCTGATGAAGTGTTTGAACAGTCACAAGGCTTGAGAACCCAGAGTTGTTTGTTTACAGTTGTCTCATCTTCCAGAATTATTTTTAACATGAGTCATCCCAATTTTTCCCCAAGCAAATGTTATCCAGTGAGCCGTGAACTTCATGCAGGCCCCGACCAGCCGCTGAACACTAACTATATTCTGTTCCTGCTCCTCCCTCAGGTCTGGAGCCAGAGATCCAGAAGCTGATCTCCAAGCACAAACAGGAGCTGAAGAAGCTGCGGACGCTCCACGAGGCGGAGCTGCTGCAGGCAGACGACCGCGCCGCCCAGCGCTACGTCCGGCAGTGTGAAGAGCTCCGCCAGCAGCTGGAGAGGGACAAGGAGGAGCAGTGTCAGCGAGAGAGGGAACTAGCCAAACAGAGGTAGGCATGACACATCATCAGTGCAGGCCTTTTTACTGTAACACATGTCATACACTACTATACTGGGTCTCTTTATGTCTCTGTGCTGGCGACAGTTGTAGCTGTTGCACAATGTTTTTGTGAATGCAATATCTCAGAAGGTTCTTAATATCATTTTCTAAGATTTGGGCACAAGCTGTTACTTGGAAATGAAGTGGTTTGATTTTGGTTGTCAATGGTCAAAGCGGTAGGTCACTTTGACCTCATAGAACAAATATGCTGGCCATAAATTGAGAATTGATTACAATTTCACACATCTGGTCTAATAAGATAACATTAGGACATTTTGAACAAACTGGAAACGAAATAAATCCTATTTATTTGACCAGCCAGTCTCATATACATATAAATGTGCTTTTTCTTGTTTCTGTGTGTCAGATATGAGAAGCAGCTTCAGGAGGAGGAGCTGTCCCTGCAGCAGCAGAGGAGGCGGCTCTACAAGGAGGTGTCTGATGAGAAAGAGAGGCTGGCTCAGCTGGCTGCAAGGTGAGAAATCTGAAAAAACCCTCAGCCAGAGACTTCCCCACAGTGCTCCAGTAGCTGGTCATCATGCAGGTCTCCAGAAGAGGCTGAGTCAGTGGGAAATCAAGAACACACTGCAGTTAGGTTCCAGTCTGGTTGGGTAATGCTGGCACACTGTTGACAGGAAACCTTGAAGATGGATTAGACTGGAACTTGTTATGGAAATCTAAAAACCCCAATACTGTAGAGTACAAGTCAGAGTGATCAAAATCAAAGAAATGGTGAATCAGACAGAGTTGTCTTTCTGGTGATTTTATTTGAAGCTTCAAATATATATAAATACAATACAATAAATATAGACACAGGTCCCACAGAGTATAGAATAATCTGCGCGAGTGTGCGCAGTTCAATATGGCAGCAAAGCTTATATAGCAGAAATGATGAGAAGGTAAGAAATCTGTCTTCACACGGTCACATTGTTATTAGACACCTGGCCTTGAGCTGTAGAAGTTCTCGTGTGACTTTGTGTGAGTCTCAACCCAGTAGCCAAAACAGCTCTGTGGCCTTGAAGTAGAGTAGATAGAGGAAAACAGCACATCTCAGGAAATGAGAAGCATTTGGTTTAAACATATCAGGATATAATAGAAATGTCCACTACAAACTGCTTTCAGGTTGTGTGTTACAGAGTAGAGGAACTGTTCTGTTGTACCCACCATCATGCTCTGGCACAAAGTCTCAGTCCTGCAGGGAACATGTAATAATAATAATAATAATAATAATAATAAATGATATTTATATAGCGCCTTTCAAGGGACCCAAGGTCGCTGTACGTGGTGGACAAACAATCAGACAATCAACGGGCAAACCAAATAAATAAATAAAGGAAGCCGGGGGACCAGAAAAGGGCTAGGGCCCGAAGGCCAGGGTGAACAGGTGTGTTTTTAGAGATGCTTTGAAGATGTCCAGGGAGGCAGCATTACGGATCTCGGCAGGAAGTGCATTCCAGAGGGTTGGGGCCGCAACACTGAATGCCCTGTCACCAACAGTACGGAGGGGAGAGCGGGGGATGGAGAGCAGGCCCGTGTCTGAGGACCGCAGACTCCGAGAAGGGGTGTAGGGATGGAGGAGGTCCGATAAGTACTGGAGGGACTTGTACGTGAGGATGAGTGTTTTGTATTGAATCCGGGACTTGACCGGCAGCCAATGTAGGTGGATGAGGGTGGGGGTGATATGGTGCCATGGCTTGGTGTGGGTGAGAAGCCTGGCGGCAGAGTAGCCTTTATATATTCTTTCTAACACAGCTGCTAGGCACCAAGTGACCTTTAAAACATAGAGGACTAATGTAAGCTCTATTACATGCCATTAAAAGGAAAAAATATTGAACAAAAAGAAAAACAGCATAAAGAAGTGATAACTAAAATTATTATTATAATTATTATTATTATTATTTTTGAACACCCCGCATTTATTAAATTAGATTAGATTTACTTTAGTGACCTTAATCTGTGAATGTTTCCCGTCACAGCAGCATGTAAACGAGGCACTGCACATGAAATACAAATGACATCGTAGTGAAAATAAACAAACATAAAAAGTAAATATATAAAAAATCTAATGGACAGTGAAAGACATATATCTATTGAGTATCTCAAACGAATAAACAATGTCAATATACAGAACTGACCTCAATGTACATGATAGGCCAACCTACAATTAACCAAATGTAAACATAACAACTGGCACCAAAAAGTGCTTACGTCAGAGATGAACCTGAGCAATAACAGTTCATGGAGAGTACAGTGAAGAGAACTCTTTACCAGCAGTAGCGCTGAGCAAAGGGACTAGAATGTGTCCACACACCTGTAAAAAAACACACATATAAAGTCAGGCAAGGGCAACACTAACCAGGCATAGTGCGATGCTGTTTATTTTTACCTTACTTTTATTGACCATCCGTTCGCTATTATTTCAGCAGCTTACGTTTTCCTGTTGTTTTGTATTATAGCGGCTATCGGATGTAACCAATACATGGGCCACACCGTTTGCCATGTCAGACTATCACAAGTACAATAATAATGAAAAATACGCCGGTAAGATATTCCGGTAGAAAACGACTTATGCCACAATATGATAGCAACAAGTAGTCAAGACAGTCAGATGCTATGCTAACATCACCCATGTAATACCAGAGAAACTTTAATAACGGCGTTATGATGCCAAATAGTGTCAATTCAGCCTGAAAACACCTTATGGGGAGGAGGGATATGCATCAGTGGACGTTGCTTGTGTGACAGTCAGACAGTGAAGACATTCCAGTCTTTTTTAGCAGCCTCTGCCGTCAGTTAACGGTAGACTAAATGCCAAAACGATTGTTTGGGTTCTACTTCTCAATGCTCTTCTTTCTGTTTGTGTGGCAGGCATCGCAGTGAGCTGGAGGATCTGCGGAGACAGCTGGAGGAGAACAACTCTCTTGCTGGACGAGCCCTCAGAGAAGAGCTGGACAAGACCAGAGAGGGACAGGAGAGGAGACACCAGGTGATGAGCGACATGGGGCGCAATAACAGTATCATTAACCATAGACTTTAACAGAACCCATAAATAAAGTCTGTCTAGTTAGTATCTCCACATCTGCTAACATCCATCCAGAACAAGGTAAAGCAGCAAGATCATTTAGTGTTCTTTGTGTTCCTAGTTGGAGATGAAGGCATTACACGAACGCATTGACATCGAAAAGCAGACCTGGGAAGAAAACTACAAGAAGAAAGAGGTTTGTTGGCATTCTGTCTAAACTGGACCTTCTTTTGTTCACGCTGAGGTGTAACAAAGCACTGAATGTCCTGCATTGTGCTCATAGGCCCATCCATCACCAATGCAGGCACATCTTTCTGGAGCTCCTAGTTCAGTGGTTGTTAACGTCATTACTAATGTAAAAAGAGAAGGAGACGAGGACTCCTGCCAAAAATCTATTTTCCATAGTGACTAAGGGAGGTGGCACATGTCCAGCTCTGTGGAGTGCAGGAGAGTGAGAGCAACCTGTGCTTTTCAACTGTGTACTTAAAGAATAGTAATAATAACTTTATCAATACAGCACCTTTTGAAAAAGAGTTTACAAAGTGATCTGACATAAAAGCAAAGCAGCAGCAGCAGGATTCAAGACAACATAAAAATAGAAAGCCAAACTAAAGTAATATTAAAATAAGGTTTCATTGGAACACAAAGACACAAAAATACTGTAGAGAGAAGGCAAATTATGATAAAGATACAAAAAGTATTACAAAAAAAATGAAAGTAAAGCAGTAATGTCGATATGTTCACAGAAGTAAACGGAGAAAGAAAATCTATATAACACACTTCAGGAAGGGAAAACCCAGAAATGCATTATAATAATAATATGAATTCATTACATTTATTTTGGTGCTTTTCCAAATGCTCAAAGCGCTTTACATTACATATTACATATATCAGTGTTAATGGTTCTGCCAGCCTTATCGCCTGAGGCAGGTTGTCTCAGGGCCGAGGGGCCCCATGGCAGGAGAAAGGTCACCCTTAGATATCAGCCTCAACTTTGGACCGTCCAGAAGGTTTCAAGGCTGCCATTCTTATTGAGTTAACATTTCCACCATGTAGCTTAGGGCCCAAACCAGACGGCTCTAAAAGTAATAAAATTACGTATTTAAAAAAAATCTAAAACGAACAGGTAATGATTGGTGAGAAACCAATGAGAATCCTAGCTGCTGCAGTCTGTGCTGTGGATGAAACCCTCTGGGTGTAAATCACATGCAATGAGGAAGAAAACATTTAATGAGTCAGTGGCTGTTAATAAAATAAGTGAGTTTTTAATTGTAAAGAATTAACCAATGAGGACAAACTTCCACATTTATCTAAACCTGGGTGGGTTATTACCTTTTTATGTGTGTGTGTGGTGACTGTGGTCATAAGGCAGCCAAGACAGACAGTGTGTGTGTTCACAGGAAGCGTGGCTGCTGAGCCGCGAGCGTGAGCTCAAAGAAGGTCTGAGGCGGGAGCGCGACAAAGAGATCGAGCTCGCCATCTGGACTCTGGAGGAGGAGACCAGCAAGGACAAAGAGGAGTGTGAGAGGGCAGCTGACAACAGGTGTGTGTGTGTGTGTGTGTGTGTGTGTGTGTGTGTGTGTGTGTGTGTGTGTGTGTGTGAGTGTGTGTGTGTGTGTGTGTGTGTGTGTGTGTGTGTGTGTGTGTGTGTGTGTGTGTGTGTGTGTGTGTGGTGTGTGTGTGTGTGTGTGTGTGTGGTGTGTGTGTGTGTGTGTGTGTGTGTGTGTGTGTGTGTGTGTGTGTGTGTGTGTGTGTGTGTGTGTGTGTGTGTGTGTGTGTGTGTGTGTGTGTGTGTGTGTGTGTGTGTGTGTGTGTGTGTGTGTGTGTGTGTGTGTGTGTGTGTGTGTGTGTGTGTGTGTGTGTGTGTGTGTGTGTGTCCTAGTTTGTTTTAGGGCATACATAATAAAATGATCTACAGTTTACACTCAAAAACATTAAATAACAATCCACAAGTCATAAAAGAGGGAAAAAACAACAATTAAATAAATCAATTCTTTATATTTTCTTTATAAGTTATCATCTTTTAACCCATTCCTTGTAATGTGTTAAGTTATTGCTTCTCTTAATGACAATAAATAAGGTTCTCTCTTTTCTATTTCTTCTGGTGCTTTTCAATGAAGTAAGATACGTTTTGTAGTTATTTCGAGAAATAGTCTTTTATAGATATTTCCAAGAAGTCACTTAAAATCTTTTCCTCTGTTCTCAGGGTGAAGCGTGTGAGGGAAAAGTATGAGACTGAGCTGAGGGAGCTGGAGCGCTCTGAGAGGGCGGCCGTGGAGAAACAGCAAGAGTTGAGGAAGCATCAGATGGAGGCGGAGGGAGAGCTGATCAGACTGCAGGGCGCTCTCAGACAGAAGGGACAGGAGACCGAAGACGTCACACAGGTAAGGAGCAAATCCCTCTTCTTAATGGTTTATAAAACCCTCTAGTTCCATGTTATTACCTTTCATGTTAGCAGCTTGTGGTATGAGTGAGAAAGATTCCATATGAAATGACTCCTGAACGTGTTTGTTCAGACCCGGGATAAGCTGGTGGAGGAGCGCCGCAGCCTGGCCGAGGTGATCAGGCAGGAGTTTGCAGAGCGGCTGGTGGTGACGGAGGAGGAGAACCGCAGGATGAAGGTGGAGGTGTCAGAGGTGCGGGCTCGGCTACGGCTAGAGGTGGAGAGAGTCACCAGGGAGAAGGAGGAGGAGCTGGCAGAAGTCCACCAACGGTAAGGTGGAGGGAAAGAGTACCTAATAACATTTTGGCTTGAATAAATCGTTTTATTCAGTTTTGAACAACATCTTTTAAGATTGAAACCACTGCTTTATAAGAGCCTGCTCGGTCAAATGACATGTACAAATCTATTCAAATGTCTAATCCTGGTAATGTGTCACCTTGTGACAGAATGAGGCTCATAGATGTGTTTTTAAACGTTTTTGGGTCAAAAACGGCACAGAGAAGGGGATTTATAAAAACAAAACACAAAAGGTGATGAACACTTACAAACAACGTAAGTTGAGGTGTACAGCCTTTGCCATTTATAAATGCAAAATAAATGAGCTAAAGTGGTCCTTTTGTTCTTAGCAGTATATTGGTCATAACTCTTTAATGATATTTTAAATATTGGTAGACATTTTCTGTTTTGAAATAAGCCACCATAGCATTAGGAGTTGACCCAAAAACGTCAACCTCAATAACCTTAATGTTATTTAACATATTTGGTTCACAAGCTGGGGGGAAAGTATTTGCATATTTATTGCGAACCTAAATCTCTCTTTAAGTTTCCCTTGTTAACGTCCTCTTTTCTGCCACTTACCAGAGTGAAGTCGGCCATCTTGAAGAAGGAAGAAACTGTCAATAATCTCCGAAAGCAGCACGAGGTGAGTCAACCAACGACACACAGGCGCCTCTTTCTGTCAGAGCATGATACATAAGAGAAGACGGTTGTGCAGAGATGACTGACAGCATGTATAAATATATGGCTCTCTCCTCTGAAAGGCTGCCCTGAAGAGAGCGGATCACCTGGAGGCCCTGTGGGAGCAGCAGAGGAAGCAGCTGCTGGAGAAGTGACTGACAGGAGGGCTTCATCTGTCTGGACCTCCCCCTCCCCCTCTGCTCTGAGCTCTATCCTTTGTGTCGCACGAGCCCTCACCTGATTTTTTTGTATTCACTTGGATGTTGTTTCTGCCAGCAAGACTGAACCTGTGGAACTACAGGAGGTGGAACAAGTGGCTGAACCCTGTCCTACTTCATACAGAATAGGGACATGAACTGGGCCTCAATATTTAGCCCCGCCTCTCCAGGCATGAAGGAATGTGTAGTGTTGGAGCGTCCCTCATTTAAATGCCACAAACCAGGTGACACCTGATGAATAGAAATGAATAGACTATGGTTGGACTTCGCTTTCCTCTTCTTCCCTTTTTCAAAAGGAGGATTGCTGTAGCTTTTTGTGACTGTACTTCCCCCCCCCCCCCTTCCCCCTCTCTCTTGGGCAGGAATTCTTCAATGTTCCCCTCAGGGCTGCCACATGGAACAGTTCCAGATGTTTGTGAAACCAGCCCGGGCCTGTGCTGGTGTAAAGTGGGAGATGGACCACTTAAAACAAACCATTGGGCATCAGAGCGGCTGTATGAGCTCCTGTTTGTACTCATGCTGCCCCCTTTTATCTGCAGAGCCATGCGTTTTGTCCCAGTGCCTCCTCAAGGCGAGTGCTAATTACAGGATCTATGACATGGCCTCGCTCTGAACAGTTTGTTATGTGTGTCTCAAACCAAAGGTAGGATCTAAGCAAGACGTACGAAGAGATTTACCAACACTGGTTACACACTAGAGTGTGAGTAGAATGTTGCGAGAGGGACGAGTATGTAACTAAAAGGAAAGAAAAAGGACACGGCATGATTGAGGCGGAAGACGGATGATTTTTAGAGAACGTTTCTGAATGTGGGGGAGAAGGAAGAGGAGAGAGGATCGGGGATGCAGGGAAGAAGGAATGCACAGAGAAGGCATGTGACCAGAGGTATGTTAAAAGCCATATAGCTTTCGCCCGCTCCGATCCAGAGGCTGCACTGTGACAAAACGCATCAAACTCACCCGGTAAGAGGGGGGGGGGTCTCGAGTCACACACACATGTAAACCATCTGCGTTTAAACCAAACCGTCTGTTCCCTAATCCTCTCAGGAGACCCCTCCCCTCAGCAAATCTGCATTTTATTAATTGAGTTTTTTTCTAAGTCCTTAACCCTTACAATGATTAGGGTTGAAGCCGGGCACAAAAAGGATTTCAGCGAGAACGATCCAAAGCAGAGTTAGCGAGGGGTGGGGGGGCTGAAACAAGAGTTAGTTCTGCAGAGAGAAACTCTACAGCTGGAAGTAAAGCCTGTTATTTAGGTGCAACATGATGTGATTGTTGAGGCCCAAAATTACCCTCACATCAGAAAATATTTATTCTGTTCCTTTTTTCTTTATTTATTTCCCAAAGTAGCCGTTAATGACCTCTTGTAGTGTTATCGGTCCTCAGAAAGGGCACGGATTCTTTTCAAAGTCGACACAATAAGTGTTTTTACAGTTACTTAGCAGAACTGCTAACTGCCGTGCTAAAACGTTATAACTATGCCATTAGTAGATGGTTTAAATACAGTATGTCCGGTTTTTCTGACATGGAAGGCGTCCGAGCCACAATGTAAAGGGTTCATATGAAGTGTAATGTAGTGGAAGGGTAGCAGTAACGTAGTGCAGCTTTATGGGTAATGTAGTTTCTGACCTGAGGCGTCATATCAGATAGTCACAAGAGCCAAATACCACTTTCAACCCTCCTAAATGTAGGAGAATGTAAAATAAATATACGTTTTTATATAAATATATCTTTTCGCAAGATAAAAGTGGTTGATATGTGTCACTGTGAGTTTCAGGATCACTTACTGAGATTCTCTGAGTCATGAGGAATTGCTTGTTGGCATTCCTCACGCTCTACCGTGCTTATAAGCCTTGCCGTGTGTGTGTGTGTGTGTGTGTGTGTGTGTGTGTGTGTGTGTGTGTGTGTGTGTGTGTGTGTGTGTGTGTGTGTGTGTGTGTGTGTGTGTGTGTGTGTGTGTGTGTGTGTGTGTGTGTGTGTGTGTGTGTGTGTGTGTGTGTGTGTGTGTGTGTGTGTGTGTGTGTGTGTGTGTGTGTGTGCGTGCCACCACTCCTCCCATTTTGACCAGAGATGTACCTTTTTTTTGTTTTTATTTATTTTATTTGTAACGTTGTATACAAACCATTCCAGCTGTCATCGGTTATAGCTTGTTGAATTTCTACATGTACCAGTATCTCTTGACCTCACTGTTTTCCTATCTTGTGTTAGTTGAGTTTGTATTGTTAATCATGGCGATGGTTGGAAAAACTGTGAAGAAGATGGTGACTGAAGAGAGAATAAAAAGCAAAGACTGCTGGGAAGACGCGCTGTGTTTCTCATTTGTGTTCGCTGTGTGAAAACAGACAATTGTTTGCTTGTTTCTGACCCCCGCCCTCCCATCATCCCTTGCTCTCTCAGACCATAACTCACGGGTTGGGAAAGAAGAAGAAGAAGTGTCTTTAATCACAACTATCCGCCAACACTCTGCGGAATCCAAACTTAGAGCCAAAATAGCTGTTGGTTTGAAGCCTCAAATTATTTATTCACTGCATTTAAATTAATTCCTGAAATATCTGTCAACCAATTCTTATAAATGAGTTTAAGGCATGTCCTAGATGCCTTTTTCTTGCCGTGTTAAAACCACCTCTGGGATGTTTCAGCCTATACATCTGGAATAATGTCCAGCGCTGACCCACTTCTCCCCTCCTTCTTCCCCTTCTTTTTTTTCTCGCCCTCCAGCTAGCTCACTTCCTCTAAAACTGCCAAAGCAACCGGTGGTGCGTACTGAAACGTGTCTCTCCTTTCAGAGTATTTCCTTTCTTTTCACTCAGGAACCCACACCATTGACTCTCACTTGGCTCCGAGGGCCCCGGCTGACTGCTGGCTGGAGTGAATGTAACTGTGGATGTGCAGAGAGTCTCTTTAAAAAGCTGTCAGCTGTGTGGTGGAAATTCAGCCTGCATGTTCATGCTTATCACCTCTGAGGTGTGTGTGTGTGTGTGTGTGTGTGTGTGTGTGTGTGTGTGTGTGTGTGTGTGTGTGTGTGTGTGTGTGTGTGTGTGTGTGTGTGTGTGTGTGTGTGTGTGTGTGTGTGTGTGTGTGTGTGTGTGTGTGTGTGTGTGTGTGTGTGTGGTGTGTGTGTGTGTGTGTGTGTGTGTGTGTGTGTGTGTGTGTGTGTGTGTGTGTGTGTGTGTGTGTGTGTGTGTGTGTGTGTGTGTGTGTGTGTGTGTGTGTGTGTGTGTGTGGCCTAGCATTACTATACTTGTGGGGACCTACATCTGTTTACATAGTCACGTGTGGGGACTCGCCTCCCTTATGGGGACAAAATGGAGGTCCCCATAAGGGGAATCATTCATTTTAGGGTGAAGACTTGGTAAGGGTAAGGGTTAGGGTTAGGGCATGCGTTGGTTATGGTTAAGGTTAGGATAAGTCTCCAGAAAATGCATGTAAGTCAATGTAATGTCCCCTGAAGTGATGTGTGTGTGTGTGTGTGTCTCTTGTCCTGTGATCCAGGGTCTCCCGCATAGCAGAGATCCTTAGAGCTGTCTGCTCATGTCTGATTTTATTGCAGCCTAGAGTGGGTTTCTCTTTCTCCAGTCCTCTCATGCTGTGGAGTTGAGGGGGTTGACCAATTGCCAGCAGCTGTTGCTCATTTCACAATGGTCCCGCCCATACAGTGCTGAGGCTGGCAGTGAGACGCTCCTTACCAGAGGAGAGGCAGAGCTCCTAACTTAGAGGAATACATGACCATGCGAGAAACACTGAGACTACAGACAACAGAGGATTTCTACTGGTAAGAGAATGTGTCTGTATCTGTCTGTTCTCTATCTGAATGGCTTTGTTTATGTTAGACGGCAACATGGTGACTCGAGAGGAGTCCTCTGACTAAAGGAAGACTCATGATTTGTCACAGTCTGATGCTCTATGCTTCCTTTCCTGTCTTTTATTTAGCTTGGACTCCTTCTCAGCCACTTTAGAGACTTGTACGCCATTCATCTAGTAGAAATCTGCTAAAACTGTATTTTATGTGTGGAAAATATGAATTCCCCCTGGAGTTTTTTTCCCTTATTGTGTCTGTTATCAGAGCTGAGTTTATCACTGGATCCCTACAACACATTCTTTCCATTCCCCATGTTACCTTTCCCAGTCCCACAAGCCTGGGAAACTGTACCACTCACATTGTCATCAGCGCTGTTATTATTTCCCTGACCCACTTATCAAGTGATTACTCTGAAGGACTTAAGAAAAGCAGCTCGAGACTTAGTTTAGATATTTCTCACAGAATGGCCCTGGGCTTTGTTTATTACACTTACAAAGAGGTGAGAAGTGGAGAATAAGGTGGTGCTCGGGGGTCTATGCTAATGTCTTGAATATCTGCTGGGACCTCCAGAGGCATACATTTGCAGGGAGAGCGAAAAAAAGAAGTTTCCTGTAAGATAGAGCTTCTGACTTCTGCATTTGTTGTTTGCCCATCAACTGCACCTTTTGTTCAGCTTGTGTCCAACAAGTTAATGTTTAAATGCTCCTTGGGTGTGTTTCTTTTCAGTATCTGATTGAGTGCCAAGTATGTTTTCACATAGGCTATAAAGGATTTACTTCGAAGGGGGCTGAACACGTTGCAATGTCATGTTTAGTGTCTGCTTCCTTGTGTTTTGTTTCAATGTATGCCCTTGGTGATCTTACAAGAAACATGTCAGATAATAATATACAATAAGTTAGTAAGTTCATTACATAAACACAGTAATGAAATACAAAAATAAGACATAAGTCAAGAAGTCACACTTCAAGAACCGCAAGAGCGGCATGTGACTCTTCACTATGTGTTCAAAGGTTTCATTAAAAAGGGATTACTTCTGTTGACGATAAAGCCCCCCCCCCCCCCCCGAGTTGTTGCCCTTCAACTTTCTCTTTCTGTCTCCCTCACACTGTAGTTTTGCTGAGAGAAGCCCAGAGTGGATCCTATTGTGAGCTAATTAAATCCATCACCCTCCAACTCCTGGAAGATCAAAAGTCCTGAGCACAAGACACCAGGCTTCTCCTCCTCCATCCTCATGTCCCTCCAGGAGAGGAGGGCAGGGCACACACACACACACACAGCTCCCCGGCCGAGGACACACACTACCTGACACGGATGGCGTTCCAGAAGAAGCTGCTGCTCGGGTTTGTTACCGCGGGCTCCCTGCTGTGCGTCTACCTCCTGTGTTTGAACCTGGAGACGCCTCTGTCCAGCGCCAAAGGGCCTCTGAAAACATTCCATCGCTTCACACACAAACATATCAGGTGAGCAAAGTGATCACACTCACACTGATTTGCAAATGAGCTGGAAGTGACAGGTTTTTATTGTTCTGGCAGTCTGACATATTGTACAGGAAATTAAAATGCTGACTCCCGGCATTACTGGTCACTTCAGGGGGGGGGTTTTGACAGCCCATCCTGTCATCCTGTCTCAAGCAGCTCGCTGAACCAGTATTGAGCAGAGGTGGGAGTAAGTCCTACATGTGCAAGTCATGAGCAAGTCTCAAGTCTTGACCTACAAGTATCAAGCAAGTCCCAAGTCACTGTGGTGAGAGTCAAGCAAGTCAAGTCAAGTCAAGTCATTGCTCAGGTCAAGCAAGTCAAGTCATACGACATTCTGATGAATAAGCCCAGTTTCGTATTTAAATCAGTTAAAAGACAGTGGTTATGAAAATGGATTCAACCCACACTATGATCTTCATTACATACACAGTTAATCATTTGAAATCTAATTTAGACCGATGACAATCATATTAGATTCATATTAACCCTAGAACTGCAGATAATATAGCTAGGACTCAAAAAGTCTGTTCCAAAAGGCAGAATTCCAGGTAAGAAAATCATATGGCATTTGCAATTACACATATTTAATTTAAATGTCTGCTAGAACCACCAACAGCGTCAGCACCTACATAGATATCATTTTCAAATCATTTAATTTGTTCCTCTTCATTCTCTCTCTCTCTCTCTCTCTCTCTCTGTCTCTGTCTCTGTCTCTCGCACGCACGCACACTTCAGGAGGAAGTGCATCTCTGTCTCAGTCTCACCTGTCGTACAGTGATCACATATTCTGTTCTCTTTTGGTTGCCAGGATCTTTTGAGTCTTCCTGTTTCGATTGCCAGTCTGTGGTCACTGAGCCTGTACTTGGTTAGGATCTGTCTCTGCTTTCTATCTCTGACAGTAGAGAGATATTCTGCCAGCTCATACTCTCTGTTTAGAGCCAGGTAACATTCTAATCTACTTTGGCTTTTAGTTTCTTCTTCCCAATGTTGTAAATAGTTGTCTTTACATTGTGTTATAATGTGTTTGACTGTGATTGGTGTTTGGAGAGCAGTGTTGTTGAGAGACTGGTCAGAGTGGCTCTGAGAGGGGGCAGCTAGCCTCAGCACCAGCTGACATAGGGGACTCTTCTCTGGGGTTAGCTCTTGGCTTTGGAGGGCTTTGGAGTGGAGGGTGTCTCGGGGGCTGGACCTAAGGTGGTTAAAGAATGTTAGTGCTCTCTTTTGAGTGTTAATGATCAGTGGGTCTCTGCCTAATTCTGCTCTACATGCATTTGTTGGTGTTTTTCTCTGAACACGTCAAATGTATCTGCAGAATTCTGCATGTAAAGACTCTGTTGGATGTTTGCAGGGCCGCCCCTGGCCAACTTGGGGCCCCAAGCGACATTGTGAGATGAGGCCCCCCCCCCCCCCAACCGACAGGAGTGAAAACAATTTTTTTGGAAACAAAGTAGGCTACTTTGCAAATATAATTCCTGTTTATTATTATTATCAACGGTTACTTTTTTATACAGTGAGGTAAATGGTAAATGTGCATGTATGTCGTTCAGTATGCGTTTACAGGTGAATTTTGCATTTCCTGCCAAATACTAGCCTCAAAAAGATAAAAACATAATTAATGCAAATAAACTACTTCTACTAATAATCATAATCAATTCAATAATAAAAATACTATATTGTTTTATTATAATATAGTTGTAATATAGTCCAGACAAAACATGCTTATGACATGCTCTGAGGTGTGTGCTTATCTTTCTTACAGTGCAGACGCTTTTCTGCTTGCTCTTGCCTCTGCTTACTTTTTATGCTGATTTTCCTATTCTTATTCTCTGAAAACTTCGAGCAGCGGCTCCTGGACATTAACTTATCACTGAGACAGTTCATCTTCGTAAATAGACGGAGGGTCTCAGCCATATTTCAACATTTTTACGACGACGTCAGTCTTACAATAGCGTGGCCTAGCAACAGCTAAAGCCTGGTAGGCTACTGCATGCTATTTAGCTTAAGCTAGTTGGTAGCAAAATGCCTCCGTTCTCTACAGATGACTTCCAGATACTTATACAGAAGATGGCTGTGTTGGAAATGAAAATGCAACGGTTGGAAGTTAACGTGGAAGTGAATGGACTATGTCGTGGGAATGACACGACTTTACCAGTGTTGCAAAATAATGGAGAAGGGTATGCTAACTCACAGCTAGTTAGCAGCTACAAGGATTCCAAGGAACAGGAGGGCTGTGTACCGGGTAATAAATCTACAAGTGGTAGTCCTCCCTGGAACTCTTTGGGTGCAAAGCCTAAGAGTAAATCATTTCCATGGGATTTGGGAGGACGGATAACAGGCAGAGCCCAGAGCTCCGAAATCTGTGATGCGACCGGCTGGCCTGCATTGTTATCACCCAGGAAGAGCGCCTCTTCAACCCCTATTCATACTAGGAAACAGCAGTGGACAGCTGCTAAAGGGAGAATTACAAACAATCCTCCTAAACCACCAAGTGTGCCAATCCAGAACAGATACGCTCCGCTGACCGAGAACCGGAGATCTGATGACCTGGATAACCTGTCCTCTTCACGCAGCAGGGTAAGGACCAATAGCTACTCCAAAAGTAAAAGGCTAGAGGGAAAGCTAACGACTGGGCCTGAAACTCTGATTGTGGGTGACTCTGCTGTAAGAGATGTAAAAGGTCTGTGTAATAAGAACAACACCAAAGTACTCTGTTTTCCCAAGGATGTGGTCTCTGACTCGGCTGAGAAGATCCTGCATATTGGGGCTGAACATCCGACTGTGAAGAATGTGGTACTACACATTGGAACAAATTATGTTGTGAAACAACAGTCAGAAGTGCTGAAAGAAGACTTTAAATGTTTGTTGGAAACTGCCAGCTCTCTAAATGCAGAGGTGTTCATCAGTGGCCCTCTACCGCCAGTCAGAAGAGGAGTGGAGAGATTCAGCAGATTGTTTACACTGAACACCTGGCTTTCAACGGCCTGTACTGACCATTCTGTTCATTTTATTGACAATTTTAACTTTTTCTGGGATCGCAGACATCTTTTCAAGGCAAATGGAGTTTGCCTGAACAAGTCAGGAGTGAAATTGTTTATCTCCAACATATTCAACTGCCTGCGTCATCAATCTGTTCCCTCTGCCAAGGACAAGCGGCAAGAGGAATCAAAACAGGAGAAAGACACAACACATCGCGCAGAAAACCCTGAAGAATTATCACTGCACCCGCCTGAGGAATGTTCTGATTATGAGACAAATGGAGGAGTCTCCACTGCCCGTCACCCCCCCCCCCCCCCCCCTGTCAACGCCTTTGAGGATACTCCGTTCACCCTTTCACCCTCGCCCACCCTCCTGGAGATCGATGAACACACAAAGGAGATACAGAGGGTTGGCACCGATTCCTTCCTGGAGTTCAAAGACCAAACGAAGGCGATACGCAGGGCTGGCACCATGTCCTTTACCCCCGCTCCTCAACGACGCCCACCAAAATCACCGCGGAGACGCGCACCATCTCCCCCGTCCTCATCACCGCGCCTACGTCAACCACCTCCCCCCCCTGGCAGCATGTCCTCTACCCCCGCACCATCTCGCCCGTCTCCATCACCGTGCCTACGTCGACCACCTCCCCTCCCTTCGAGGGGGCATCTGCAGTCTCCGAAGCCTGATAAGGATGTGTGTGTACAAAACACAACAAACTCTTACTGATATGTGCTGGGTCCAGGCTCAAGGGCGTATGGCACTCTCAACTCTTTCCAGGACATGTCGGGGCCCTGCCTGCCAGTAGCTTTGCCGATATCTGTGTTGATAGGTAATAGATTAAGAGCGGTGAATCATAGAAACAGGAAGCGCTCAAACGTTTGTGTGAGTGTATCTAATTTAGCAGTGATTCCATGTCAGCCACAGCTTGTTACAAAAAACATGACTGATAGTGTGTTTAACAAACTTAAACTAGCTTTATTAAATGTTAGGTCTTTGGCAGGAAAAACATTTTTAATCAATGATTTTATCACTGAGCACAATCTCGATTTTATGTTTTTAACAGAAACTTGGATTGAACAAAATAACAGTGCAGCTGTTCTTATCGAATCAACCCCTCCCAACTTTAGTTTTATGAGTCAGGAAAGAATGCATAAGAAAGGGGGTGGAGTTGCTATTCTGTTCAATGATTCCCTTCAATGCAGGAAGACATCGTATGGGAACTTTGCTTCTTTTGAATATGTGGCCCTTCGGCTGAAATGCTCCTCTCGAGCTCTGTTCCTAAATATCTATAGACCACCCAAATACTGTGCAAGCTTTTTTGATGACTTTACTGAACTGCTGTCTATAGTGTGTATTGACTTTGACCGTCTAGTCATTGTTGGTGATTTTAACATCCATGTTGACAACCTCCAGGACAGAGGGGCTAAAGAACTGTTTTGTGTTCTTGATAGCTATGGACTGACTCAGCATGTGATGGAGCCCACGCACAATAAGGGGCACACTCTGGACTTAATTATCTCAAAGGGTGTAAATATCTCTAAGGTTGTGGTGACTGATGTTGCACTCTCTGACCATTCCTGTGTTTTCTTTGAGAGCTCTATTTCTGTTCACAAAAATGTTCAAAAAGAGGTAACCACAAAGCGATATTTAACTGAAAACACTAGGGAAATGTTTACTCAGAATTTTCCTTCCACACTTGCCCCTGCCAACATCTCAGTAAATGAGCTAGTAGATCATTTTAATTCAAAAATTAAAAATGTTATAGATGCCATTGCTCCAACTAAGGTAAAGGAAGTGACTGGCAAGAAAATATCTCCATGGAGAAAGGCCATGAGCGTGAAAACAGAAAAAAGAGAATGTCGAAAAGCTGAACGCAGGTGGCGAAAAACAAAACTCCAGGTTCACTTTGAAATCTATAAAGAGAGACTTGGCCTTTATAATTTGGAATTGAAAAACGCACGACAATCGTTCTTCTCTGACATCATTACCAAAAACAAAAACAACGC